AGAATTTTCATTTAGAGTCGTACCTGTAGAGCCAACACAAGGAACATCCACATTCGATCGAAACTTCGATAGAGGTTCCAAAACGTCCGAGCTTCAACAAAATTAGTTTTGGGTTTCCTTTTTCCATATGAGACTTGGTCATGTCTCTGCAATCAATAAAAATTCATTGCTCCATTTATATACTGGGATTCAAAAAAGATGGATGGTCGATGCAAGTAAGCATTTGGGAATATAAACTCTAAAAATATCCAGAAATCAACCTCCCAATAAAAGGTTACTCAATCCATCAAATACTTCAAAGGTGATGAAAAAGTGAAGATTAAAGAAAAAAGATCACAGTATACTGCATGACTAAGCAGAATTAACACCTCATTCGGAAATTGTGAGATCTCATCAGAGTGGATGAAAAAATCTGCCTTGAAGTTCATTGGCCATTTCAGCCTAAAACACCTCTTATCCCTGAAAAAGTAATCTGCATTTGCTCAGACAGCAACAATTGACTAAAACATATAAAACCAGATCAAGCTGAGTTAACTCACCAAAAATACTCATTCAGATCATCATAGTTTCTCCATTTCGAATGGCTTGCCTTTCCCATTTTGTTTCTCCTGACTTCCTTTTTTCCACAAAAGAAACCTGGTCTTCTTAGTGAACTAATACGTGAGGTAAAAAAACGAAAGCTAGAACAGGAAGTTACATACCTTGCGTAAGACCTGATAGATTGGTGTTATAACATTCCTTAAGAATGCCTCTTCATCAGGTGCGCCTGCCTCATATGTGTCCCCAGTTACAGGGTACACATTGCCAAACAGAATTCCATGGACTTCATTCGCCATCTTCACAAGAAAATTTACAGAAAAAAACACGGTTGAATAGAATCTTACAGCAGAATAGTATGAGAACAAATCAAAGGACTCTTCGCTTAGTAAATCTTAGGTAGACATTACAGATATGCAAGCATCATCAAAAACACCGCAATATATTAGATCATTACGAACCAAATCACAGAAAATAGCTAGGTAACTAAACACACATTTTAAAAGGTGTGTACGTTGTTATTTGCTTGTCATCTAGAGAAAATTAATATTCTTGTTTCATTCAACCTATCACAAGAAAAGTGTGAAATTCTATTTCTGTAATTTGAATTGACCGGGAGAAGCATCACAGAAAAACACAAGAGGAAAGGAGGATCGCTGAACTTCAAGAGCCTACATTGTGGAATATGTAGCAAAGGCATTCAGGCATGAAGCGGACGTTCGATGCTTCACCCCATATGAGTAGATAAAGGCCAATGTACAGAAGGCTCAGCTGTTGTTCATCACAACCTGGAGGAAACCTGTCAATAGGAAAACCATCCGCCAATAAACATAAACTTTAGAATAGAAGGGATGTAAGGGAAAAGGTTTTTCGAAGTCTCAGGTGCGTTAAGAACTTGATTTATCTAAGAGAATATCATTTATGATACCTGAGATATGATTCACACCGCAAATACTTGCACCATGACCTGTAATTCTTAAAATACTTTTCCATCAACTTCCTCACGGTGCTAGGCTTCAGCTAAATTTTCTTTGATGTTAGTTAATTTGTATGTAATATCCTTCAGAAAGGAAACTTTGCGATCGGCCACAGAGTACTGAAATATTACCTCTTCATAATTCTCGAGATCCCTCTTTCTCACATCAACGTTGGCAAGCAGCAGTATGAGATGCTCCCTTTGATTAGCTACATTTCCTCTCTTTCACCATGAAAAATAGGAAGATTAATCATGACACTTTTCAGTAAATAAAATTTAATATCAAAAAATTGGGAAGAAAGAAACTTGAAAGATACCTGAAAACCAAAAACCAAAGCAAGCCACTCGAGAATATCATTAAAAGATCTGGCTCTTTCCCTATCAACTTCGTCTGGGTTAGTTGAGGCTGAATGAAATCTTGGCCGAGGAAGATTTTGAACATTACAGACGGCAAGAATTGCCACCTTAATCTAAATTTTAACGAGAAAACATCGGTAAGAGCTCAGAATGACTAAAATGATGGACAGCTTAAGTAAGCAAAATCTTGCACATGCAACCTCAGGGAGTTCCATTATTGCGGTTTTTGCCCCTACAGCGTACAGCGGAAGAATGTTGTAGTGCTCATACTGTTCCTTCTTTCTTTCAACTTCTTTAGCATACCTGCGGGTCTACATCAAACAATAACAAACAAAAAAATTGTCAAGTGCCATAATTACCCTCTTCAGAATCCAGGGATGTAGGGGAACACTAGTCGACCTGTTCGTCAATTCTGGTTGAAGGAACCACAGTCTTTAGCACATCATACAAGACACTCGCTATCTGGTAAAGCTTGGCCATCTCCTCCCTATAATGACAAAGTCGATGGAAGCAAAAGAGTTAGGAGACATCATTTATCATGTAATGATTACAAAATAGTAAGAATTTATCTCACGGTGTCTTTTTCCCTTCTCCTTTTTGTATGTTATCCTCATAGAACTTCTGATAATACATCTGAATTTCTTTCGGGTCACTCTTCGCCAACATAGGTTGTGTAGTCTCTTCTTCCTAAACAACAAACAAATTTTAAGAACTACTATCTCAAGGTACGTCAAAAATGTTAATTTTACATACAGGTTTAAATAAAACAATGCCCGGAATAATTTTCAGATAAATCAAGAGGAAAAAAAATATCAAAACTCAATGAGGAAAATCTGTCAGTCACACAACTAAACAAGCATTGTTATATCTGCATGCTCCAATTCATGGAAGAGAGATGGCAATCATGTGATCTATGTACCTTTTCTAATTTGTGCAACAGGTAGGTTTTAAATTGACGGACGCCTCGTCCACTTGATGTTGGATCCATTCTATGAGCCTTCTCAAATGCGTGGAAGCGACCTAGTGAGAGAGAGAGAGAGAGTACAGTAAGGTGAGAAACTTGATATCCAAAAACCACAATGCTTCTCAAATCCATTCTGTAGATGAAATTATCTATAACACTTGCACACAAAGCCATAGTAGTCAGGTAACTCCAAACTAATTGAGCTCCCAGTGATATATTATTCAAACTAATTGAGCTTCCATTGTATCAAACTGCGAACAAAATCAACTAAGTAAGAGAATGAGAGAGTGAAAGTTGAGAAAATCATACAGAGGTAAGCAACCCTCGGGTTGTCAGTCTCAATATCATTAGCTACTCGAAGAATAGGAGCAATAGCAGCAAGGGAAGAAGGCACAAGCTCGCTGTCAATGGCGCTCTCGTCTTCGTTAGGATGATCAATCATCATCGTCCCAGCTCGCGTCATCCTCCGAGACAGAGACCGACCAGGTTGCATCTGCGGCGGCCGCCCATCCTCCACTCTTCCTCCACTGGTACTCGCCATACCAGATCGATTACCAATTCCTCTTCTTCTACGACAATACTCGACGAATCGCTGATTATCATAATACCCATCTTCCTCGCTCCCTTTTTGTGATTATATATGAGCAGAGGAAAGAGATGCGAGAAACAGAGATGGGATTCGTTGAGTGGGGTTAAGGGAAATGCGATTGCTCTACGAGGAAGAAAAGAATGCGAAATATACTCTAATTAATTGATTTCGCTCGCTTTTTGAGCTGTGACTTTTCTATAAAAACAGTACGAAAGCAAAACCAGAACTGGGTTTTTGTGGTGAAAGCTCGAATCCCCCTATTATCCTTTACGAGATTTCCCGGCATTTTTTTGTCTGTCTGCTTTCCCGGAAAGTCTAGAGAATTGCTTCACAGAGAAGTCGAAACGGAGACGTATTGTGAGTTTTTTTTTCCTTTATTAACTTAATGAACTCGTCGAGTTCAAATACCTCACAAGGAAATTTCATTGTTAGAATTTTGTTATTTAAAACCATCCACACGAAGGCCCATTAGCTCAGTTGGTTAGAGCGTCGTGCTAATAACGCGAAGGTCGCAGTTCGAAACCTGCATGGGCCAAATATTGGATTTTAATTTTTTTTTTTTACATTTTCTTCTCTTATTTCCCAAAAGAAAGCTAACTTCTGCTCGATATACGAATCCCTCGTAGAAAACCCATGGGCCAGTAGTTGTCCCAAATAAGAGTGGTCCAATTAGTAGAATATCCCAAAACTACACTAGCAAATTATCTTCTTGTCGTTGTGCAAACATGATAATGGCACGTCATTAATTGGTAAAAACGTAAAACGCCATGTAGTTTTAGATTCCCTTATAAGTCGTTGCGTAGGCGTTCTCGTGTTTGTGGACAAATCAACTTTTGTTTCAGCTACTTTGACTCTTTCAACCTATCATTGCGTGCGGCGCGACTAAAATGCGACTACACAAGTCTTTTATCCTCTCAACTCTTTTTCGTATATTTTTCCCCCTTTTTTCCTTGCAACTCTTTTTAGTATAACTGACAAGAATAAGTATGACTGAAGTATTGTCAGTTCTGGATATAATGTGAGCAAAAAGAATAACTATCAATTGATAAAAATAAAGTCTCTGTATATAAATGTCACAAACTAGGTTCCCCTTTCATTATCCCGGATGTAAAGTAGACAAGTTAACGTTAGCTGTTTTGCATCTAAAAAAAAAATACATAAAGTTCTTTACAACACTACATCATCACGTACTAGTAATTTCTTTTATTTTGTCGGCACGTACTACTATCAGAAATTTACATGAATAATGTCAATATAAATAGATAATAAATAATATATATGTATAACGGTTCATATTTCTTAGCAAGAAAAAAAAGACCGTTGTATTGTCTTCTTTATAGTGGGTCGCTCTGTAAACTAAAAAGCGAAACTGCTGGACCGTTCTTCTCTAACTAAAACAAAATAATAAGGAAGGAAATCCCTAAAATACCCTCGTTCCCTTCCACGGTTCCACTTCATCCACCTTTCGCCAGCTAATCTTCCTTCCTTTTCCGAAGAAAAAAGGTCAAGCGCATCTCATTCCTTCCTTACTCCCATTTGACATTAATACCCTCTCCTTCTTTAACCTATTCACCAATTTACCACCGTCTCCTCTCCTTCCCTATAAGAATGCACAGTGGCATGACTCTGTCGTAGACTAGAGACTAGAGAGAGAGAGGATGGGAGTGATGAAGAAGTGGGCGTCGCTGAAGAAGAAGAAGCATCAGCAGCAGCAAGATGGGGAACAAGTGACGGCCAAAGAAACACAGACATGGCGGCGATTAAAGAATCTGTTTTCAACGTCGTCGTCGTTTAAGTGGAAGTCAGTGGAGATATTGCAGACGGAGATAGTGGACGGAGTAGTTTTCAAGGTGTTGTATGTAGTCGAAGCTCTCGTTCTCGTTTCAACTCTCTGCTTCTTCTACCTCTGTTGTGGATGCCACATCTAATTCTTTTCTTCTTCTTTTTCAATTATTTTTTTGGATTCATCATACATCTTTTCTCTCTTTCGTATTTTTAGTTTTAGTCTCAATTTTTTACACATAAGCTTATATGTAATTTGATGTTTCCATTAGTAGATTTATGTAGTTCTACAGAATAAATTTGAGATTATAATATTTTTAAGTTTCGACTACGATTTGGAGTCGTTGAGTCAAAGAGTCTGTGATGCTTCCATGCAAGATGGAAGATAATTCGATTTCACCAGACCGTTATAACAAAGGAAGGGCTAATGTGGACCAAATTTGATCGATTGCTTACTCCTAACACACAGACATGAGACATACAACAGACTGCCCATGTGAGCTCTTGAAATAATAATAATAATAATAATAATGGCTATGTTCTTCTATCTTTTTAATACGGCAGGGAAACATCAAATTTCCATTCCAATTCAACTACTGCCTTAAAATGTGTATATAGTATATTCTCAAGGAAGGTCCACATGCTTCCACATTAATGATGCAACAATATCAAAGAGTTACCACAGAATGTGAATGCAACAGCAAATAATACTTAGGGACCATTTTCTTGATCATCCATTTCATCAAGGATCACATATTTTCCAGTTTGACTTGGAGCTTGCAGCTGCTTCTCGTCCTCTGTTTTGTGCCCCTTCTGCAGTTTCTCATATCTGACAAGAGATCAAAGCATATTTTCCAGTTTCAAAGACACAATATGAGAGTCTATTCATCTATCAACATAATAACAAAGAAGTTACTCAAAAGTTCCTTACTCTAGAAGGAGAACAAGAGTTACTTACTTGTACCAGTTGAACAAACTGACACCAACCATAATAATCATCAGACCAAAACCTTTCAGCCACGTAAATTCGTCATGGAAGTAAAACACTGCAACCTGTACGCACCGAGTAGAAGAACAACATTGAAGATTTTACCTCCGTAATTTGATTCAGCATTCATCAAATATTTCAAAAGTAGCACTGAGACAACTGAAATACGTTCTGTGTCATCGATCTCCCTTTCGCAAACAAGTATTGACCTATAACAATATCGTAAGGCCAGACATGAACTCAGAACCCATCCTATCAAGCCGACTCCAAAGTAGGTGGTTCTATTTGTATGCCATTTGACATATATAGTCTCGCCAACTTAAGATATGAGTTCCTTTGTCTAGAACAGCACACCATGGTTTCATTCAGATATAGTTAGGACTTTCTTGCATAAGAATAGAACCAGTTCAGTATTTACAATCTAAGCTTCACCAGTTAGATAATCCTTTTCTAATTTAAAACTCAGTGTCACCTAATCTTACGAATATATATTTGGAAAGTACGAAAAATGCTAGAGGTTGTATCATATTTTAACATACTAACAAACATAATCAGATAATGTAAAAATATAGGAAGTACCACTATGGTGACAGCCTCTTTAACAACGCCCGCTATTGTGACGGTTACAGCACTGGTCACGGAAACCAGAACATACTCTGTTAACACCTGAAACAAAATACTAACTAGTGAGCTTGGAAGACTGATCTGATACTATATTAGATCTTTATAAGCTGCTTCAACCTCCACCTATCAAGACAAGTTCATTCTTACATAACTATAAATTGTTAGCAAATGCTCACCATGAAAAACGCCAGTGCTCCACCAAAAAGCATCAAGAAACAAGTTCGAGCAAAATGCGCTCCACTATCAAAGTATCTGTTGTCTCTAAATTCACTCCATGGGTCCAGAAGGAGAGAAAGAAGGCCAGTCACTATAGCCATCACTGGTGCCACGTAACTCATAAATGTGAATGGATTTTTCAGGCCTAGGTAAGAAGAGTAGTATAAATTATTCATGTCTTGCGACTTTTAAGAAATTAACAGAGAAATTTATAGACACGAAAATACCAAGAGCAGAACTCACCATAGGTTTCTTTCTACACATCAATGTTGTCATCAAGATGCACCAAAAATATTGGAAGACACAACACAAGGATTAGTATAGAGAGATCCAATGCATGGCTTATAAGCAATAAAAAACTGATCTAGATAACATACCTGCAAAAGAACCTGAGTCATACACCAACGGAAACCAGACATGACGGCAGCAAGCATGACAAAAACGAAACCCCAAAACTCAAATTCTGTTTCCTTTGCAACTGGATGCAAATGAATAGTAATTAGCAGTATGATTAGAATAATCAAAACTAAGACATTTAGATGGATTCGTGTCTACAAAAAAAAAAGACATTTAGATGGATTTTGTAGCAAACAAGAAGAAGAATTGGCTAAGGTGAAAACGGAGTAAAGCATTATAAATGTTTGGAGAAAAACATACCTGTTAACAACACTCCTGCTGAGATAACTGAAATAATGCCAAAAAGTTTCAGGCTTGGAGATTCCAGCCTAATAAGAGAAACTGTGTCAGAATAACACAACAAACAAAAAGGATGGAAAACTCCATTATGAAAATGCAGCACCAAATCAGTGTGTTGGTTGAAAAAGAGCGATGTGTATTCAAAGAGTGATGTACAGAAAAGTATTATTAGGTTTGTATCGAGTCTACCACTGATAAATTTGTTATGTACAAAGCCTCATGCCTGGTCACAAGATCAAGATATAATTAAAAAAAAAAAAGGTTCTCGATAAAGCACCTGAAGGCAAAAGCGAACAGAAGAAGAAATATTGGGGCTGCAGATTTGCACTGCAAAGGAAAAAAAAAACGCGAGTTGATAAGAAAGGTCTCTCCTTCATTCACCTACAAATTCCTAACAAGTTGCATAGACCTACCACAGCAAATAAAACAACTAACCATTGTTGCAAACGTAACCGATATGAAGACAAGTGACTCATTACTTAGGTTTATATCCATTGCAGTTCCAAGTGCTGTTGGTACAACTGTGAAAGGAAAGTCCATGTGGGTCATCAGTTCATGCAAATTCGATATAATACTTCAATAAACTGAGACAAAAAAAAGCCTAAATCCTCTGAATTTTTCTATCTCTCGTCGTCACTAGATACTGTAGATGTTCGATGCAATGGATAAGTTGCAGAAAGTTCTCAATACTATATAGTGAGAATGGCAAAGAAAGTAATGGCTAAGGGAATGCTCATTAGCACGTAAAAAGACGACAAAAAAAACGTTCATGACATAGTTTTAGTTAGTTTACCTCTAACGAAATAGTCTCTCCATGATATGGTAACATCAGGTTGAAATCTTCCCGACCAGTACCATGTTATCATCTTTGATAAAACAGCTTGGATAGAAAAGTGAATGGTATTCATTAACAAGGGAGCAGGAAATTTCCCCAAATCATCTCCCAAGAGAGTTTTGTTGTACCTATAAAATAAGCAAACAAATTATATACTAGAAGTAAGGAAATAAAACAAGAAAAGGATAACGAATAGTCACAAAGACATACTTACAGAGTCAAAAATGTGCTGAAAGTGTACCATACAAGTATAAAAAAGAGTGTTTTTAGGATGTCAGCGGGAGAGATAGCCTCTTTAGACACTTTAGGCAACGTTTCAAGGTTATCACCGGAACTGAAACCAACATCAAAACTGCTGGAGTGGTTTGTCTCCTTCCTGGTTTCATTTTCTATATCAAATGGCTCTAAAACCTGTTCTCTGTCTACATCTCCCTGATTAGATATAGCTTCCACTGTGCTACCACCGCGTAGCTGTATTCTTTGCTCCATCAATAAACTCAACAGCTAAGCTTTCTGGCTCCCATTCACAGACCACTCTAACAGAGAATGCAATCTAGTACATACAGCCCTTATTTACTCAACAGGGATTTCGAAAAATCATCAACGCGTACCCCTGTAGTGGATAACTTGCCAACACTCTGTAGCATATCCTAGCAGATTAACAGAATTAAAAGAGGGCAGTCTTTGGTGACTAATATATGCAATGCGATTCTCTGGAATCGCTTGACGTTTGACCTAGAATCACAAACAGAAGCTTAAGCCAGTCAATATTTATGTGAGTAATTCCATGATGATAACCAATCAATGACCTAGGGAGTAAGTGGAAAGCAAAGCAAGCAATCACAAGAGACACATTTCAATCAAGGCAAACTCCTAATACGCTGATGCAAGGATTCAAACTCAACAACTTCCAACCCGAATGAAAACAAGCCCTATCTATCTACAAATAACGAAACTAGGCAGATCTGTAAGCGCTGCCACGAAAACGAAAAAGAAGAAAAAAAATGAAGAGGCTGCTTCAAGATAAATAAAGCTAAGTCAGTAGAGCCTAGAAAAAAACAAACAAACGCATACAAGAATGAAAACCAAGACGAATGAATCTGAGTTGCAGATTCGGCTCAATAAATCGGGTGAGAAAGATGCGAAACGATGATTAAACTCTTAAAACCATTCCAAATCTGGAAAAAGTCAATGATTCCGAGCTCAAACAAATCAAGCCATTAACGAATAGAGAAGACCTCTCAACCTGGATCGGGAGTGAGGTAAAAGTTCACAGATTCAAAGCTCGCGAACGCGGAGAAGAAAGCATATATCAATCCGAGCAGGGCAGGGAGGGTCCCGGAGGGAAAGAGAAATCGGCGTGATGGATCTGATCGGAGCGTGGAAGCTGCGGCCACTTTGTGTTGTGATTTTGATTTCGAGTTGCAACAACAGCTGGTTGTTGGAGTTTGATGCAATTTTACGAAAACATTACCGCTCGGATTCTTTGCAATGCAACTTGCGTTAGTGTATACTATTGTAACAAGAAATACAATATTTTCGGTTTTTAATGAAGTTCTCGATATATATTTATTTTGTTCCGCTTTTCGAAATAAATATATATGTATAGACAGATCCATTCCAGTTTGGTTTATTTGGAGAATTTTGTTTCCGTCAGGTTATTATTCTATTTGGAGTGTTTTCATATAAAAGCTAACCGAAATTTGTCAGCTCCGATGGCAACAAATTGATTGGATTTGGTGTGGTTTCAGCTCTATTGGGATATGGAGTATTACTTGTAGTTTTCTTTTTTCCCAACTCTTTGTTGTTTTTACAAATTTTATTTCATTGATGCTATTTTCTAGTTACTTTTAGATAAAGTTTATAATCGAAACGGTGGTCTAACAAATAACCAACACCGAAGTGTCTATTTCGACTATATAATGTACTCTTTTTTTCCTAAATAGATGATGTTTTAGGATTTATTCTTGTTTTAGGAGTATTTAATGTTATTTTATTTATAAATTAAAAAATATTTAATTTACATTAGTTGTAAAAATATTAAATTTCTGAAATAGTATTGGGAAGTGAGAATAATGGTTATACATTTATTGGAAATAGTAAAATAATTAAAACAAAAACAAAAAGTAGTTAGTAAAAAGATGTATTTATTCTTTTTTAATAAGTGTAAAAAATCTAAAACATCAAATATTGTGGAACAGAGGGAGTATACAATATCTTATTTTTTTTACCATGCGCGCTACTTTAAACCGTATATAATCGTTCTTATTATTTTGGTCGTTTACAACTTACATACTAACACTGTAACACATAATCTGGATTTTAACAATATTAACCACAGTGCTAATCACAACCACTAGTCTATCATGGCTAAAAAAAATCTTCATAAACCAGAAGACTTTGGTCAGTAAACAAAAAAAAGACACTTAAAACGTAGGGTACAGTATTTTTGGTATTTGACAATTGATCTCAATCGATCGATCAGCAAAATGTCAAATAAAAGCAGCCGCTGAGATAATTTTATCATAAAGACGGGTCGTTATCATTTTGTTGTCTTTTTCCCCGGGGGACAAAATAATTATAATCTAAATCAAGTAAATCAATTCCACAACTTGAGAGAAGATATTTTCGAATCCCGCGCGCAAAGTTAAAAGCCACTCATTTTCAATCTGTGGTTCCCATCCCTCTCTATCTCTCCACAGATCGAAGAAAGCAGAGAGAGAGTTTTTTTTTTTTTTTTTTTTAAAAAAGATGGAGCTTGAATCCATCACCGCTAGACGCAGGCTCGCTACCGTCGCCGCTCACTTTCCGGCAAGTATTAACGATCCCGTCTCCACCGCACCTCTCGTCCCCTTGGTATTCCCTCTTCTCTCTCTCTCTCACTCGTTTTTCTTATCTGAAAGCTAGACGATTATTATGCTTTCCTTCCTTTGTTTTGTCTCGGAATAGTTTGGTTTCTCTGTTTCCTTTGTTTTCGTTTTGATAATCTTCTTTCATTTGTGATGCCTCAGAATTGCAGCAGCAGTTTGAATTCTGTCATCAGAAGATATGACAACAAAATCTCTTTTGCCCGGCAAGCATCTTCCGAACAGGGCTTTTTTATGAGGCAGGCTTCGACCGACGAGGTACCAAATATATTCCTTTTTATTGTTTTTAAGTTCCTTCTTATCTGGTGATTTTAATCAGCTATGGAGTTGAGATGTTCAATTAGTTTTGTTCACTATTTCTATTGTCTTCGTTCAATCTTCTCTGTCACTTGTGAAGCCTCAGAATGGTGGCATCAGTTTGAAGAACTCTGTCATTAGAAGAGGTGACAACAGGATGAATTTTGCTCGGCAAGCATCTTCTGCACAAGGTTTTTTTATGAGACAGGCTTCTTCAACTGATGAGGTAACTCCTTATTTAAGTTCCTCTTGTCTGGTGATTAAAGCTGCAAATGATCCTCCTATACTTTCTACTGATGAAAATTGTTTCAAAATGTTTTTGCAGAGGACCATACCACAGGACACTGCGTCTACCAAGTGCTCTGCCGCCAAAACGAATGGCTTCCTTTCTTCTATAGTTTCCAAACCTGAGTACGCCCCACCACAGTTTTCCAAGGCCGCAAAAGAAAAGTTCGCTTCTTCTTCTGATTCTTCACTAAATCAGGAAAAGGACAACTGGAAAAAGCCATCTAAGGCCGACCTTCCTAAGTTAGCCAATTTAGGTACGCATACAAATAGAGGATACCAGATATACATCCTATAAACTTCAATGTTTTCTGAAGTTGGATACTGCAAACACTTAATTGTTATAAGTAATATAACTAATAAAGCTGTTTTGTCGTCCACCTGGATATATAGCCAGAAGTACAGGAGCTATCAACCACATCTTCACTGATAAAAATGAGAACTTATAGAAGCTTGTTTTTTATTGCAGGGACTGTTTGGTCTCCAAGATCTAATGTTGCAGAATTCGAACACAACTATGTTGTGGCGGTAGAGCTACCAGGGGCCAGTATCAATGATATAAGGGTGGAGGTTGACAACACAGAGTAATTATTACGCGTCTTGACACATGTTTTACTTTACTTGCACACTTATACGCATGTAGTAGCAAATGTACTTACCGTGCTGCTGCTGCAGCTTGACTGTGACAGGGAGGCGCACATCTATCTGTCAAAAAGTTGATGCATGCACCAAAGATTCAGTCTTTGGATACCACAAGCAAGAAATACTACAAGGACCATTCAAAGTTTCCTGGCCACTCCCCAGCAATGTGAATAAGGATAATGTTTCCGCTGAATTTATGTGAGTAGACACTATACTTCTCTGAACAACCCAACATTATGATTAGTGGTTTTAGATTCCAATTTTTAACTCTTAGCACCAGTCACTAGCATGAATCAGTAATCTAGAATTTTGCGAGCGCTAACAACAATTATTGCATTTGGAGCAGGGATGGGCTACTGAGGATAGTGATTCCAAAGCTTTGAGGGTTCAGCGTTCTGGAACCATATACATACCGTAGACAATGTGTATAATTAGTATATGCTGTTTGTGTTGAAGAAAATAAAAAATGGATTGATGAAAGAAAGATATGTAAAATAGTTGTCTTTATTTATCACAGATTGCAGACAGGCATGCTCAGTTGATAGAGTAAGCCATGTAAACAATCCATAAATATATTAAAAAAAAAAAGGCTTGACTACTACTACTATCCAAACCCAGAAAAAGAAAAGAAAAAAGAAATTACCTAGAGCTGGAAATCTCAAATCTAATCTACTACGAACCAAGGATAATTATTGCATTAAGTAATTGGGAAGCGGTCCAAGGTAATCAGCAGCATATGGTGTCTGAGACGGGTAAGGGAAAGTGGTCGAAGGTAGCTGATTAAGCTGATTCACATACACACCATTATAGTTCATCCATTGAATACCTGAAGGATTCCAGTAGACAAGAGGGCCCACAAGCTGAGACTGGTCATAGTTTGGGACATAACCATTATGGTAAATCAGATCAGAAGAAGGATACGAGACTAGACTCTGCTGGCACATCACAGGCGAGGAAGCTAGCTCAGGCGTGGTGGATGTAACCACCATTCTTTTCCCAATTCCATAGAGCATTCCTTTAGCAAAGTTAGAGTCTTCATAGACTTGCTTAAGCTTGCTAAAGACAAGCGCAGTCATTAAGCTGTCTGAACCAGCGTGATGTGCTCTTCCCACACGTGCGATCTTCAGTAGCTGAGCTAGTTTGCTTAACCCGAGGTGTTCACCGAGCCCTTCGCAGAATCCAGCCATGACCTTCAAGTCGTAAACATCGCCAAAGACTTTCACAACCTCTGATGCAAACTCTCCGCGAGTCTCGGGGAGTTTCCCATTGTTGAGGATACACAAGAAGTAGGCGAAATCGTAAGCTCCCTGGAAAGTAACGAACTCGACGTTTTTCTGAGAGCGAAACGCAGAGAGGAGCTTGGGGAAAAACCCATACCCGAACATGTCAACTCCTTCGTTTCTAATCTTGTCCAAATCCAAACCGTGTCTCCTCAGAAACTCGATCGAAATCTCGTTGCGAGTGTCTGATGGGTCGCCGAAATTGGAGAAGTTAATCTCCCAAGTGCCACCGATCTCTCCCTTGGCGTTGAAGAGAGTGAAGCCACACTGGATCAGCTTCGTCGATTCGACGTTGGCTTTCATGGCGATGTACCATTCGTCGGAGGAGGAGTCAATGTAAGTCCGGTGAATAATCCCAGGGTACTCTGTATCGAAAGCGATGAGTGGGTATCGCTTAAGACATTCTTTCAATCGAGCCATCTCTTCATCGATGTTCCTCCCCCATACTTTCGTCGTCCTCGGCTCTGATCTTAATTGCTGATTCTCGTTCATGGGTACTGCAGAAAATAAAAATTAGGGCTTTCTTTTTAGGAGGAAGAGGCATGAATACGAGAAGTCTGTTTGATTGTGAGCATTAGGGTTCTTCTTCTCAAAAGACTTTTATAAGGTCTCTTTCTTCTATTTATTCTTTTTTATTTTTTATTTTTAAAAATAAAATCGGTGTACCTGAGTTTCCTTTTTTCTCGGATGTTTTAATTGATTAAGATGTTTATCATAGCTTGCTCACCAATTAATCAAACATCGAGGAGTGAGTTATGCGTCCTGATCTCCGTATCTGAGCTGTTTAAATCCACCTCAGAATTTGGAACTTCGTTTATCTTATATAATTAATAAATTGTATTTTGGAAATCTTGTTTTTTTTCTTTTTTTACTCCAATATATATATGGCAATTTACAAATGATAAAAAGGCAGTTCTGACAATTTAGTAAAAGTTAAAACAAATCTAAGTTTGAAAATAAGTGTACTTTCAAAGTTAATATTGAAAATTAATTAAGAGCTACACCACTTTTAGATTTAAGATTTAGTTTTTACTTTTTATTTAGTTGAATTAATCTTACATTTTTAATGTGGCGGGCTGACTTGTAATAATTGATAGTTTAAAGGTTTGTTTGTACTTTTTTCAATAAATAATACTAGAGTTAATAATCAAAATATTGTACACTATACAATGTTTATCCTAAAAAGTGTGTTAAAGCCGGTATTATGACCAAAAAGTTATAATTGTACACCGGGATTTGAGGCAATTTGCCAAGTAAGCCATTAGGTTTTGCAAATTTGCAAAGTAATATGTTTTGGCATTTTGGCTCTTATTAAGATCTTGAACATTTTGATCCCAAAATAGACAGAGTTGTTGTTTCAGACCAAAAGGAGCGCATCCACAAATATAGAAGACGACATTGTATTAATACTCGTTCTTTCGGGTCGTTTTATAGAGTATGATGATATCTTCATCTCGAGTCACAGACAAAAGACAGTTCTGAAGATTTGACATTTTGCTATGCACGTAAGGTGTTCGACATAATTCCGCAGAGATTGTTTTATATGACAACGTTGTGGAACGAGGAAAACCCAAACTAGCTCCTTAAGATAGTAATGAGGTTTGGCCTCATGAGATCACTTCTGATTCACCCGTGTGGTGGCTCCATCACCACTGTCCGATCAACAACGACGTCTGCTCAGTATGTGGCTTCCAGATCAAGAGACCCTGTTTTCGAGAAGCTCATGGACAAATACAAGAACCTTCTCAAGGTCATCGCCATACAAGACCTTATCGTCGCGAATCCAACAGCTGATCCTCCTTGTGTATCCATTGAGTTTCTCTCCAGGCTCTCCCAGAAGCTCCACCTCAACCGTGGCGCCGCTTCTTTTCTGCGCAAGTACCCTCACATTTTTCATGTCTTTTATGATCCTGCGAAATATCAGCCCTTTTGCAGGTTAACTGATATAGCCATGGAGATTTCTCGTCAAGAGGCTTTGGCTATCTCTGCTACTCTGTCTCTTGTTGTTGACCGGTTGGTTAGGCTTTTGTCTATGTCGATATCAAAGTCAATCCCGCTTCGTGCGGTTTTCAAGGTTTGGAGAGAACTCGGGCTCCCAGATGATTTTGAGGACTCTGTGATCTCAAAGAACCCTCACGTTTTTAGGCTTAGTGATGGTCATGAACCCAATACCCATATCTTAGAGCTCGTTCAGGAAGACGAGAAAAGACTGAGTTTTGAAGCAGCGGTTGAGAAATGGAGGGTGGTTGAGTGTTCCAAGGAGAATTGCAGTGTCGATAGAACCGAAATTCAGTTTAGCTTCAAACATAGTTACCCACCAGGAATGAGACTGAGCAAGGACTTTAAGGCTAGAGTTAAGGAATGGCAGAAGCTGCCTTATTTGGGACCATACGAGGACATGATTGGTAAGAAAAAAAGCAAATCTGGTGTGATGGGATTAGAGAAAAGAGCGGTTGCGATTGCTCACGAGTTCCTCAGCCTGACTGTGGAGAATATGGTGGAGGTAGAAAAGATCAGCCATTTCAGAAAATGTTTTGGGATTGATTTGAACATAAGAGATTTGTTCTTGGATCACCCAGGCATGTTTTACATGTCAACTAAAGGGAAAAGACACACGGTGTTTCTCAGAGAGGCTTATGAGAGGGGACGTTTGATAAATCCAAATCCAGTCTACGACGCGAGGAGGAAGCTTCTTGATCTTGTCCTCTTGGGTCGCCATGCTGCTATATCAGACTCTAGGGACACAAATTTGTCTGAAGAAGAATGAAAAATTTCTTGGTCCTTTTTAGCCTAAGATATGCAAGTGAGATGCGATCACCAAGAATCACTTGTGTATGAAACACTTGAGAGATGCGATCACCAAGAATGAAGCAATCTTGAACCTCTTTAACTGCATATGCGTCGAGGAATGACAATACAAGATAATCTCTGTCTCTGTGCCGTTTGACTGATCAATCCCGACCCGATTCTCGGATCAAATGTCTTGCTCACAAGCAATGTTTTAGCAGGAAAAGCAAGTGACTTGACGCATAAGTGAGTATTTAGGTTAAATTGATTTCCTGCAGAAGTTTTGATCCGTCTTTGTTGTGTACTTTGTAGGTTATGTCGACAGAAACTATCCAAACTGAATAAGTCTTCTTTCTTTGGATTTTGCTTGGCTGCTAAATGCTGCATGTGGCTTTCCTTGTGCTACTAAAACTCTTTTTTTTTATTATTTTAGAAAGAAAATTACATGTTTTAAATCTCTAATTGCAATCTTGTTTTTATCATTTGTCATTACAAGGGTTTAATATATATATATATATAATTAATAAATTAACAAGATTATGTTTTTTTGGGGGGCAAGATATTTATTTAGTTTTTTTTTTGTCGTAGATATTTATTTAGTTATCTGGTGAAAGAAGGTTGGAAAAATCAAAATGAACCTTCAAATGTAACAAAAAGGACTGAAAATAAATAAATAATAGTATATCGGAGAGTTAAGGAAAAGCCGCGAGGCCACTGAGAGGAAGACACGTAAGATATTCAGAAACCACATCTCTTCTCTTCAAAAATCCCATTCTTAATTCTCTTCCCCAAACATTTGACATTTGACACTAGCTTCTTCTTCGTCTGCCAAATTTTCACAGGTGCGATTCTCTCTTCACCCCATCCTTGTAATCTCAAGCAATTGTTGTTAGAATTTCTTTGTTCTGAATCTGGGTAATCTCAGTCTTCGTGAGCATGATTTTACTTCCTGGCTTTTGTTCAGCTACTCCGTTCTCGTCGGTCTGAGTTTTTGTTTTTTAGTTCGAGATATTTATGGTACACTCATTGGCTATTTTGATAGATTTATTTTTGGAGCATAGAAAGGTTCCAAACTCTGTTCCTATGCGTCTCTAAAGGTCGATGATGTTAATTATACGTTACCAGAAACTTGCATGTTCAAGTTCAATCTGTTTTTCGGTTTATTTGGTTGTTCTTATTTTGGATCTCGGGTTTTTTGTTCACGTTATGGCTTGTAATCGTGTAAATTGCTCACTGATCTTGTTTTTTTTTTTTTTTTTTTTTTTTGTAACAAGGGTTCACTGATCTTGTTAAATGTTATGTATAGTGCAGATGGCTGCTTCTTCGGCTTGTCTTATCGGGAGCGGATTATCTGTCCACACAACCAAACAGAGGTCTAAACAGCTTGGCCTCTCCTCAACGTTTGCTTCAGTTGATAGGACATCTAAAGTTACTGTTGTGAAGGCTTCTTTGGATGTGAAGAAACATGAAGCAAGAAGAGGTTTCTTCAAGCTTCTACTTGGAAACGCTGCAGCCGCCGGGGTGGGTTTGCTTGGAAGTGGAAAAGCAAATGCAGATGAACAAGGGGTTTCTTCGTCTAGGATGTCATATTCTAGGTTTCTAGAGTATTTGGACAAAGGAAGGGTTGATAAAGTAGATTTGTATGAGAATGGGACTATAGCTATTGTGGAGGCTGTTTCTCCTGAGTTGGGTAACCGGATTCAGCGTGTACGCGTGCAGCTACCGGGATTAAGTCAGGAGCTTCTCCAGAAGCTGAGAGCTAAGAATATTGATTTCGCAGCACATAATGCTCAGGAAGACCAAGGCTCTCCGTTACTCAACTTGATTGGGAATCTTGCATTCCCAGTGATTCTGATTGGTGGTTTGTTCCTTCTCTCGAGACGGTCCTCTGGTGGAATGGGTGGCCCTGGTGGTCCCGGCTTCCCACTTCAACTTGGTCAGTCGAAAGCAAAGTTCCAGATGGAGCCAAACACCGGTGTGACTTTCGATGATGTTGCTGGAGTCGATGAAGCCAAGCAAGATTTCATGGAAGTGGTGGAGTTTCTGAAGAAGCCTGAGAGGTTCACTGCGGTTGGTGCCCGAATCCCTAAAGGTGTTCTCCTTATTGGCCCTCCTGGTACTGGGAAAACACTGTTGGCAAAAGCCATTGCTGGTGAAGCCGGTGTACCCTTCTTTTCCATCTCCGGTTCTGAGTTTGTTGAGATGTTTGTCGGTGTTGGTGCCTCAAGGGTCCGCGACCTTTTCAAAAAAGCCAAGGAAAATGCTCCTTGCATTGTTTTTGTGGATGAAATAGATGCTGTTGGTAGGCAGACAGGAACCGGAATTGGTGGGGGTAATGACGAAAGAGAACAGACCCTAAATCAGCTCCTGACTGAGATGGATGGTTTTGAGGGTAACACTGGTGTTATCGTAGTTGCTGCAACCAACAGGGCAGATATTCTTGACTCCGCCTTGCTGAGACCAGGGCGTTTTGACCGGCAGGTAAATATTTGATCAGAATGCTTTTTTTTTACTTTCCATTGATCTTCTACAGCTGGTTGCTCAACGTGTGTTGTTCTTAACGCAGGTGTCTGTTGACGTTCCAGACGTTAAGGGAAGAACAGATATTCTCAAGGTTCACTCCGGGAATAAGAAATTCGAGAATGGTGTTTCACTAGAAGTAATAGCCATGAGAACGCCTGGATTTAGTGGAGCTGATCTTGCAAACCTCTTGAACGAGGCTGCCATACTGGCAGGACGCCGTGGAAGGACAGCAATATCATCAAAAGAGATTGATGACTCAATTGATAGAATTGTAGCTGGTATGGAAGGAACAGTCATGACTGATGGGAAGAGCAAAAGCTTGGTCGCTTACCATGAAGTTGGACATGCCGTCTGTGGGTAAGTCAGAATCAGATTAGAAGCATGTGTGTGTATGTGTGTGTTATCAAGAGCTATTCTGAAGTTCATTCTTTCTTCTTGCAGAACATTGACTCCTGGACATGATGCTGTTCAAAAGGTCACATTGATTCCACGAGGCCAAGCGAGAGGTCTGACTTGGTTCATTCCCTCAGATGATCCAACTCTAATCTCCAAACAGCAACTCTTTGCAAGAATTGTTGGTGGACTCGGAGGTAGAGCCGCTGAAGAAGTCATCTTTGGTGAGCCTGAGGTGACTACTGGCGCGGTTGGTGACTTGCAACAGATCACCGGTCTGGCCAAGCAGGTATCTACTACAGCCCCAGCTTCAGTTTAGCTTAAATTAGTAAGTGATGCTGATAGTAATTGGTTAATGACTTGCAGATGGTGACAACATTTGGGATGTCTGAAATCGGACCATGGTCGCTAATGGATTCGTCGGCTCAAAGCGACGTCATAATGAGGATGATGGCAAGAAACTCAATGTCGGAGAAGCTTGCAAATGATATCGATTCAGCGGTGAAGACACTATCAGACAGGGCATACGAGATAGCTCTGGGGCACATAAGGAACAATCGCGAAGCTATGGACAAGATTGTTGAAGTACTTCTCGAGAAAGAGACAATGTCAGGCGATGAATTCCGAGCAATCCTATCTGAATTTACCGAAATCCCACCTGAAAACCGTGTTTCTTCCTCAACGTCAACATCAACATCAACACCAACACCCGCTTCTGTCTAAGAGACATTGATTCTCTCAAAAAACTCTGTGTATATCTTCAGATACTTGCCCATACTATGTAACAAGTAAATCTTATTTTGCCTAGTTGAAGTATATATACGAACCTTTTTTCTTCAAACTCAACCGCAATGGCTTAAAGTTCAGACCTAAACAAAATTATATCTGCAAGTGTGTTGTTCAATAGTTGTCTCAGATTCAGCAACATTGATGCATAGTTCACAGATTATACATAATTACATACATTGGTAATGTGATGGTGCTCCAAGATTTATGATTATTATACATAATTACATACACACGACAACACTGCTTCTCCTAAGGAGCAGGAATCAAACCCTAGACATAGACCTAATGCTTTTGGGAAAGTTTATAAGACCATGATTCCAAGTCACATTTCCTTTTCCTTTTGAGGGACACCTGAACTGAGCTCCATCGTTCTAACCCTTCTTAACCCAGACCATAGGAACAAGTGTAGACGACCAATAATGTTTCCGGTTTCGATAATAGCCTTGTCCGCTGTTCAATCTCACAGGTCCCTCAGTTTCTCTTCCTTCCTCTTCCACTCTCAGATCCTGAAATTGAGTTTCTACAGAAATTAAATGACTAGCAGCAGCATTATCTCCCTTGGATAACTCTTCTTTCACCGGATTATTCTTCTCCCTCGAGATGTCCACCTTCGATTCCTCCACATGATTCTTAGTCTCCTTCTTAGACCATATCTTCTTTCTCTCCCTCGGATCTCTTCCATCCTCAAGTTGCTCTTTCTCGACGCATTTTGGTTTCTTTTTCCGTTGGTTCTTAGGAAAGCCTCCGCCTAAACACTTTCCCTCGAGATTCACTCTTGGTTCCATGGCCTCTTGTACTACTACTACCTTCATTATATCTTCTCTCCTTCGTTGTCCATTAACCTGCTGCTTCAGCTTCACTCCTCTCTCAACTAAGTCTTTCTCCTTCTGATTTCGCTCTTTCTCCTTCATCCAACGCTCCTGAAGCTCAAGAATGGATACGTAATTTGCCGGAACCGAAGCCACACTCTTCATCTTCCCATTAATTCTCTTCTCCATTGATTTTTTTATTTTTATTTTCCTTTGCTTCTTCCACTCATCAAAGCAACCAACAAAGGAAAGAGGGCAAACAGTTAAAAAGACTAGAAAAGCGATCGACGCAAACGACAAAATCCGTTAAGGCCCAATGGGCTCATAGCTGCTTACCAGTTTGTAAGGCCCACAAGCACTCGAAGCGAGAAGAACCCACTAGCGAGTGCTGTATAATCAAATAGAAAACGGCAAAGAGAGACTATATTAATAAAAAGGAAAGAATTCAACAATGGTGAACACGCAACGTTATCTTTACATCTTCACAGTTTCATTTTCTCTCAGATTCCAATAACAGACGAATCCAACAAATTGATAGTTTCTCAAGATCATCCAATTACACAATAACAATAATAATAATAATATTTAAAAGAAAAAAAAAAAGAAAGAAAAGATCAGGAAAAGCATTTGCTTCTTGCTACTTCAACATGCTGCAAAGATCTAAAACCAGACACATCATTTTTCCTCCTCCTTCGGACTGTTCTTCAAATACCATCTGAAAAGAACAAAGCTTTCACATCACCAGTTTTTTTTCTTTTTTAACCATTAAAACTCGCTACCCTTTTCTTCTTTCTTTCTTTCATTCTTTCTTTCTTTCAATCACTACAGACCAAACTCTTCGTTTTTCCTTGTCTCCGTCTGTTTAATGTCTTTAGCCATCTACGCACATTATTCATTGATAGTGTTTATGAGAACCAGACCATAGATTGTTGTAGAACGAGAGAAAATAGAGCTGGAATTGAGATCATAGAGGACAAAACCTGGCAAAAAATCTGGTTTCAAATCAAAGGGCACCATCAAGTTCACGCATAGAGAAGTTCGAAGCCTCTGATGCTTCAGCTAGAGATTCAAGCATGCTTGTCACTTCAGTAGTATCGTCCAAATAGTATTTAGCCTTGCTTGGCTTTTGCCCAACTGTGCATGCAAAGACAAGAGCATTTGCACATAATAATCTTTTCGACATTGCATTACCAATCGCTTCGAACATGTCTTCATCAGATCGATCATCTCCAATACATAGCACGAAATCTACTGGTTTTCCCTTTTCAGCCATTGATGAAAATATCTTTTCCGACACGGATCCTTTGCTCACTCCCTATACTCACAAAAGCCAGGAATTAGAAATGTTTGAAGATATACTAACGCTTGAATCAAGCAGAAGAAAATAACTTACCTGAGGCTTGACTTCGACGATGTAGTGACCGCTTTTGACTGCAACAGGCTCATTAGCTAGAACACTCTCTAGATGCTCTAACATTTCCTTTGCTTGCAAAGATCCAAAGCCTGGATCTGCATCTCGATATTGCCAAACCAAAGCACTCTCTTTGATTTCAATGGAAGAGCCATCAGTAGATTCAGTGTACTGTTTCATTACAGGTTCCACGATCTGCATCCAACCAAAATCAGAGCTCTGGCCACATGTTTCCCATTCTTCGTTGCCTGACCACCTAAGAAATAGGAAAAAAAAGGTATGTTACTAACACTGGAGGAGAAGATTTACACATTTAAACAAGTTGTACCAAAAAATCCTAGAGAAGAAATGTACTTTAAGAAGTATCCATGCTCGGCTGCAATTCCAATGTTTTTGCACGGCGAGAACCATTTGCCTAAGCTTTCCCTTCCTCTTCCGCTGACAATGAAAATTGAATTCTTCTTGTCCTCACAAAGTGCATCCAAGAAGTTAAGAACTTCCTGGCTGGGAGCTTTATTGATGGAGTTTTGAGGCATCAGGGTGCCATCATAATCCAACAGTATAGCTCTGCTTTTAGCCCTTTTGTAGTCCGACACAATGCACGGTATTGAAAGCTTTCTAAAGTTAGGATCGAGTGCCACAACTCTGAAACCAAAACTGATCCCCATTCCCCAACACCTTTTCTTGAAATGGTCCACACATATCCTCTCTAGGTCTTGCAAGAAACTTCTTGACCAAAAAGCAACATCGTGAGTACTAACATACCGGAAATGTTTCTCGTGTCGCAGCTGTTTCTCAGGATCACCCATTGAGAGGGCCTCATTTAGCGCTTCTCCAGTCGCTTCAACATTCCACGGGTTTACCCGTATAGCCCCACTAAGCGAAGGAGAACATCCAATAAACTCCGATGCAACCAACATGCTCTTCTTTGGGCCACTAAAGTCTGACTCAGACCCCAGCAGACCCTGCCTACAAACGATGTATTCATAGGGAGTAAGGTTCATACCATCCCTCACAGCAGTAACGACTACACACTCGGCAATATGGTAATAAGCGTTAATTTCATATATCGAAAGCGGAGTATCAATGTATACGATAGGTTGATATCCAGGTTTCCCAAACTCTGCATTGATCCTCCTGCAGCTTTCTTGGATTTCACCACGTATTTCGTCTATATCAATACCTTTACCCCTAGCAGGATTTACAATCTGAACCAGGACAGCTCTTCCCCTCCAATTCGAGTGCTGCTTAAGCATTTGCTCCATTGCTAGAAGCTTGAGGTTTATACCCTTGAAAATGTCCATGTCATCAATACCAAGCAGCACCGTCTTACCTTCGTAACGCTTTCTGAGCTCTATCACCTTACCCTCCTCCTCTGAATATCTCATCACCGACTGAATCCGACCCATGTTGATCCCCACTGGCATGATCTTGATTCCCACAGTCCTCCCGTAGTACTCCAGCCCGATGTAGCCTCTCTTAGACTGATATTCGAGACCCAACATCCGACTGCAGCAAGTAAGGAAGTGACGAGCATAATCGAATGTGTGGAAGCCAATAAGGTCGCTGTTAAGTAACGCCTTAAGAATCTCTTCACGAACAGGAAGGGACCTGTATATCTCAGATGAGGGGAATGGACTGTGGAGGAAAAAACCCATCCTAATCCGGTTAAAGCGTCTTCTCAGAAACGTAGGTAAGACCATCAAATGGTAGTCATGAATCCAGACATAATCATCATCTGGGTTTATAACCTCGATTACTTTCTGGAAGAAGAGCTTATTTGTCGCTACGTAAGCCTCCCAAAGAGACCTATCAAATCTTCCGCCATGATCAGCTGAAAACGGAAGCATGTAATGAAAGAGTGGCCATAGCTGCCTCTTGCAAAAACCGTCATAAAACTTGGATTGCAGATCAGGTGGGAAAAAAGTTGGAACGCATTTAAATTTGTCCAACAGTATCTGCGCCACATCGTCTTGTTCATGTGAATCAATATCAACGCTCAACGATCCAACATACAATACCTCCATATCCTCTGGCAAACCGTCCTTAAGCTGCAAATACAATGCATCTTGATCCCAACTGAAACTCCAGCATCCATTTCGTCTCTCCGCCTTCAGAGGAAGCCGATTAGCCACGATGATCATCCGATCACAGGAAACCGATGAGGGATTATCGGAAGACACACTGTATGCTTGATCTTCATCAAACTCGGATACATTACCAGGAACTGTCATTACCCTAGGAAGCCGCCTACGCTCTCTTCCCATGACAGGGAAATTCCCTGACGCCAGGTCTAACAAATTAGTGTACGACCTAGAAATCATCTTCGCTGTCTTCAATGGCCAGAAGAATCCACAAAAGACACACTACTTCAATAAACCTGCATCATAAGAAACCCAAAAAATGCAGTAAGAATCATCTCCACGAACAAACTCAACAAGATCTACGCACAGAGATACCCAATTTAAAAAAAAAAATCAATATTTCAATCATTTAGAATACCAATCAAGACAAATCGAGAGCTTGCGTAATACCCAGATATCAAAAAAACTGGCTCAAATCAACAATATTTACTGAGTTAAGGAAAAACAAAAAGAGCTGAGCTTTACGCGCAGAAGAATAAAATCGGATGAATGACACATTCCTATCATCCAAAAGCAAGATCCATGAAAATTACGACCTAAAAAGCTAAACAAAACGGAAGGAAGATTCACCTTTCGGATACACAAAAATCTGAATCGGAAGCGACCCGATCCCTCAATTCAGCAAAAACAAACAAGGACCCCAAAAATGAAATTAAAAGAAAAAGAAGAAATAGAACCGAAAATCCCTTTGAATTAGTCACACATCGAGACTCACCTTTTTTGTTCCTTGGCAAATGAAGAATCTGATCTTCTATCTAACCCAAAAATGAAACGTGAAATTTAATCTAGGGTTTATATGGAAATCTCTGGAAAAGAAAAAATAAATAAAAATCTCTGTTTCCAGCCTCATATGTGTATTTGGGAGTAATATCATATATGCCCCTCTATTCAATAGACGAAGCTACTCTGACCACTATATTTATCTTCAAAGGTCAAAAGTTTCTTACCAAAAAGAGATACCTGTTTCCTTATCTTCAAAAAAAAAATATTACAGTTGGCCATTAAATCAGATTTTGCTGATATGATACTATTTATTAACATTGTTTAAATTGATTGAAAATATCAAATAGTATTATTATTCTGTAAATAGTTCTATATATACAGTTTTGTACATTTGTCTTGATTCATTTTTTATAAACGTTTGATTTATTTAAAATTAAAGATAAGAAATGAAAATATAATCACAGAAAAATAAAATATAATGATATATTTTAAATATTGAATGATTTTTATGTAATTTTAGTGAGTAAAATATAGGGGTCTCCTATAAGTATTAGTAAAGTATGGGGTAGATATGTATAAACAAATGAAATAAAGGTGGGGCAATGATATTTAGAGTAAAGTCGTACGTATAACAGTCGTACATCGTGTGTGATATGGAAGCTGTTTGGATATATGAATCTCAAAGGGAATATTATTTTTTTAATTATTTTTGTTTTATTGCGATTTTACTGGTCAAACCGAAGGGGCTTACTCAGTGATTATAGAGTATTAAAATCGAACGACCGTCACCGAGTCGTTTGCTTCGCTGTCCATGAGCACATGTCATTTTAACAACGTACTTAAAAAACCAATCGGATTGGACAGTGACGTAGAAAGAAGTGACAGCCTCGTCGTGGTAACTTTACCTTTGGTTTAGAAAATTTGGATAAGGCGAGTAAGCCAGCCGGACTCGCACTATTGCCAGCTGGCATGAGTGCAAATTGGGTATGTCACGCGCGAGGAGAAGCGCGTGCGGAGGCGGACACGTGATATGGAGAAACAACGTGAGGACGCGTGATGCTGCCCGTATGCGATGGGTGGGGTCTACTCTTTTGCTAAGGAGTGCTTAAATGGGCCCCCCTAAGTCTCTCTCTTGCGCTCAGTACCCCAAACGTGTCTAGAACCTCATTTTTGGACACTATGACACGTGTCGAAACAGGGGACACTTTTTAGCGGGTGGTGTGTGACCAGAAGAGAAGAGAACAAGTCTCTTACGTTTTTTTTTTTGGGGGGATCACTCTTTTTTTTTTATCTAGTGGTGGAAGAGATATACGGATATACTACGGTATACACTAGAGTTCTAAATTAATGAAACTCGTTGGTCAAATAATTGTTGTTTGCATTTTCTCTAATTTGTCTTTACTCTTTAATCATTGATTAGTTGTAGGCTTGCAGTTTATAACGACCGATTTTTGTAATGTCACTGTTTAGATTGTACTTGAAGAATATATTTTTTTAAAAATGCGTGGATTAAAATAATATCGACAAAACAGGTAAAATCAAAAATAAATTCCAGATTTACAATAAGAAGGTGTGATTTCAATTGTTGGTTTTTCTAGCTTTTTAATGTAGTTTCATGTTAGAGTGTTTTTAAGTTTTAACCATTTTAAAACACTATTTATATAAGGTATTGATCGAATATATACAATCTTAGAACTAGCTAGTCCATTCCTGATTCCCCTATAACTTTTGTAACGATTGACTGTGACTGTAAATTCCTCAAGAACGATACTCGTGGAGCCGTGGAGGCTGTCCCAGTGTACTCATAGTGCAGGGAAACAATTTAGCTGGTGAAAAAAAAAGGGGCTGAAAATGAACTTTTATTATGTAAGATTACCGGTATAATTCTTGGTTTTTGAATATTACCGGTATAATTCTTGGTTTTTGTTGTTTCCATTTTTTGTTAGAATGTCGGTAAGCCAATTGAAAAAGATGGATTGGTTGGGGGGAGGGGGAAATGGGAGATATACAGCTAGTAGCTACATTAATTTTTCTTTTCTTTTTGACATTCACCTTCTCATATTATTAATTTATACTCCCTACAAAGATTCGCCAAGCTTGCAAAACAGATAAAACTTGAGATTTAGATTAGAGCTAAGGTGTGATATAACTAGCCTAAAGCAAACTATTGATTAGCTACACTAATTCCAACGACCCGAAAGTAAATAAAAAAAAAATTTTAATAGTAATTTATTCATCATCAGTCATTTTTAAACCAATTTGAGAGTAAACAAATTAAAATTTCTTTAAAGTCAGAGCCATTTTTAAAGTATATATAGTAGTGACTTCACCAATAAACGTTTTAAAAAGAAAAACGATATTTTTCGAGTGGAACTAATTTAAGCTGGAATGCGAAAAGGTATCTGGTTAAGCGCAACTAATTTAGCTGGAATTAAAGGACTTCCATTAGTTTAAAATGCGTCTTTAATTCAAAAAGAAGCATAAAACGATTCTGAGCCAAGCCGACAAAATCTTTCATTGTCATCATCTGAATCATTATCATCAAAAACAAACAGTAAATCCCCAAATTCGATCCTCTCTCTCTAATGGCTAGTTACAAAGCTGATGAAGAGTATGATTACCTCTTCAAGCTCGTCTTGATCGGCGACTCCGGTGTCGGCAAATCGAATCTGCTCTCCAGGTTCACTAAGAACGAGTTCAATCTCGAATCCAAGTCTACTATCGGTGTTGAGTTCGCTACCAAGACACTCAAAGTCGAATCAAAAGTCGTCAAAGCTCAGATTTGGGATACTGCTGGTCAAGAGAGGTGCGATTACCCTTCGTCTCTTGTTTTTTCATATTTTTGTTGTCCTGCTTAGTTGAATTCAATCCTTTGGAGTATAAGGTTTTGAAATTCGTTTTGTCAGCTGAAAAAATTCTCGTTGTTGACTTCGTGTTCGATTTGCTGGTGTTTGATTTTCATGAATCTGTTGCCTTGTCTAAAAGATTTTGCGATATTTGGTTTTTAAGTGGTTAAGCTGCTGTAATAGATCAATAGTTGGTTTATCACACAAGTTAAAGTGTGTTTTTGCATTTTCCGCTTTGCGTGATCTTTACCTTATATATAATTCTCAATGAAGCCCGCTTTGCTAAACTTAGAAGATTTCGACTCCAAGTGAAGTTAATCATATTCACAAGAGCTATTCTGTTTCTTGGGTTCCCTTTTCTACCGGTAAGAAATATCTGTTTGATCAGAAACAGAAACAGAGTTTTGTGTTGAATTGCTGCTAAAATCTATTGTTATATGGTCAGGTGTGGTTACTTGAGAGTCTAGCTATAAATATTGTTACTGAAGTTACCACCGTTGTTGTTATTGTGTCTCTGTAACTGTCTTAACATCTATTGTTTATGCTTTGATAGATACCGGGCAATCACAAGTGCTTACTACAGAGGAGCCGTAGGTGCTTTACTTGTCTACGACGTGACAAGGCAGGCGACATTTGAGAATGCAGCGAGATGGCTAAGGGAACTAAGGGGACACACCGACCCAAACATTGTGGTGATGCTTATAGGGAACAAGTGCGATTTGCGTCACTTGGTAGCTGTGAAAACAGAAGAAGCTAAAGCCTTTGCTGAGAGAGAGTCTCTCTATTTCATGGAGACATCAGCTCTAGATGCAACCAATGTTGAAAACGCCTTCACTGAAGTGCTCACCCAGATTCACAAGATAGTGAGCAAAAGAAGCGTGGATGGATCGAACAGAGATGGAGGAGGAGGAGCGTCTGATTTACCAAAGAAAGGAGAGACGATAAACGTCAAAGAAGACGGATCGGTTCTAAAGAGAATGGGTTGCTGCTCTAACTAGAGTGGGATTGTAGATTTTGGTTTGGTCTCGTTAGGGTGACACAGCAAATGATAGTCTCTTGGCTCTTGCAATCAGAAAAAAGAAAGAAATAAGAGGGAAACAATTACTTTGAGATGATGTTTATGCTTTGTTAACTTTGGCCTGTAAGGGCTTTTAGAATTGAAGGTACATGATTGATATTTTGTCTTGGACAATCCCGCCACTTGTAAATTTGTGTGTTAAACTAAACAAATGTCCCAGTAACATTTCAATGCAAAGTCAAATTTTACAAATAGTATTATTAAGAGGACAATCATCAGGCTTTAATCATTGAGTCTCTTAATCATAATAAAAGTTTGTAGCTCAGCTTTTGGACATGATTAGTTCCATAACCTCGTTTTTCTTCTCTCTCTACGGATCTGTCAGAATTGTTTTACGGACAAAAACATATACAGAAATACACGAGGAACAGAGTCTTCCTCCATTTTCCAGGTCAAGAATTTAAAAATACAAAAAAAGACGCAGTTGTCAGCTTCTGATTTCTCAAAAGAGCTGAATATGACTTTACGGGTATATAGAAGAAGCTGATAACAATCGTGGTTAATATTGATGTAGATCCTGTCTAATATCAGATAGAAGAAGTAAATCTTCTTTCTCCACTTTTCTCAGACATCCACAGTTTTCAAGTGTTTTGTAATCCTGTGCTCATCTGTCGTCTCACATGCTCAGGTATTAGCCTATTGATCAGCTCCAATGAAACTCCAGTTAACTGTTTCCACAGTTGAAGAATAATAAGCGTCAGTATTTGCTATTGATTTGGAGCTTAGCTTGTGCTTTGCTATTGATTTGGAGCTTAGCTTTGTGCTTTGCTATTGATTTGGAGCTTAGCTTTGTGCTTTGCTATTGATTTGTACCTCTTGTTTGAAGTTGAATAATGGCGGTAATGGACGACCATTTGGAAGACGGGCGTTTGGCTCCCGGAGTTCATTGAAAAATGGATGTGCGCATGCTTCGAGCTAAACAGAGAAAGGAAAACAAAAAATGTCAGGATAAATCCCACCAGCTCCATCAGACATAGATACTGACCGCAGTAATCTCTAATTTTCAGTTTCAGAGTACCTTTTAAAATCCCTTTTCGTTTCATTCTCATGTACAAAGTTGTTTTGTTTGATGAAGCACATTTTTAATTTTAGTTTTAAAACGACTAGATACTTACCGCAGTGCAGCGTAGACTTGGTGAATATTGAAGAAGCCGGGAAGCGAGGTCAATGGCTTCTGGAGGCATCCGCTTATGAAAAACCTGGAGGTTAAGGGAACAGAATATGGTTGGTGTTACAAATGAAAGCCAAGTGTAATCATCAGAAACATTTTAATTCACCTTTGCTTTTACCAATACTGTCTAGTTAGTGAGTTAAATACTAGTTTTGGTCAGAAAGAAAAGAGAAAAGTGAGACGAATTACCTTGTGCCAAGGATGAGCTTTGATTTGTGGGAATCTAAAGTCTGTGTAGTTTGGGTTCATACATCGAATTTCTTCTCGGGTTGGAGTACCAAGAACCTTAACAAAGACAGCAAGTAATTATGGTGACATTTCCACTACATTCTCGATATCTTATAGTCTAATAAGCTTTTGACCAAGAAAATAAAAATCTAATAAAGGAGACGAGACTTCACCTTTATGATCTCCACAAGCTGGTCAACTGAATTTTCTCCTGGAAATAACGGCTGTAGAAAGACAATTTGGGATGATATAAGACTGCGTGGGCATTATTTGCAGAGATACTTTATTTCCAAAGGTAATTAACAAATAGATCAACACTAACCTGGCCAAGAAGAAGCTCTGCCAGAACACAACCAGCAGACCATATATCTATGGATGCTGTATATTCTGTGGCTCCAAAGATGAGTTCTGGAGCTCGATAATAACGAGAGCAGATGTATGATATATTTGCTTCACCTTTGACCTAATGTGATGAAATGAAACTAATGTTTTAATGTGGTGAGAGAACATGCTGACTGCGCCTATACTTCTCTAAATAACTACTGAGAAACGGGAAAAGCGATATCATTGGTAATACGCATATTTAATGGGATCTCAAATCGCTACAGGGCCAGATACATAAGGATGCCAAAAACAAATAGAAAATGAATTGACGAAAGGATAACACCCTTACCAGTACTTTTGCACTTCCAAAGTCACACAGCTTAACTTGATGTGTTAAGGGATCAACCTACAGAATGCACCAAAAAGTGAGATTCAGAAAATAGTCAAGCTTACAATACACATCTCAAGTTAGCTAACGTACCAAAAGATTTTGTGGTTTCACATCTCTGTGGCAAACACCAGGAACGGCGTGGATGTAAGCCAAACCTCTGAAGATCTGCATTAGATATTTTCTACTAACTTTCAAAGTCAACTCTATTAAATGAGAATATCTGCGAGAAAACTGAAAATAACAGTGCATACTTGATATGTGTAAAGTTTGACATAGAAAATGGGCATTCTCTGATTTGAGCTAGTATAGTGCCTCAAAACCCGGTACAAAGTCTCAGGTACATACTCCATAACGAGGTTAAGGAAAAGCTCATCTCTACTCGTTGTAGAGAAGAAACAATGCTTCAAGGAGATGACATTTGGGTGATCCATTAGTCTCATTAGTTGCAACTCACGATTTTTATAGCGTCGATCTTGCAAGACCTTTTTAATGGCAACTGATTCTCCAGTTTCCAAGCATTTCGCCTAAAACAGTAATTTACTGACTTGATCAAAAAGGAAAAAGAAAATGTTCATGGCCTGAAAAAATTAGCACTGAGAAGCACAAGGGTACCTGGAAAACAATTCCGAATGATCCTGTTCCAACAACCCGCTCAGCCATGTAACTAATGGTCTGTAGAAGACAGAATGAAAGAGAAATATGAATTACTTTGACTTGGAAAAAGGAAGTCTAAGAGATCTGGATCTACTTATGTATCTATTTGTGATTAGTTTTAGTGTAAAAGTAACAGTTGCTGAAGCAGTTCGTGTCTAATACTTACACAAGATACTGTGCTAGAATATGTTATTTAAAAGATTTTTCAAACTTCAGAAGTCAACCTGTTTGGGTTCACCGTTTTTTCCCCCAATGGTAGTGGAAATGATATGACCAGTAACAGCATCATTGCCCTCTGTAACAGCAGCAGACATTTCCTGCAATCCACCCCACATATTAGTATTAGGCATTAAACTATTCTGATCAACTACAAGGTGGAAGAGAGATGGCAAGCATTTACTGCTTCTCCCATTTCAAATAATCTCAGGTTGAATATGACTCTATGAGAACGCTGTTATTGCTGTTACATAAATGATCCTAACAACTTCATTTTAATACGCTACAGTTAGTTCGTCAATATCTAGAAATAGCTTGCCTTGTTTCCAAAGAACAATAGATTAAACCAAAGAAAATGTGAAGCTAACCCTAACATGTACCAACGAACCAGTCGTCAAGCCGATATAAGCAAGATGTTAAACAGTTTGTGGTATTAGAAATTAAAATTAGAGATACATCGTTATACACATCAATGACAAAAGGTCTGCCAGAGTGAAGGACAAGCAAAAAAAAAAGATAATCCAGAAAAAATGTCGGTTACAAGTAAAAGGGGCAGAGACAGAGAAGCAATGGGCCAAGAACAATAACTATGAAAATACCCCAGAAACCTGTCAAGAGTGAATTCATTAATCTACAAGGAAACTGTACTTCGGAAGATGAACAGTACTGAAGATAAATAATCGAGATGTCCAAACAAGCAAATTGTACTTCAGTGTGAACAAGGTTGAAATGGATAATCTAAAATCTAAATATTCACACACAAAAAATGTGAAGAGGAAAATTCAAGCTAGCAAGATATGCATCGATCTCCTGCTAACAGTTGTATAGCGAGCGAGTGAAATGTTGGTTACCAAAACGCAAGAACTAATTCTTCTCTGCCCTAAATTTTCCACAGGATTCAAAGGTTACTACCGTTTAGAGTCGAAGTTGTAGCTGGGAAAAATCATGAGTAATCTAGCTAAGCTACTGCATGAGATACAAATGAAGTCAAAATTGCAGTCTCCTAATAGAAAGCCTCGTCAGAGAGAAAAAAAACTCTTCGGTGAGCTCAGATCAGGACGAGCGACGAAACAAAACACGAGGCACGAGTATACAGAAACGATTCTAATGTACTGAGACATCGAGCAGAGAAAACCAGAGCTAGATCGGAGTAGATCTAGAACAGCCACCAAACTAGAATTTCAAATGCACTGTTTACCAAACGCAGACGTAAAAGCGATAGACAAAGAGCTGAACAAACAGAGAGAGACGGAAAGGAAAGGAAAAAAAAAAACCTTATCAGAATCCAATTCAGGACGGCGTTTCAAAGCGTCTCCGTCGTGAAGCTGCTGCGGCGGCGGAGGAGGAGCAAGAACATGAGGCTGAGGCCCCAACGGAAATGAGGCCATGTGCTCTTTACACTTTCTCTCTCACCCGCTCAAAACAAACAAAAGAGTAAAGACTATTTTTCCTTTAGCGTCTAAAATTCGGAAATGGATCAAAGACAAAAGGAGGACCCATGGGAGACTAAGTGCGCGTGAATGTAACGCTCCAATGAGAGTTCTACTTTTTAAATTCTGATTAAAACACTCACTTAATAATGATAACTAATTAATTAAATAGAACTCTGTTAATAAGATTCTAGGGAATAAGGTATCAAATGAATACTCCCAGTGGAATCAGTCATAGTATTTTCCCAGTTTTGGGTATGGAAATTTGAGACATTTGCAGCCTTTACTCTTCACAACAACAAAAAAAAGATTGGTTCCTTGTGCTTTCATCATTGATGAAGTGTTTCCCTAGACAAAAAACAATCTACGATATTTACTCTTTTTACTCTCAAGTTTCAACCATTCCATGGATATTTAAAGTCACACTCATAAAACTTATGTTGCAAATGGGGTCAAAATATGTCGACGTAAAAAAAAAAAAAATGGGTTTATCATAAATTATTTCTGTTTTTTTGTTAGGTCAAATATGCTCGTTCGGGTTAGTTGTTACAGAGGTTTCATGGCGACTGCGTCTCGGTTTAAAATTGAATGTTGATATGTGAACTTCAGGCTCTCGATCTTCTGATTCTGAAGATCGAAATTTCTCAAGCCATTTTATGCGATTGTGTCTGATTTCTCCCCAGATCAAAGAATGCAAACTTGCCAGAAAAATTAAAGGGAAGAAGTGTTTCATTTGTTCTGCAATCTGATCATTCTAGACAGTTTTGTTCAGTCTAGGCATAAAAACTTAACATTGCATTACAGCATCATATAAGAGAAACTCCCACTCAAATTAACCAAAACTCGTGACGACAAATTGTGACCAAAAACATTACATCCTTGTCATGCTTTCTTCTGTCTACTCCGACTAAGTATAGGAGGATGATTCGAGCTCCATAACTTGAGCTGATTGATAAACAGGCAAAGCCGAGCTCTCAAGCAACTTGAGATGAAACAATTTAACATTCCTCCATTTACCTGGAATCGATTCAGCAATCCCGTTTATTGCGGCCATTACATTCTCTGCAATCTCCTTCCTTCCCATTGACAATTTCCCTACCTTCACAACACTGCAAGTACCTGTCCCAACGAAGAACAATGCCGATTCACACGCTTTTTCGATCTGGTCTTTCCAATTGCCTTGTCTCAGGTTTATCGCGATCGGACTCTTCTTCTTCTTGACGAACTCTTTCCCCAATAGCTTCGGCAAAATCGACATCAGCCTCCTCTCCGCGAAATACAGCTCGAACCCCTTCTCCTCCTCTAATTTGCGTAGATCCGACTTCAATTTGGAGACCTTAATCACGGTGCTGATTGGAATCTTCTCTGCTTCGATCTTCTTCAAGGCCGCCTCCTTCGTGATTCTGTTCTTGTGTCTGTCGTCGATTATCAAACAGAGCTCCGGCGAATCTTCCACCAGGTCGATGAGGGGATGAGGAACATGGATCATCACGGGGTTCGTTCGATCCATCTGCGGGATTTTCTTCAAGGTCACGATTAGATAGACGAAACCTTCGTTCTCGAGCGGTTCTGAGTTCTGGGACTTGGATTTGGCGCTCCACCATGTTAGCAGAGACTTCACGGCTCTGTTAACGCTCTTTGGGTCAACCTTCGACGGAGGAGCAGCCGTTGTTGTCATTCTCCGGTGAGAGAAGGAGAAGACGGCGCAAAGAACACTGGTTGCGTTAACGAAATTAGGGTTTTGTGCAAAAATAAAAGGGTTTAAGACGGCGTTCTGTAATCTCGACCTTTGGATTTTGACGGCGTCTAAACAACGTTACTTTATTTTTCTCTGAATTTACTTAGGGGAAATTAAATGTCCGAAAAAATAATTCAAGTTGTCCCTCACATTTATTGCTATGGTGTGAAATCTTTTGTTAAAAGATTTGTTGTTTCAATGTACTGTAGGTCTCACTTATATATGGAATCCTATCTATACATTTACTTTTATGATTCATGAGTTTCCATCTCAAAACAACTAATTGAAATTTGTCTTTCGTGTTTTTTATATTTCACGATAAAACAAATCGCATTAGTAAAATTGGGGGTATATTTCAAATATCATATTGTTTCTATGCAAAATTACGAATTAATCAAATATGTTAAGACTTGGAGTTTACGCAACTTGCAATCCAATACGATATACCATTGCGAAGTGATATAATGGCTCATACTGAACATTATGGAACAAGTCATTTTCTTCGCTACTAATAATTTCCAATACATTACTGTAAATAGGAGTATTAAAGATACATTGTAAGTTTTTATTTACTGGGTTTAGATACATTGTATGATACAACCAACCACCTTAGAGAAAATTCAAAAGCGTTTCTCATATAGTAGCTCCACATTAAAAAAAAAAAAAAAAGTCATTCGTTTCAGATCAAACTTTACAGCAAATCATCCGCAAGAAAAACAATATATCGAAGTCATTAATTATATCATTGCCACCTTGCGATGATGTAGCCATACTGAAAGCACTTGCACGAAACGGATAGCATCAAAATGCGTGGCTTTAATGACGCAAATCTTCATCTGTGTAAACAATTCATTTTTGAGCTAATATATCTAAATTAGTCGGGCTAGCGTAAACGATATATTTGGCAAAAGAAATGGCATTGGTAGTTAGGGCTTTCTTAGTTGTATCCTCATCTGGAGTCTAGAGACAAACCAAATAAATGTTAAAACCGGTGGTAAGTAGAGATGTAGTAACTACTCAATTACATCAAACATAGATATTTTTTTTTCGTTTCGTTGATCATGTAATATCAAAAGAAGAAGAAAAAAGAGGCTGTTAAAAATAAAAATAAAAAAATAAAATTGAATGTTTAGGTGAGTGAAAACATGTGCTGCTGCTATGCATTAAAAATGAAAGAAGTAGATAGATTGAATTGAAGTGGAGGGGTAAATTGCATTCAACATGGTGGACCCCAACGCATCAACATCAGCCCATATATACCCATGTCTGCCCAGTTATTATGTACTTCATACAATTTACAAGTTCTTACTAAAACAAGTGCAATTTCTCCTCAAGGGTTCGATATGTGTAATCCCACTAGAGACGATGGCTCCAGCCAAAGTGGCATGTTGCGTAAAGAAAAAAGAGCCTATTTTCAGAGAAAATGGACACCGGCCGATGTGATAAGAGCGTTAACCGTTTTGATCGTGCACTTTTGGTGTCTCTTGGCGCCATTTAACTACAAATGGGAAGCATTACGGTTTGGTTTTATCCTCGTGGCGGCTACTAACCTCAGTGTTACATTCTCGTACCATAGGAACTTGGCTCACCGGAGCTTTAAGCTCCCCAAATGGCTAGAATATCCATTTGCTTATGCTGCTGTTTTCGCTCTTCAGGTCAAAACATGTTTTATTGATAAGTGATATATTTAGTCAAGTATTATATAATATACATGTCAAATTGTAATGCCTTATTTTTCTATAATATATACATGTATATATATATATATATAATAAGAAAAAACTGCTCAATATATCTAGGGTGATCCATTGGATTGGGTGAGCATACATAGGTTCCATCACCAGTTCACAGATTCAGACCGCGACCCACACAGCCCCAAAGAAGGATTTTTGTTCAGCCATATCTTGTGGATATTCGACACCCTTTATATCAAATATAAGGTAATGTTACGTATAAACATCTCTAATCTTCTACTTTTATATATGACGACTTATGATGTTGTTTTTTAATAGTGCAAAAAATCAATGTATATGCAGTGTGGTGGACGTAACAATGTGATGGACTTGAAGCGGCAATGGTTCTATAGGTTTCTACGAAAGACAATTGGTTTCCACGTCTTAATGTTTTGGGCCCTTCTCTATCACTATGGTGGTTTACCTTACCTTACATGCGGCGGGGTAATTCTATTCATTTCTTTCCTTATAATATATCTATGTATATTCCATTTCTTTAAAATATAGTTATTAGTTATGAATCTGATAGATTATGTTTTCCGGCAGGGCGTTGGAGGCGTGATCGGATACCATGTAACATTTCTCGTAAACTCGGCATGCCATATTTGGGGTTCGAGGTCGTGGAAGACTAAAGACACCTCTCGTAACGTTTGGTAAGATCATATTAAGATTTAATAATCTCGTTAAGAACAATTAATAATCGGACTAATCAGTCTGGTGCATATATCGATAGTGTTTACTATTAAAGTAAGATTTGACGACGATCTTGTTTAATATAATGAAGGTGGCTAAGCATATTTACGATGGGAGAGAGTTGGCACAATAACCATCACGCCTTTGAGTCATCGGCGAGGCAAGGATTGGAGTGGTGGCAAATAGACATCACTTGGTACCTCATTCGACTACTTGAAGTTGTTGGATTAGCCACCGATGTGAAATTGCCCTCAGAATTCCAAAAACAGAAGCTGGCTATCGCTCGTTGATGAAATCTTCGTATAAGAAACTTAATTAAATATTTATTTGAGAAGTTATCTAAGTTCTATAATAGAAACGCTTATATATAGCATTACATATATTTGAGATTGTGGTTATTTGTATTTTCTTCTGCTCCGAGGTTATGGTTGTTTTCCAAAATAAATGAATGTTTTTCAAGTCCTCTGTCTTATGGTAAACTTATATCTCCTTGAACAATACTAAATTCTTAAATCGTTAGACTTTAGTGTTTGTTTTAAAATGAATATTTGCATCTTACTAGTCTCCAAGTGCAATATATATATATATATATATGTATATATATATATATGAATAATCAATCTAAGAGAAAGACTCGAATCATTTTGAAGAAATTCAACCGAAACAAAAGTAGGAAAAAAAAATCAGTTACGAAGTGAGATATGTATTTTTGTATAAGCTTTGTGGGTGTGGCACCACGTGCATCTTTATTTCCCCTTTCATCGAGATATTATTGTCTTTGGCCGTTGTATCTGTCATTAATTATCAAACAACCCAATTATTTAGAGAGTAATTACACAATAAAAACTAATGATAAAAATTACGTAGATAAACAAAAACAAAAACAAACGGTCACACTAGCTTCCAATAAATATTTACTCCGTATTAACTAAAAAAAATGATATTTACTCCAGAAAAAAAAAAAAAAAGATGTAGAAGGCTTCGAAGGGACAGATTTGAACATGCGCTAAGTGTGCAAATGCTCAGGGCCAAAATAAATTCACAATTTTTTATAAGATTTAAGGGCCAAATTTTTTTGATCAGAAAAAAGGCCAAAAAGGTAAAAAAAGATAAAAAAAAAAAATGCAAAATTCTTAAGATTAATACAGAGCTAATAATTATTATGAGCCGCAGCTGCTTCGAAATTAGTATATAGTAGGAGAGTAATGTAGGAGATCTAGCTTAAAGGCACTGCATGAGACGGATAGTATCAAAATGCGTGTCTGCAACGTATAAATCTCCATATCTGGAAGAATATTTATTTTTGGACTAACCAAATTATATACTTTTAAGAAATCCGACCAAAGAAATGGCGTTGGCCGTTGGGTTTTTTGTAAGTTAAATGCTCCTTCGGAGACCACCAAATGAATAACGGTTAGTAGCTCGTAAGAAGCGATGAGTAGTTGTAATACTCAAATCCTTAATTGATATCAACAGCATGCATGGATATTTTTCTTTTATATATGATCATATAAAAGATTTGTGACCAAATATATATATATATATATATATATAAATATTATTACAAAAAAATTTAATAGTCACTTTTTGTTGTTGTGTGATGTTGAAAAAAAAAATGAGGTTGTAAAATAGTATAATTAATTTGATTTTTTGGGAAGATCAGTGGAAACATGTGCAGCTGCCAGGATATTAATTTATAATAGATGTAAATGAAAGGAGTAGATAAAAAGCATTTACGAAGAATGAGCAATTGCATTTAACAGCGTGGACCTTGAAGCAACAACATTAGTCCATATATACCCCATAAGTTGTTCACTCGAATGTTCATACAACATACACAAAACACAATACCCTAGCTAAATATTCTGATATGTGTGATCCCACTAGAGACGATGGCTTTAGCCAAACCGGTGTATTGCCTGACGAAAAAAGGCCATACTTTCATAGAAAGTGGCCGTTGGTCGATGTGATAAGAATGTTAATCGTTTTGATTGTGCACTTTTTGTGTCTCTTGGCCCCGTTCAACTACAATTGGGAAGCCTTACGGTTCGGTTTGGTTCTATATGTGGTGACTATATTCAGCATCACATTCTCATACCATAGGAACTTGTCTCACCGGAGTTTCAAAATCCCTAAATGGCTCGAATATCCTTTTGCTTATACTGCTGTTTTCGCTCTTCAGGTTAAGTATTAAAAATATGTCAAAATGTTTTATCAACCTTTTCTGGAGTTTGATTTTAAAGGATATTATATATTGTTCAGGGTGATCCAATGGACTGGGTAAGCATACATAGGTTCCATCACCAGTTCACAGATTTGAAACGCGACCCACACAGCCCTAAAGAAGGATTCTGGTTCAGCCATATCTTCTGGATGTTTGACACCCTTTATATCAAATATAAGGTAACGTAACGTATTAATATACATATACTCTCATCTTCTATGACGTATATATGATATAGCTTGTAACAATGCAAATAGAAGTTAATTACAGTGTGGAGGACGTGACAACGTGAAGGACTTGAAGGAACAATGGTTCTATAGGTTTCTACGAAGGACGATTGCTGTCCACATTGTAATGTATTGGACCTTCCTCTATCTCTATGGTGGTTTACCTTACCTTACGTGCGGCGGGGTAAAAATTTTATGTGTTTAATTAGTTATATTGCTTTAATAATTTGTTGTATGTATATATATATCCATGAAAACCGATATATGTTACGTACGACAGGGCGTTGGAGGCGTGATCGGATACCACGTGACATTTCTCGTAAACTCAGCATGCCATGTTTGGGGTTCGAGATCGTGGAATACTAAAGACACATCACGTAACGTTTGGTAAGATTATAGTATTAAGATTCCCTATGATGTATTTGAAAATTCAAATATCTTGTTTAGTCTTAAAAATGAGATTTTAATCTTGCGTGTTTGAAGGTGGCTAAGCATATTTACGATGGGAGAGAGTTGGCACAACAATCATCACGCCTTTGAGTCATCGGCGAGGCAAGGATTGGAGTGGTGGGAACTAGACATCACTTGGTACCTCATTCGACTACTTGAACTTGTCGGATTAGCCACCGATGTGAAATTGCCCTCAGAATTCCAAAAACGGAAGCTGGCTATCGCTCGTTGATGTTTGTCTTGAGATCTGAAACATGTTTGGATGAGAAGTTAATCATATATATACTTATATATATATTTTTTTAAAGATAGTCTTAATTAAGTTCTGTAATGAAAACTATTAAGCAATTGATGGACTTTTCGATGTTTATTCATCATAAATGATGATTGTCTTTGTCTTGGAGAAAGGTTTGATTTCCAACAAAGATGTTTACTATTGTATAATCAATATATTATTAAATCATTAAAAGTTTAATAGGAGGCAGGAAAAATATTTACATGGATTAGAGGGGTCAATTCTCGTTTAGGACATGGGTCAATTTAAAAAAAAAAAGCTCAACAAAAATTTAATTATTTTTGAGAATTTCATATGAGTCAATTAACCACTCTGATTACATGTTACGTCCAGGTTTAATATATGGTTATTCTTTTTAGATGAATATTTGATTCTTATTGGACTCAAAGAGTAATATGAATAATCAGATCTAAGATCTGTTCAATCAATAAAATATCAGTAAAAAAAAAAAAAAATCTAAGAACAGGGCTCGAATTAATCGATTTGAAAAACCCAATTGAAAACTAAAAGAGCTCAATTATGAGGAGGAGGAGGAGGAGGGGGGGGGGCGATATTTTAAAGACAGTATCACGCGTAGTCACGTGCGTCCTTTTGCCCTTTTTATGGAGACCGTTGTTGTGGGCCGTCGTAATTCGTACAATTAGTGTATTTGTCATAAATTATTAATCAGAGCGACTTTACTATTTATAGCTCATACCTCAACAGGTTTAGGTTTCACTGACTGATGGTCACGTTTATTTAGTCATAAATTATCTTTTTGTGTCTCGTTTTGGCAATAACTCTACATAGAACAGCTCTTATTTATATCAACATTCTTAATATCTGACCAACCAAAACAAAAAAAAAAAAGATTGATCTCGCTAGCGCTATTGGCAATTGGGCATTTATCATCAGATTAATACACATTTGAAAATGACCAGTTTTTTTTTTTTTTCCTGGTGTCAACTAAAATGACCAGTAATATAATATTTAGTTTCGTATAAAAACTAAACCGACATGGTGAACGTAGATGAGGATTGAGGATTTTCATCAACCTTAAAATATGATGGGAAACGTAGTCAATATATTCGCATACGTATAGTATTCTTGGGTTGTAAGAAAGTTGCTTAAAAACCAAAATTAATACAAGATTTTATAGTCGTTCATACAGAAGAAAAAACTTTTAGACATGATAATTATCCCACAGTGGAAAAAGGTGTGAAAGTGAAAAAGCAAGGCAATGATGAATTTGACCTTTATATATTAAATATGCGTCGAAAAAGTAGCTCGAGGGCTCTCCCAACATATAACCATATGATTGCACTGTTTTGCTCTTATAACACATGCATGCTACGTACGGCTGGCTACGAACAAACCTCACTACTTCCTACATGGCTACATCCTTTGAAAGATCTCTAATATACAAAGCCCCATGATGGTAAATTAGAACATGAACATTTGTTTATACTGATGGGAACATTAAGTCGGCATCAACAAAGCATTTTTACCACACGAAAACAACGGAGGATAAGTATGGGCTTATAGTATGGGCTTACATGGAGGCCGACCAACGAGGAGAGTGCGAATACCCACTTGAACGTTTGAGTAGGCATCTCGATTTGGTTAACGGACACTGGGTTTCTTCAGCAACAAGGCACCAATCACCTTCTTGAATTAGGGTTTCTATCATTGTTCTTCTTTATATTCTGCCATGTTTCTTGTGTAAATCTTTCTTGTTCTTTCACCGTTTGTTATGGGCTCTTTAAAATTCTAGGGATTGAAGACGTTGTCACTCTGTTTTTTTTTTTTTTCTATTTTTCTTTTTGGGGGAAATCTCATAAATAATTGCTTCGACGTCCAAACAAAAACTTTAAATTAACGCCTTTCTACAACAAACCTTGAAAATCATTTTATATAAACGCCGTTTAATTTTCCGTTAAAATATCCCCAAAAATACTTTTACTTACCCGCCTCAAGATTTAAGAATAGTATTACTTACGATTTCCTAACAATACTGTATTTGACTTGAAACCCACATTCCTTCACGAATTTAGCGGAACTTAAATCCTGTAAGCCGGTTCAACATATAACTCTTGATCAGTTTAAGCACAAATTAATTTGATTATGATGAACATTATTGGTCGGCTAATATGGACAAGATCCGTCAGTGTCGCTCGCTAATCACTAAATGTCATTCGTCCATGCTTTGCTCTCAAGTTTACGTTCAATCGATTCTTAAAGTCAACTCTGCTCTCTCATCCTTGACATTCACCACCAAAATAGGTCAATGACGATCATATTCATTTTCTTATATATTCTCAACTCTCAAGTTAACTATATTTCTTATAGATACATAAGAAGTTGCCACATTTACGATGGCTAAGCATAAATGTGTTTGAAGGTGGCTAAGCATATTTACGATGGGAGCGAGTTGGCAGAACAATCATCACGCCTTTGACTCATCGGCGAGGCAAGGATTGGAGTGGTGGCAGATAGATATCACTTGGTACCTCATTCGACTACTTGAACTTGTCGGATTAGCCACCGATGTGGAATTTCCCTCAGAATTCCAAAAACGGAAGATGGCTATTGCTCGTTGATGAAATCTTCGCATAAAAAACTTAATTAAATATTTATTTGAGAAGTTATCTAAGTTCTATAATAGAAACGCTAATAGCTATATATATATATATATATATATATTTGAGATTGTGGTTATTTGTATTTTCTTCTGCTCCGAGGTTATGGTTGTTTTCCAAAATAAATGAATGTTTTTCATGTCCTATGTCTTATGGTAGATCTATATCTCCTTGAATAATACTACATTTTTAAATCGCTAAACTTTAATATTTGTTTTTTTTTTTTGACGTAAAAAAATAGTCGAGAAGAGCTGACAAATTGAGACCTAGATTAGCGACGTACGAGCCAAACGCACAAGTAAGGTTGTTGTTTGTTTTAAAATGAATATTTGCATCTTACTAGTCTCCAACTCCAAGTGTAATATATATATATATATATATAATCAATCTAAGAGCAAGACTCGAATCATTTTGAAGAAATTTAACAGAAATAAAAGTAGAAAAAAAAAATTGTTACGAAGGGAGAAATGTATTTTTTATAAGATGTGTGGGTGTGGGGTGACTCACGTGCATCTTTTTTCTTCCTTTCATCGAGATATTATTGTCTTTGGCGGTCCGCGTAAAGTCGTACATGTTTTGTACTTTTTATAAATTATCAATCAACACAATTATTTATAGAGTAATTACACAATAAATTGATGATAAAAATTACGTTGATAAACAAACAATATACCCTTATTTGTTCATAGAAACAAAAACTAACGGTCACTCTAGTTTCCGATAAAATATTTACTCCGTATTAACTCAAAACAAAAAGAAGATATTTACTCCAGCAAAAAAAAAATGTAGTTTTGGCTTCGAAGTTATATAGTAGGAGAGTAATGTAGGAAATCAAGCTTAAAGGCACTGCATGAGACGGATAACATCAAAATGCGTGTTTGCAATAACGTATAAATCTCCATGTGAATATATATTTTTGGACTAACCAAATTATACACTATTAAGAAATTCGACCAAAGAAATGGCGTTGGCCGTTGGGTTTTTTCTAAGTTAAATGCTCCTTCGGAGACAACCAAATGAATAACAGTTAGTAGCTCGTACGAAGCGATGAGTAGTTGTAATACTCAAATCCTTAATTGATCTCAACAGCATGCATGGATCTTTTTCTTTTATATGATGTCGAAAAATAAGAGCTTGTAAAATAGCTATAATTAATTAGAATTTTTGGAAAGATCAGTGGAAACATGTGCAGCTGCCAGGATATTAATTTATATAGATGGCAATGAAAGAAGTAGATAAAAAGCATTTACGAAGAGTGAGCAATTGCATTTAACAGCGTGGACCTTGAAGCAACAACATTAGTCCATATATACCCATAAGTTGTTCACTCAAATGTTCATTCAACATACACAAATACAATACCCTACATTCTGACATGTGTGTTCCCACTGGAGACGATGGCTTTAGCCAAACCGGCGTATTGCCTGACGAAAAAAGACTTTACTTTTACAGAAAGTGGCCGTTGGTCGATGTAATAAGAATGTTAACCGTTTTGATTGTGCACTTTTTGTGTCTCTTGGCCCCGTTCAACTACAATTGGGAAGCCTTACAGTTTGGTTCGGTTGTCTTCTTGGTTACTGGACTCAGCATCACATTCTCATACCATAGGAACTTGTCTCACCGGAGTTTCAAACTCCCAAAATGGCTCGAATATCCTTGTGCTTATTCTGCTCTTTTTGCTCTTCAGGTTAAGTATTACATATATGTCAAAAAAAATTGATAGCCTTTTTTTGGAGTATGATTTTAAAAGATATTAAATATTGTTCAGGGTGATCCAATGGACTGGGTGAGCATACATAGGTTCCATCACCAGTTCACAGATTCGAAACGAGACCCACATAGCCCTAAAGAAGGATTATGGTTCAGCCATATCTTGTGGATATTTGACACCCTTTATATCAAATATAAGGTAACGTAACGTAGCGTATTAATATACATATACTCTCATCTTCTATGACCTATGATATAGCTTGTAACAATGCAAATAGAAGTTAATTACAGTGTGGAGGACGTGACAACGTGAAGGACTTGAAGGAACAATGGTTCTATAGGTTTCTACGAAGGACGATTGCTGTCCACATTGTAATGTATTGGACCTTCCTCTATCTCTATGGTGGTTTACCTTACCTTACGTGCGGCGGGGTAAAAATTTTATGTGTTTAATTAGTTATATTGCTTTAATAATTTGTTGTATATATCCAAATGAAAACCGATATATGTTACGACAGGGCGTTCCAAACATGATCGGATACCACGGGACATGGCTCATAAACTCAGCATGCCATATTTGGGGTTCGAGATCGTGGAATACTAAAGACACATCACGTAACATTTGGTAAGATTATAGTATTAAGATTCTCTATGATGGTATTTGAAAATTCAAATATCTTTAGTCTTGAATGAAATTTTAATCTTGGGTGTGTTTGAAGGTGGCTAAGCATATTTACGATGGGAGAGAGTTGGCACAACAATCATCATGCCTTTGAGTCATCGGCGAGGCAAGGATTGGAGTGGTGGCAAATAGACATCACTTGGTACCTCATTCGACTACTTGAAGTTGTTGGATTAGCCACCGATGTGAAACTGCCCTCAGAATTCCAAAAACGGAAGATGGCTCTTGCTCGTTGATGTTTGTCTTGAGGATCTGAAATATGTTTGGATGAGAAGTTAATCATATACGTATATACATATATTTAAAGAAATAAAGTAGTCTTAAATATTAAAGTCTGTAATGAAAACTATTAAAGCAGAATTAAGGTTGTTTGATGGACTTTTGGATGTTTTTTCAACATAAAGGATGATTGTCTTTGTCTTGGAGAAAGGTTTGATTTCCAACAAAGATGTTTACTATTTTGTATGATCAATGTATTATGAAATCACTAAAGTTTAATATATGGTTTTTCTTTCTAGATGAATATTTGTATGTTATTAGACTCAAAGAGTAATATGAATAACCAAATCTAAGATCTATTCAAACAATACAATATTATTAAAAATAAATAAAACATAAGGACAGGGCTCGAATTAATCGATTTGAAGAAAACCAACTGAAATTAAAAAAAAAAAAAAAAGCTCAGCTATGAGGGGAGGGGGTGATATTTTAAAGACAGTATCAACTATCACGCGTAGTCACGTGCGTCCTTTTGCCTTTTTCATGGAGACCGTTGTCGTGGGCCGTCGTATCTCGTAACAAGTCGTAATAAGATCAGTCATAACTCATAAATTATCAATCAGAGCGACTTTACTATTTATAGCTCATAATTCAACAGGTTTCGCTTTCGGTTTCAGAGCCTGACGGTCACATTTATTTTTAGTCATAAATTATCTTTCTGTGTCTCGTTTTGGCAATATCTCTACATAGAACAGCTCTTATTTCTATCAAGATTCTTAATATCTGACCAACCAAAAAACATAAAAAAAAAAGATTGATCTCGCTAACGCTATTGGCCATTGGACATTTATCAGATTAATATACATTTGAAATGACCATTCTTTTTTTCTGGTGTCAACTAAAATGACCAGTAATTAAGTATAATATTCAGTTTCGTGTAAAAACTAAACCGACAAGTTGAACGTAGATGAGGATTAAGGATTTTTGTCAACCTTAAAATAAGCGTGGGAAACCTAGTCATATATATTCTTATATTATTCTTGGGTTGTAAGAAAGTTGCTTAAAAACCAAAATTAATACAACATATATAGTAGTTCATAAAGAAGAAAACACTTTTAGACATGATAATAATCCCCGCAGTGGAAAAAGGTGTGAAAGTGACAAGGCAAGGCAAAAAACATCTGCATGCAATGATAAATTTGACTTTTATATATTAATTATGCGTCAAAAAAGTAGCTCGAGGGCTCTCCCAACATATAACCATATGATTGCACTGTTTTGCTCTTATAACACATGCATGTTACGTACGGCTGGCTATGAACAAACCCCACTTCCTACATCCTTTGAATGATCTCTAATATACAAGGCCCCACGATGGTAATTAGAACATGACCATTTGTTTATACTGACGGCATCAACAAAGCCTTTTCCACACGAAAAACACCTGATTTAGAAAGGACCACCACTGTAACATCCATATCCCAGGTTTCCTAGAAAAACCGGAGAAATAGGGCATGTTAAGGACCCCAGTCCTCTGGTAAGCCTCAGGTTCCCAGGTTCAAAAACGTCCAGATAACAATCAACAATATAGACATAGCTGATCTACCTGAAAATAAAAGCAAGGAAGGAGGAGGGGTGAGTAATCCTAAGTCAAGTTAGCAAACAAGGGTAACCCTACAATCAACTACCAAGTAACAAAGAAACCTTAACCCATTGAGGAAAGCATCACCGTCTCATCGACAATGTCACTCCGCTCACCCAATCACCACAGAAAGGGGTCACCCATTCACCACAGAAATGGATCTCAACAAGTAAAGGTCACTCAGTCGTCCTCAATCACTACAGAAAGGGACATACCCCCCATTCACACAGAAAGGGTCACAAGGCGGTCACACAGACAGGCCTCCAGCCATACAGACTCCGGAAGGATCGGCGTACCTTCCGCTCACCGTTGGACTAGCCCAATCCAGCCACTAGCCCAGCAAGAAACACCGCCCAATCACCACAGAAGGGGTCGGGGACCTAACAGATCTATATCACACAACCTAGACTATCTCAAACAAGGTAATCCAGATCAAACACAATCAATCCATATTTTAGGATTTCATAGATTAGATCCAAGTTCAGGTTTAGTCGTCAAGTTTCCTCCAACAACCAGCAATCATCAACAATCAATCAACAAGGAACCAGGTTCTAGTAATCTAACCCTAGCACACAGATCTAGTACTTAACCTAAGAAAATGCTAACTACTATGGACAGGAGTGAAAGAGAAGGTGAAGCACAGGGTCCTCACCTTGGCACAGAAGGGCGAGCAATAGAAGGAGGTGATGGCATAGGAGAAGGAGGACGAAGTGGAGATCCACCATCACTGGGTTCGGATTCAAGAGGAGGAGGAGTTAGAGGCGCACACATCTTGCAATGTAAAGGGGGAGGTTCGACTCCGAGGCTTCGATTTGATATATTATACGTCACGTGGAGCTTCACGGATCGCCGGGAAATCGTCTTAGAAGTGAACGGCGGTTTAAGAGAAAAAGTGATGAAAAAGAGAGAAGATAAAGAGACTAGGATTTTAGAAGTGGATGAGAGATCAGAGGTATTTATATTAAGTTAGATTAGTCTGGACTGGACTTAATAGATTAGATTAATGGGCTTGGTCAGAGTTAAAAAGAAATTAAAAAGAGATTAGAATTTGGCTTAATTAGGAATGATGGTTTAATTTAAATAAACAGAATTGATTTTTAGTAACAACCAATCCGGCGGATCGGGGTGTTACAACCACTATACGAATTCCGTTCGCCGTCGGCCTCAATTGTTGCCGCCATCGAAGAAATTTGCGATTAACATGTAACGCCCTTCACTACTTTCTACTTAGCTATCCATATCATTGTGGGCTTATAGTATGGCCCAATATAATATGCACATGGTACCAAAATTATCTCGGTTTACGCTATTTTGGTATTTTATCAGATACCAGTGAGAATATACATTTAAATTCGTGTAATTGACTACTAAAGTAATACGATTCCTAATTGGCTAATCAAGTTAATCATATGGTTTTCCGTTTATTTTTTAATTTTAAATTTCAAAAAAGGAAAAAACAAAACAAAACAAAAAGGAGAACAACAGTCCGAAAACAAAAAAAGGAAAAATTTAGAAAGAAGGAAAGAATGAGATTAGGAAAAAAATGGATATATACGAATCTTCTATAAATACATCAAGCCCTGTTTTCGTCTGCTCAAAAAAAAAAAAAAAAACAACAAATCAGAGAAATTGTATCGATCAAAGAAAAAATATCAACAATGGATGAGTTCGTGAAAGGAGATAAAGTGGAAGTATGCAGCAAAGAAGAAGGTTACGTGGGGTCTTACTTCGAGGCCAAGGTATTGTCGAAGCTTCCCCACAGAAACTTGTACAAGGTTAAGTACAAGAATCTTGTGACGGAGGGTGAAGATCCTCTGCCACTCATCGAAATCATCTCCGCCGACGAGCTCCGTCCGATGCCTCCCAAATTATCTCAGCCGTTGACGTTTCACCGCGATGACAAGGTTGATGCTTTCGACTTAGACGCGTGGTGGGTCGGTTACATCACCGGCCGGAGAGGCAATTTTTTCTCAGTTTACTTTGAGACGACCAACGAGAAGTGCGAATACTCACTTGAACGTATGAGGAGGCATCTCGATTTGGTTAATGGACACTGGGTTTCTTCAGCAACAAGGCACCACTTATATTCTTGAATTAGGGTTTCTATAATTGTTCTTCTTTATATTCTGCCATGTTTCTTGTTCTCTGACTATTTATTATGGGCTCTTTGAAATTCTAGGGATTGGAGACGTTTTCACTCTGTTTTTTTTTTTTCCTTTTTGAGGAACACCGTTTAATTTTCCTTTTAAACTAATCCGAACTTTAATGTACTACCTCAAAATTTAAAATATTCCCAAAATACTTTTTACCTCCTGCCTCAAGGTTTAAGGATAGGTTTGTCCGTTAAGTATATTACTTACGATTCCTAACAATATTTGACTTGAAGCCCACATTCCTTCACGAAATTTAAATTCTGTAAACCGGTTCAACATATAACTCTTGTTCGGTTAAGCACAAATTAATTTGATTATGATGAACATTTTTTTTTTTTTTGAGAAAGAACGGTTATGATGAACATTATTGGTCGGCTAATATGGACAAGATCCGTCAGTGTCGCTCGCTAATCACTGAGTGTCATTCGTCCATGCTTTGCTCTCAAGTTTACGTTCAATCGATTTTAAAAGTCAACTCTGCTCTCTCATCCTTGACATTCACAACCAATATAGGTCAATGACGATCAAATTCATTTCTTTTATATATCTTAAGTTAACTATCTTTCTTATAGATACAAATTCCGTTAATACTTTGTTCACCTGTAATTTAAAAAGCATTTAATGGGAACCCATTACTGATGTATACTAACAAAACAACACCACTTTTAATTTGTTGATATATACGTTGTTTTCCAAGAATTACATAAAGAGATCAGTACTAAACCATTTTCTATATTTGGAGGAATATTTATATTATTTTCTTATATATTGGAATACGAAACTACATGCAATACCGAAAATATAAATCGAAACTAGAACAAGTGTTCGTTGTGGATGCCCATATGAAGCAACCTCTTCCCAACCCAACTCATATCTACACGCTAAACAAATAAAAAGGTCGGTGCAAAATAATAAATGCTCCCCAAATTGTTAAATGGTTCTAACAAAGAAAACTTATTATTTTAAATCAATAAAGTAGGTTCATAAGCTTGAAGTGAAGAGCAAGGAAGACTATATATATTGCACATGCCGATGCCATTCATCGATCAAAATATTCATCGCAGACTTCATTTTGATCTGACTACTTACATTCCATAATCATCAACAAAAGTTTAAGATGACGGTAAGACAAATTATGTTGATTTTGTTTAAAAGATGATAAATTACTGATTTTTTCAGTTCATATACATGTTTGCATGTTTTTCTTGTATGTAAATATCTAACAATCTCTGATCCATCCTCAGACCATTGAAATGAGAGTCCACATTGATTGTGTGGGATGCGAGAGCAGAGTCAAAGCTGCCCTTCAAAAGATGAGAGGTGAAAACTGTTTGATCTTTAACGAATTGCTTTTATATACTCTCTGTGAATCGAAACTAGATCGCACATATATACATTAAGAGAAGTTAATTATATCAATAAGAGTGGATGAGGTAGAAATTTTGTTGCATGAAAATATCAAAAACGTTTTAAGAAAAAGTGATCAATTAATGTTGAATGGCAAACAGGAGTGGATGAGGTAGAAATCGACATGGTGCAGCAGAAAGTCACGGTGACTGGCTACGCCGATCAGAAGAAGGTTCTGAAGAAAGTTAGACAAACGGGTCGGCGAGCTGAGCTATGGCAGCTTCCTTTTAACCCCGACCACAGCTCCCTCCTCGGCGGCGGAAGCAGCAGTAACAACGGTGGTGGTGGCTACTTTTACAACCCTCACGGCTGCAACGGCCCAATCAACCACCACGCACCGGTCCCGACTTCTTCTTACAATTATTACAAGCATGGTTACGATAGCAACGACTTTTCTTCTTATCAGCACCATCCTGTTCATGCCTCTATCTTCAGCCACCAGACTGGTTCTAAGTTTAGCGATGAGAATCCTAATGCTTGTTCTATCATGTGATGTGAGTAATTTTTTTCACTTATTATTATATTTTTGCGTACTATTTATATCTGTACGTGCTTTTAAGTAAGTTCATAACCCCAAAAAACTATGTACTGATGTAATTTAAGCTCAATTGGTTATGTTTTAAGGTTACTTTAACTATACGTTTCTATTTGCATTAAGCTCATATATTGAACGAGTCGAATAGAGTAATTACTGCAAGCAACACACAATTTTTCAGTGTTTAGTGTCCTACCACCTAAAAAATAGGTAGCCAATATTTATTTTTTTCACAAAGTGGCAACATTAAAAAAAGGCGTCCAATAATCGATCTCTCACAAAGGCCAATAAAGCAATGACCACAAGATATTTATCATCATAACATCGCCTTGATACTATATATCTTTCATGCACATAATGTATCTAAGATTCACCAATCCAATCTATAAAGAGCATGCAATGGTCGTAAAGCTACTCCTCAAACTCTCAAGAAAAGAAGAAAAAGATATAAAAACAGTTTGAACGGTGAGATTATGGAACAGTAAAAACCTTAATTGGAATATTCAGAGAGTGGTTACGACGTAGGAGGATATCGCTGCTGCTTCATTCACAGATCTGATATGCTCTTTGAGTTCTTCTTCTTCTTCTTCTTAATCTTCTTCGCCTTTTCTTTTCCAATCTTTCTCTTGTTCGATTTCTGTTTGGGTTTGGCGGCCCCTGCTCGAGTAACTTCATCAAAATTGATGATCTGGAGTGAGGTGAGGCAACATTCCTGCCATTTGAGAGCTTCGATGTCGGTTATTACTTCGTCGAGCGTTTGGGTAGCTGATGAAGAGACTCCGGTTTGTTTCAGAGTTGAGCGAGAGAGATCTAGTAGATCCAGTGCGTCCACGGCTTCACCTACAATTTTCTGGTAAAAGCCGATCGTCGTTGGAGACAAAAAAAAAAACAATATGAGAACCAAATTAACCGATTCGCAGAGAAAATTGTTGCGGAGGATTATCGGAAACTCACGACGAAATCGGATTACTCAAGTTACTAAACGAGATTCTAACGGAGAGGGAAAAGGAGGAGGAGAACGGAATTCCCAAATCTGTTTCTACGTAATTCAACAGAGATTTAAGAGATGATCGGTGGTTACCTTAGCAGATTTGTGCAGCTTTCGGAAACCGTGCATATGAACGATCTACAGAGAAAACAAAAGGCACCAGTCGGAGTTTAGAAACTGATCAGGAGGACTATCGAATCAGACGGGAAATCTAATCGTTGTTGAGAAACCTGATTGAGGTAGGCGATGGTGAAGTCGATGGACTTTCCAGAGTTGAAGAAATCAACGTATTCCTCCAGAGATATCTTCTTCTCTACTCCTGGCCTCATTCTTCTTCCTCTCTCTTTTTTCATGCTCTCTCTCTCTCTTTCTCTCTGGAATGTTTGTTGGTAAGCGAAATAAAAAGTGAGACTACTCGCACTCTCAACTTCATATTTCAAAATCAGCGATGGGGAGTTTGTTATTCACAGAAAAGACGGAAATACCCCCGTATGATCAGCTTCCAGTGATTTCAACTTGCGAGTAACGCAATTTTTTTTTTTTTATCAAGTTATGTCGCCGCGAGTGGCTCGTTAGAGGAATAACGTCAAGAAGGAAGGATAGTATATTGTCATTCCAAAATCTTGTGTTGTGAAATGTCAAAAGTTGAGACTAAAATCCTCGGGATACATTGACAACAATAAAACAGCTTCAACTAGAAACTTTGGAATTATGGAAGAGATTATACTCCTAGTACTAAACTGAAGACCAAGCGTTGACATCGACCCAGTTGAATGCGATCGGACCCAAGAAGGCGTCTGGAATCCCGAACGAAGTGACGAGTGCAAGAGCGTGAGGTCTAAGCTCTCCACACAGCTTAGAAACCTCTCTCCTCACATCTCCAACATTGTCCCTTGACAGGTAACCATATCTCAGCAACGATGGATCTTCCTCCAAGCAGATCAATGCGTACATTGATCTTACTAGACCCAACACATCCTATCATCAAACGCAATGAGGCAATTAGTTTAGTTCCTCTTGTAGTCTTCACTCTACAGTCTACAGATCAACCCTGTAACGTAACAGTTCTTTACTCTGACATTGTCTATAATCTACGGGTGTTTTTGTGCGAACACATGACATCAGGTTTATATAATCATGTTTACCTTAATGGAGCCAGCACGGATTTTGGCTTCAGCATCCAAAAAGGTTTGCAGAATTGCTTTTTCTGTGAAAGCTCTGCTTAGGTCTTCAGAAAGTTGATGATTCTGAAAGTACAGAGGAGATGTAGAAAAGGAGCAGAGAACCATTAGTATATGAGAAACGCAACCAAAGGTTATGTGAGAAGAAATGCTAACCAAAAGGAAGGAGAACTCTCTGCTTTCTCCTCTCCCTTGAAGTTGTGCAACTTCAGATGTATACCGCTCTAGAAGATCTCGCTCTCTTAAAGAGAAGACATTTTTCTGCCAGGGACAAATACAGGAGATGCTTAACAAAAAGTTGAATTCATCTATGTAAATGATAAGATGGAAATATTCTTGAGTAGGCATATGAATTATGACCTGGAACTGGCTGCATCTGAGGGTAGAAGATGTGAGTTGAGTTGGTAATACAGGGCGAGAGCTGTTCATGTGCTCCAATCCCAATCCTTTGAATGGTTTATTTCTCTTCTTACAAGATACATATTCAGCAAAAAGTGCTTTGCTCACCTAAATTCACATAAGAACGATTGTCACATTGAATGGTCAAAATACAAAAAAAGAAAACAAAAAAAAAGAGGAAAGCTGCAGCATTGATTATGTTCCTTATCCTACCTGCTGCATCAGAACATTATTGTCACCTTCAAATGTAGTCTGCACATCATAGTCGCCTTTTAAATGACCAACGCGATTTTCTGTTTTCACACTTTGCCCTCCACAAGCTTCACGACATTCCTTGAAAAATATATAATCTCAGTATGGCCCGTATGAGATTTCCTCATATATAATTGCATAAAAGTATTGGTTAGAGACCTGAAGCGTTCGCATATTGTGCCAAGTGAGAACAGCTTTGAACCCACTTGAAACTACATGGATGGCTTTGTTGGTCTCAGGTGTTCTCTTCACGTAATCATCTTCAAGTCATTAGCAGCAAAGCTCATAGCATATCTAGGGTACAGAATACATAAATTCAGTAAGAGATAATAATCTTCCAAGAGGGAAAACATAGTGGTTACTTACGTTTTTGCTAGGAGTGGTAAAAGTCGTCTTTGATGGCTTGGATAATCAAGAAGGAGAACTTCAGGACCATTGTCTACAGCAGAGAAGGCTCTTCTCGATAGCGAGTACCTTATAGCAACAGCTAATCCCAGCTGCCATAGTAAGAATCTTAATCAATATCATTGATAGTCAAGTTGATTTCACAAAATGTATATGTTAGGATCTGAAATAAAACTACTAAAATGAATCAATACCTTTGCAGAATAAATTGCACTTGACGAAATCGTGACACGACCAGCGGTCAAAGGGGCCAAGAATGCTCCAAATCTCTGAAATATCAAAAATGAAAACATTGCCACTGCAACTCCGAAACATTTTCAAGTTTATCTGAAAACTGGATTTAGCAATTTACCTGATCAGGATTTTTTATTGCGCTAACATACTGCCCATCAGATGAAACATTAGCAACTGAGTTCAATAAATAATCTCTTGGAATTCGAAGATTGTCAAACCTATAAACATAGTGAAATCTTCAATGAAGGATACACCCTTAACAGTTACATAACAGTGAGTTGTGGTGTACAATACCATATCCTGCCATTGCCAACACCATTTAGACCAATCTTGTGTCCACAGTCGGCAATGCGGATGTTTGGACATATGTTGCCATCTTGATCCCTGATTTGGGCGATGAAGACATGAATCCCCTGGTTGGTTCCGTTTATGTTAAGCTGTGAAATCACAATTGCATGGGTTGCATACTGAACAAACCAAAAGAATAGTAAAAAGTCAGTTTATATGTCAGATCAGAGGGGAGAATTTAAGAATTAAGTATACTAACTACTTACGTTAGCTGCCTCACCGATCCAATACTTCTGAGCAGATTCACAAGGAGTGTTTATAACAAACTCCCCAGTTCTTGGGTCATAAGTAGTCACTGTTTCAATTCCCTTCACCTGAAAGCATTATATCAAAAGAAATCAATACCAATTATGGAAGATCACCAATACATACGAGTTTGCATATGTGTAAAAGGACACTAATAATATTCCTACATTACTTCCATGGCCCAACTCAGTCATTACTAAGCATCCCTTGACAACATAATCTTCGGTGTCTTTCAGCCACTTGTCATCGTGGCGCTTTGTCCCAAAGAATTTAACAGCATTACCCCTGAACTTAAACATGCCATATGAATTTCCCAAATGCTAAATTTCATAGTTTTCAATACCCAGATTAGGACAATATCTCTCCAATATGAGAAACTCAAGAGGAACAATATGCGGTGATGTGAGTTAGGCATAAAACATGTGAACATACCACAGCAAGAAATGAACACCGAGTTTGGCGATAATGGAGTAATCATAGATCCCGCAAACTTCGTACAGAGCAAACTTTTTTTGCTCAGCATCAGGACCTGTCTCCGTCAACCATCCTTTGAAGACTCCTTTCTGGAGCAAGTACCAGATCCGCTTCATGGTGACCTCTCGCTGCTGCTCCATCGTCTGATTGTAATCCGGCGACACGAAAATCTTGCCTCCTCTCTCTTTCCGATTAAACAGATTGCTCTGCATCATGAGCCCATAAAGCCAGTCTCGCTCCTCCACGTTGTGTCCGTCGAGCAGTTTCCTCATCTCCTTGATTTCGAATCCATAGCTCCCGTTGAGCTCCTCCGGTGGAGAGTACTGCAAGCATACATCGCGCGTGAGGGAGAGGTTCGACGGCGGAGAAAGGTGGTCGGAGTATGTGATTGGCGAGAACTTGGGCTCGCCGGAAAGCGCGATTTCATTTCCGAAATAGGGTTTCACTTTCACAACATTCAGAGAAAGGAGGGAGGGAGAGAAAACTATTTGAATTTTCTTTTTTTGTTTCTCAATTGCTGTTGAGTGTTGACTTCTACAGTTCTACATGATTCCTTTCATGAGTCCAAAAAAATTTACATGTTTTGTTCCCTTGGCCAAAACATCTGCTGAGATATAGTACTGTATTATTTATTTTTCTACTTCTTGTAACCAATTCAATTTATAGATTACGAGATTAAATAGGATCATGTCCGGTTTAAGAAACATTAAAAACGTTTAATAGAAAGCAAATCCCAGAAGGGAAATAATTATTTATTTTAGGGGAGATGACCTAACAAACCTTTGTCTGGACAGTTTACCCTGTATTATTATTATCAAGAGCATATAACAGCTTTAAAGATATATGGAAATACAGCTTTTTAAGAGAAGTGGAATTATTGGAAGAGATAGCAAGTACTAAACTGAAGACCAAGCGTTGGCTTCGACCCAGTTGAATGCAATCGGAGCCAAGAAAGCGTCTGGAATCCCGAACGAAGTGACGAGTGCAAGAGCGTGAGGTCTAAGCTCTCCACACAGCTTAGAAACCTCTCTCCTCACATCTCCAACATTGTCCCTTGACAGGTAACCATATCTCAGCAACGATGGATCTTCTTCCAAGCAGATCAATGCGTACATTGATCTTACTAGACCCAACACATCCTATCATCAAACAAATGGGGCTGGTCAGATTAGTTTAGTTCCTCTGCTAGTCTTCAGTCTTAGTGTAGTACTAGTCTACAGAATAACTACATAAAGAACAAAGCTCTGCTTTTCCATAACTACTTACCTTCACTGGGCCAGCAGATAGTTTGGCCTCAGTATCCAATATAGTCTGCAGTATTGCTTTCTCAGTGAAAGCTTTACCTAAGTCCTCTGCGATTTGATGATTCTGCGAGCACGGATGAAAAGTAGAAAAAGAGCAAGACACCATTATTGAAGAACGAACTGAAGGTTAAAAAGAATTATGTGAGCAAAAATGCTAACCACGAGGAAAGATAACTCTCGACTTTCTCCTCTCCCTTGAAGCTGCGCAACTTCAGAAGTAAATCGTTCTAGAAGATCTCGCTCTCTTAAGCAGAACACATTTGTCTGGCAGGGACAAAGTATGAGAGATGTCTAACAAAAAATCTAAATAAATGATTAAGACGGAAAATATTATGAGGCGGCAAATAACCTGGAACTGGCTGCATCTGAGGGTAGAAGAAGTGAGTTGAGTTGGCAATACAGGACGAGGACTGTTCATGTGCTCCAATCCCAATCCTTTGAAAGGTTTGTTTCTCTTCTTACACGATACATATTCAGCAAAAAGTGCTTTGCTCACCTAAATTTCACAGAATAACGAATCAGCCGCATTGAATGGTCAAAACAAGGAGATAACGTTCACAATTATGTGGCTTAGCCTACCTGCTGCATCAATACATTATTGTCACCCTCAAATGTAGTCTGCACATCAAATTCACCTTTCAACTGACCAACTAGATTTTCTGTTTTCACACCTTGCCCTCCAACAGCTTCACGACATTCCTTAAGAAAAAAAAAAAACAAAAAACCTCAGTATGGCTTCTAGGAGCTTTCTCATATAAAGATTTGTGTAGTATATTTGTTCTAACCTGAAGTGTTCGCATATTGTGCCAGGTGAGGACAGCTTTGAGCCCACTTGAAACAACATGGATGGCTTTGTTGGTTTCAGGTGTTCTATTCACGTAAATCATCTTCAAGTCATTTGCAGCAAAACTCATAGCATATCTACAAATTAATAAGAAACAGTTAAAGATTAGCAACCAAGAGGTTAATCATAAAGGCTTGATTCATACAGAAACTTACGTCTTTGCTAGGAGTGGTAGCAGTCGCCTTTGATGACTTGGGTAATCAAGGAGGAGGACTTCAGGACCATTGGCTGTAACAGAGAAGGCTCTTCTCGATAATGAGTACCTTATAGCTATAGCTAATCCGACCTGCCACAGTAATAATATTAATCCATTACATTATTCCTGAAACAGTCAGGTTCCTACCTCATAATGTCTTATTTATAAGAGATCCAAAATGAAACTACTTAAATATGTACCTTTGCAGAATAAATTGCACTAGATGCAATCGTGACTCGGCCAGAGGTCAAAGGTGCCATGAATGCTCCAAATCTCTGAAATAAAATTGGAAACATTGTCACTTCACTTCGACAAGGATAGTAAAGTGTATCTTAAAAATAGCTCCAATGTTTAGCATTTACCTGATCAGGATCTTTAATTGCGCTAACATACTCTCCATCAGGCGAAACATCAGCAACTGAGTTTAATAAATTCTCTCTTGGAATTCGAAGATTATCAAACCTATGATCGTAGTAAAATCCTCCATGAACTAACACACTTAAGCATAAAGTAAAATTACAAAACATTGAGTTGTGTACAGTACCATATTCGGCCATTGTCAACACCATTTAATCCAATTTTATGTCCGCAGTCGGCAATGCGGATGTTTGGACATATGTTGCCATCTTGATCCCTAATTTGCGCGATAAAGGCATGAACCCCCTGGTTGGTTCCGTTTATATCAAGCTGTGAAAACACAATTGTATGGGTTGCATGCTGAACAACCAAAAGTTAATACAAAGTCAGTATATGATAAATCAGGAGGAGAAACTAAATGATATTAAACCAAACTAGAAAAGAGGATTTTGCAACACTCAAAGATAAGTATAAAGATTACTTACTTTAGCTGCCCCACCGATCCAATACTTCTGAGCAGATTCACAAGGAGTGTTTATCACAAACTCCCCAGTTCTTGGGTCATAAGTAGTCACTGTTTCAATTCCTCGTACCTAAATCAAGATAAAATATATATAGAAATCAATATAGCTGTAGACGATCACCAAGACATATATAGTTTGCATATGGAGACAATAACAACTGAAATATCCCTACATTGCTTCCATGGCCTAACTCAGTCATTGCAAAACAACCCTTGACAACATAATCTTCAGTGTTCTTCAGCCACTTTTCGTGGTGACGCCTTGTTCCAAAAAACTTTACAGCATTACCCCTGAATACCACAGAAAAAAAAACTTGTAACTATGAGGCTAACACTGTTCCGTAATATACAGGACACTAAATAACTTGCATATATATCCTCAGAGACACATCTAGTGATTTTTTTTTTCACAACTGTATATCATCGACCAAAGCACAGACTAGTCATGTCATATGAACTTTGAAGAGAGGTTTAACCAAAAAGGCGAAACCACTATACTGCAATCAACTAATGAATCTTAGCATTCCTTTACCGAAACTAGAAACAAAAATTCCAATCCCAAGCTTGTCTTTTTAGAATATATCATTCTTTAAACAATTTGATAAAAAAAAAAAATCAAAACTAGATTAGAAGTCTTGACGTGAAAATAGAAGTATATGTGTACGAAGATGTACAACTTTAAACATACCACAAGAAGAAATGAACGCCGAGCTTGATGGAGAGAGAGTGATCATAGATCCCACAAACCTCAAGCAGAGCTAATTTCTTGAGCTCAGCATCAGGACCTGTCTCCGTCAACCATCCTTTGAAGACTCCTCTCTCGAGCAAGTACCAGATCCGCTTCATGGTGACCTCTCGCTGCTGCTCCATCGTCTGATTGTAATCCGGCGACACGAAAATCTTGCCTCCTCTCTCTTTCCGATTAAACAGATTGCTCTGCATCATGAGCCCGTAAAGCCAATCCCGATCCTCCATGTTGTGACCGTCGAGCAATTTCCTCATCTCCTTGACCTCGAATCCGTAGCTCTCGTTGAGCTCCGGCGGAGAGTATTGCAGACATACCTCACGGGTGAGGGAGAGGTTCGACGGCAGAGTAGGTGACCGGAGTATGTGATTGGCGAGGACATGGGCTCGCCGGAGAGCGCGATTATCGGACATATCTCGAGCGACGGAGGGTTCAGGTTTGCGATGATCACCAATTTTTCAATGTCCCGCGAAGAAATGTTGCAGAGAAAGAGAAGTTGAATAAGTTGCTTCAACCAAAATTGATTTGTTGTTATAACTACAACTAATGATTTGTTATATAATTAGATAAAGAGGGATATAACAGTTTTTAAGTTTAACTAAATGAAACTTTTCCTCGGGAAGTGCAAATGCTGATAAGGTCTCCTTTGTCATTTACATTTGACTTGTGTAGATTTGGATCACATCTGTCATCTGCCTACTCTGCAACTTTGTGGTTCAATCTCAGCCGTTGGATCTTCCATAAAGTCCCCAACTTATTTGTCCCCATCATCGTGGATCGAAATGAACCAAGAACCTTTCTTTTTTTATTTTTTTTTGTAACTGAAGAAGAACCAAGAACTTGCTTCAAGTGATTATGTTTTTGGCTATCTTAGCCTATCTGTCACATTTTTCCATATGAGATATGGAATTAATATTCTTTCTGAAAACCTACTTTCCTGTTTCCACACAACCATCATTCTTGCTATCAGACATACGTATCGTCATCGATTGCATATTTCATTATTATTGGAATTATATAGTTGATGATATATATATAATATATATGAAAAAAAACTCAACGTTCATCAAATTATTAAAGTAAAACATATTATGGTTTTCGCAATTTAGGCCATAACGGTTCAAACTAGCTTTAGGTTTTTGATTCTAAAATATAGACGTCTTTCGATTGTGATTAATTATAAATTGTATTGCTGTACAACTTTGTTAAACACTGTAGAAGATTTTGACTATGATTTTTATTTTTAAAATTAAAGTTCGATTGGTAAAATTAAAGTGTAAATTCGTTTCGTTTATTGATTTCGTAGTTACGTTGTTATTGTCCTTTGTCATGGCCCTCATGGGCAACCTAAAAAACTCATAATCTTCATCCAAACACCTTTTTCTTTCATTAACCAAACAATCTTTTCATGCTCAGTAGGCTCTTTTTGCACCATTATACACCTTTCTTTAATTCTTTTCAAAATAACAATAAAAATAATTATATTAATCATCTACCAATATCCCTGGTTATTATTAATATAAACCCATATCTCCAATTCCTATTAACCTTCAAATGAAGGAAACGGAAAGAGGTAAGACGTTTGTATGACCCTTCTCGAAATTATGTTCATATAGTCTTATTCTTGTGAGATATATATTTTCTCTTGTTTCAATTGGTCTACCAGATCCATGCATATACGTAGATGTGACTCCCATAATTTTATGCTTTAATGTGAATAGTTTTTGCTATATTATAACATTTAGTACATTTGTTGAAAGAAAAAAATGTAGTCAATATTAGCTTTCGTTAAATTAATGATCTAGTCGATCCTTCTTAGTTCTTACCTTTTCGATATAATCAGTGTCTTAACCTGACCAATCACTAACATTGTATATATGTTCTAAAATTTCAAATTTTTTTAACTAATAGCTAGGGACATGACATGATGCAAAGGAACTCTAACAACAACACCAACAACAACAACTCCATTATTAACTCATCATCGCATCAAGCTTGTGCTTCATGCAAACACCAAAGGAAGAAATGCAACAACGAATGCATCTTATCCCCTTATTTCCCGGCCCGCAAGACCAAAGAGTTTCAGGCCGTGCACAAAGTCTTTGGTGTTAGTAACGTACAGAAAATGGTACGGACAGTACGTGAAGAGGACCGTACAAAGCTCTCTGAATCTTTGACATGGGAAGCACTATGGAGACAGAAAGATCCTGTCCTTGGCTCCTACGGAGAGTATAGGAGGATTTGTGAGGAGCTCAAGCTGTACAAAAGCTTGGTTCATAATCAACCTCTCATTGGTTGGGACAATAATCAACGTACTGTATTCAACAATAACAACAAAAACGGATTAGCGATAAATTCGAGTGGATCGGGAGGGTTTAGTGTTAACAACAATGGCGTTGCTGTGAATCGGGAGATTATTAATGGTGGATATACATCGAGGAATTTGCAAGGTGGCTGGGAAAACTTCAAGCAAGATCAAAGGCAACAATGTTATGCAGTGATTAATGGGTTTAAGCAACATTATCTCCCACTCTAATTAATACTATAATGTTTCACTGTTAAGTTCTAATCGATACAAAGCCTGTTCGTACGTAGTTGCTTTTATGGCTTAATCATATATTGTTGATGTTTTTCTTATTACTAATGGCTAATGCAATTCGTGGTGTACTTTATATATTACCTGCAAGTAGTAAAAACTTGTACGGTAATTCACTCATATTGTACGGTCATCTTGCAATCTTAAAATCCTTAATTTATCTCATAAGTATGCTATAAGTTTTGGAATTTGGCAATGAAGACTTCATAAGTGTTTTGATTTAGAATATAGAGTAATTGTTAAAAAAATTAGAGTTTAAACCCAAAGAAAAAAAAAAGGGACTGGATGCTTTATATTCTTTGAACTATCTAAAGCTAGTTTTTTTTGTTTTTCCTGTGTTGTGTGAGTATGCATTATGTAATGGACGGTTTAACGGTGTTAGAACGAGATATAACGGCAGACTAGAGAAAAAGTCTTGTAATTGTTAACTGGTGTCTATAAAATTTGATAATTGTTTATAGGATGAATTAAAATCGTTAGTGATCTTTAGGTCCAAATTTAAAAACTTATCGGTTGAACCGACCAGTTTTCGGTTTGAACGTAAACCTGTTGAATATATATCCGGTTAGGTTTAAAAACACGTAAAACACAAAATCAAGAGAAGCTGATATATCGTTCTCAATCCAATAGATTCCTTCCTTGCTCATCTTTCTTTCTCCAAACCATCTTTCTGCTACACATCAAATCTGTGGAGGACGTATTGGATTTTTTTCAGATTAATATGTCGTTACTTGTTACTCAGTTTGATCCGATTTTCTAATTGTCAAGCCAATGTCTGTCACTCGAACTCTCCACATCTTGCCGTCCAGTGGTTCGATGATATTCCCCTGTGAAGGAAAATCTCGTTTTTCGTCGCTCTCTCTGCAGTTACCTGAACAATCTTCCTGGGCTTAGCTTGGACTTGTCTAAAAAGCATTCAGGTATGACTCTCCCGATTTCCAGAAAATATGCTTTCGTCAATAAAAAAAAGGTCTTTTAATGGGGCCAATTGAGAAGTTGTCATCATCGACCTTGTAACCCAATACGTTCGTTGAGATTTTTGAATTCATTATTCGAATGATTGTATTTTTACTTTCTGTTCCAGGTTTGCGAGGCATTTCCCAGATGTCAAGTTGAATGATTTTACAGTCATTGAGATCAATGGCATTTCGATTGACACGTTTGCGAAAACCTCTTGCTTATTCTCGGTCCTTTGATACCTGCGTTCCATTTTTCCGGTCAATCTCTTCCTTTGAAGCGGTTGAAAAGGCTATAAAATGTGCTGTCGAAACAAAGGAGTATCTTCAAATCCCTCATCTTGTTGTTTCGCTCAAACAACCCTACCAAAACTCAAAGTTATTCTCTTTTCTCTCTGCTTTCCAACATCATCATAGAATCCGAGTCATTGACGAAATCCTCCAAAGTTTTGTGCCCGTGAGGCCTCGTTCCCTGCCTAAGATTGTCTACTCCAGCCTTCTTACTTACTGTCTTCAGAGTTCCGATCCACTTCCTTTGTCATTCGCGATTCTTCAACGCACTCTTCGTTCTGGCTGTCTTCCTAATCCTCAGACTCACCTCCTTCTGTCTAATGCTTGGCTTGAACGGCGACGAGGAACCCAGTCTGTTGCAGATATTCTTAGTGAGATGAAATTGATCGGATATAGTCCTGATACTGGAACCTGCAACTATTTAGTGTCATCACTCTGTGCGGTTGATAAGTTGGATGAGGCGGTTAGAGTTGTGGAGGAAATGGGTGAGGCTGGTTGTATTCCTGATTTGGAAAGTTACGGGGCGGTGATTAATTCAATGTGTTTGGCTAGAAAGACTAGCGATGTCGTGAAGACTGTCAAAGAGATGGTGAGCAAAGCTGGAATTTCTCCACGGAAAGGGATGCTGACAAAAGTAGCAGCAGCTTTAAGAGCAAACAGGGAAATTTGGAAAGCCATTGAGATGATCGAGTTTGTAGAAAGTAGAGATTACCCTGTGGAATTTGAGAGTTATGAGGTACTAGTCGAGGGTTGCCTAGAGGTTAGGGAATACATTTTGGCAGGGAAGATGGTGATGAGAATGACTGATAGAGGGTTTATACCATATATCAAGGTTAGGCAAAAAGTAGTCGAGCGTCTGATTAGCATCGGTGAATGGAAGCTTGCTTGTACTGTTAGACAAAGGCTCTCTGAACTGAGGTCTTAGGTATTTCCTGTAGTCATCAGATTGGTTTTAAGATTTTGTAAGAATAGATACCGTTACGATACTGGAATGTAATTCATACCCCCGAATTTGGGAAATTTTGTTGTTTCTTGTTAAACAGATTTTGTTTTATAACTGTGATCCGTTTGTCTCCATATCTTGTGCGCTCCACCTGCAAGCTCCTGAAAGCTTTTGTGGAGTTTTTGTAGTGTCAAGTGAGCATATAGTAGTGTGGAAAGATGATGGCATCACCATATATAGGGAGATCATTGGAAACTGAGGACGATTTTATCTGGAGGACTTATGTGAGATCGTAAGAATTAGCTTATATTTTTATCTTGTGAGATTTCTCTTTGTCCTTGAGAGCCTTGTGTCTGTTCAGTATCACTAGGCTCGATGCCAAACGTACTGTTATAAGAAGCAGGTTATCAAACGGGATGCGTTAAGGAGAAAGCATCTCAATGGTTCAAGCGAATCTTGTGTGCTTAAATGGGCAGGTATTATATCCAAGACTAAACACATGTTTTTCCTTATAATCGCATCTTATCTTTGGAATCCTGTTGACAGTACCCTGATTCTCAATTATCCCTGGTACTTTATTCCACAATCGTAATTAATTATTTTAGCTGCGCTATTGCAGATTGTCATACAGAGAGAGTTGTCATATTAGTTTTCTGTTTTCGGAAAGGAAAAGGCTCTAAAGCTTCCGGAGATTCGTGGACTCACTGTGTGGGATAGCTAGCCAGCATAGCAATACCACATTTACCCGTCTCTTGGCTATAACCACGTTCCATCCGTATGTAGCCTTCTTCACCCCAACCAGTTCCCCATGAATTCTTTACGATCCAGTATTGTTGACCGCCTTCTTCTCCGTATCCAACAACAGTCACTGCATGGTTGAGATTTGATCCACAGTAACCTGTGAAAACACCAGAAGAGTAGAGCTGAAAGATAAACCCACCAGCGTCGATTCCAACTGACACTGGTTGTTGAGCAGCAGCGATTCGTAGGCTCGCCTCATTCTGTGCTACCTTTTGGTATCCTTGAATCGTAACTACCTTATTTTTAGCTTTTTCTTGGTCACAGGTACCCTCTGCGGCTGTGTATGGGTAGTCGGTCTCGGTGGTGAGTCCACCGTTGGTTTTGATGAACTCATATGCTGTTTCCATTAATCCGCCGCTACAGCCTTTGTTGTAAGTGCCGGTATCACAATCTATGAGTTGTTGTTCTGAGAGAGATACCAACTTCCCTGTTTTTATCTGGTTGATGCCTTCAATAGCTGCCACTGCAGCAAAAGCCCAACAACCTCCTGCACAAGAATATGGAAAACGCAATCAGATTGTCATCTGAATGTTTGCAAAGTCTTATGTTTATAATGGAATTGCGTAAGAGCATGTTTTCATACCGCATCTTCCTTGATTTCGAACAGGAGTCACAGCACCTTGTTTCCTCCAGTCCACAGCCGCCGAGACATTGACTGCTGCTGGGTCACGAACCGGCATATGGTTCCTGTGTAACCTCGAGGAAGACGTGTTCAACCCGAGAAAATGGGCCTTAAACTCAGAGTTGGTCATGTCCGCAAATCTGTTATCTGCTAACTTAAAGGGCAACTGGAGGGAGTTGATGTAGTCAATCAGCTGGATATTAGACTGGTATATCCCAAACCTTAGCATCCACTCATCCTTTCCTCCATACAAGATCCCGTGGGTTTGAAGCCACTTCTCGAACCGCTTCTTCAGGGTTTTGCGTGGGTCGAACACAGAGGCATTGGCGGAACATAGTCCTGAAGCTATCAAGACAAAGCAAATCAAAACGACAAGGGTCAGGTTAGAATTTCTAAGTACATTCAGCATTTTTATATGTTTTGTTATGTTTGGATTTTAGGAAATGAGTATGGTTTCTGGTATATAAGCTTCAGTCCTGTGGCTGCTTTCTTGGGTCACAGATTTTGCATTTTGTTGCAGTTCCAATGGAACAAGTTTCCTTCTGTCTCACCCCTAATAATATGCAGAGATACGTAAGTTTAAGAGTTAGTCGTAGAATTTGGTTTCTTTTTGTCTAGTTACGGTACAGAGTTGCATTGTGTTTTCTGATATAATGAACTCTTTTTTTTTCTTCATCTTAAGGATACGAATTCTATAACGAAATCATGAGATATCTAGTAGCGTGGCTTAAATAAAGGTGCAAGCACAGAAATATCTTCTTTATTTCTCAAATGGCCAAATATGAAGAAAGATTGATATTAAAAATGTATGGGTCTGTTTCCCCAGAAGTCCTTACTTTTCCCATGGAAACTGAAGTTTTCTATTCTTATTGGCATTTTGCAGGAAGTCTGCTCATTTTAGCACTCGTGCGAATTGGTTTCTCCGAAGATGGTTGTTCCTTCCATTGTAAACTTTGGGGTTGAATGACCCCTGTCGTTGTCATTTCTGTGGAGAAAATACAAATTTTCGAACCAAGAGTATTGAGGCTGAAGGTTGGAGAAATTATCTTCCAGGTACTTGAATACTTGTTCTAGCCCTTGTAATTCTTACCATGATGTTTAGAGTCAAGTTCATGACAGTTGGAACTCTACTCGGATGTGGTTCAAGACTTGGTTCCCGAAGCCTCCTTAGCTTCTGGACCTTTTTTCTCAAATGTGACATGAATATGCCTGTAGTCATTCCTTCAGAAAGAAAAGAGAATCATTAATATGGAAGAAGCCATGGATACTGTTCAGGAAGAAAAGTTTACTCTGGCTGATTATTGGATTATGCAATATGATTCTCCCTATATTATCAGAACGGTTCATCTACGGAGAAGAATGACAGAAATTGAAGATGATGGTCTTGAGGCAGGGTTAAGATATCGAACAAATTGTTCTGGCAAAGCGTACCGGTAGGATTGGCTGGTGAATTCTGTTCCTTTTGTTTTTACCAGATGAGTCTCGCAATATTTCTTGAGAAATGCAGTTTTCAGGTTCCAAACCATTGATGTGACATGGTGGTACACATCTTCAAGAATGATTCAGGGTAAAGAGCAAGGACACAAGTGCACCCGGACGACATTAGGCCCTGCTTCGGTTTCTGGATAGATGTTTCCGGTTTGGTTAAACCGAATCAGATTAGACAGAGATGATGGGTTTGCCCTTAATTAATTTGATTTCTATGTAACTAACAAATACATGTTTTAAACGTTGATTTAACCGTCATCATCATCGAATTTATACCTTGAATGTTGTTAACTCTTTTTCAAATCGTAACATGCGTACACTTAACAAAAACTTTAAATCGGCACTATTTATGTGAAGGGCCATGCAATTAAGGACCCTTTCCTTCACGCATTATCCAAAAACATTCACACAAGGAGCGAGAGCAATGTTGCTATCCAAAAAGCAAGAACAAGAGAGAAAAGGTTTGTGAAAAGAAAACAAAGGCAAACATGTTAGAGGGCATACCAAAGAGATGGAAGGAGCTAAGCGGCGTAAACAAATGGCAAGGCCTACTTGAACCACTTGACCCGGATCTTCGTCGCTACATCATTCACTACGGTGAGATGGCTCAGGTTGGTTACGACGCCTTTAACTGGGACCGTAAGTCAAGATACGCCGGTGATTGTTATTACTCTAAGAGACAAATCTTTGCTCGAACTGGCTTCCTCAAAGCCAACCCTTTCAGGTACGTACTTGCCTACAAATCCAAAAAGGTTTCATCTTTGTGTTTCCAACGACGTAAACCTTTACGCACCAGTGGTTGATTCTCAGGTACAATGTGACTAAGTACATCTACGCAACAGCTTCGCTAAAGCTACCAATCTGTTTCATCGTCAAGTCTTTGTCAAAGGATGCATCACGCGTGCAGACTAACTGGATGGGTTACATAGCGGTTGCTACAGACGAAGGGAAGGCGATGTTAGGGAGGAGAGACATTGTTGTAGCTTGGAGAGGAACTCTTCAGCCTTATGAATGGGCTAACGATTTTGATTTTCCGCTTGAGTCGGCTATCTCTGTTTTTCCGGTAACCGATCCAAAAGTCGTGCCTCGTGTTGGAAGTGGCTGGCTCGATGTCTACACCGCTTCTGATTCTAATTCTCCTTATGACACGACTAGCGCACGAGAACAGGTCCTTCACTTTTCTCTTTTATCACTGCATTGTGCATTCAGTTCAGGTCAGAGATCTTATGGTGTGCTACAAATGGAATTCCATTGTGTCTTGGTTTCGGTTTCATTCAGGTACAAGGAGAGCTCAAGAGATTGTTAGAAGTTTACAAGAACGAAGAAGTAAGCATCACTTTCACAGGGCATAGCTTGGGCGGAGTAATGTCAACTCTAGCAGCTGCAGATCTTGTCCATGCCAGAAAAAACAAGAACAATACAAGTCTTCAGAGAAACCAAGTCCCTATCACAGTTTTTGCTTTCGGGTGTCCTAGAATTGGGGACCAAGACTTCAAAAAAATCGTCGACTCACTCCAACCACTAAACATCTTAAGAATAGTAAATGTTCCAGATGTCGCACCACATTATCCACTCTTACTCTATGCAGAAGTAGGCGAGGTGCTCGAGATCAATACATTGAACTCGACGTATCTCAAGCGGTCTCTAAACTTTAGGAACTACCACAACCTGGAGATATACCTGCACGGCATTGCAGGGATGCAAGACAGAGCTGGGGTATTCAAGCTGGAGGTTGGTCGAGATGTTTCATTGGTCAATAAAGGATTAGATGCTCTGAAAGACGAATACTTAGTGCCAAGTACCTGGAGGTGTCTTGCAAACAAAGGGATGGTTCAAATGGATGATGGGACATGGAAGCTGGATGTCCACAGGAGAGATCATGATGACGCTGAAGATGAAGATGATGGCTCCTCAAACTAGTAACCGACTACGAGAGCTTACCTGTACAAGATTTTAGTTACAAAACTTCTTAAACGTTCTGCACAATACGTTTGTTTTTGTACACAACAAATCATTTAGAAGAACAAAGAATCTAAGGGCCAAATCTCAGTCAGTCTATAGAAATGCAATCCAAGATCAACAAGACAGCAAATAGAAAACGTCAAGTTCGTTATTTTTGTACTTGGACGAAGAAAATATTGAAATTCATTGAACATTATAGTAACACGGTTTCTTTGATGTGAGCAAGATCATAACATAAACTGGTTGCCTGGATCAACTCTAATGCGAGTCTCCACTATTACAGTAACCAAGATGCGATAAGCATCCTAACAACAATCTAAGAAATCCCCAGAAACAGAAGATCCCATCTTAAGACAACATTAATCTTCAGAGACCAAGATACTACGCCCAACACATTCTTCATCAGGTTATAACGCCATTCAATCAGAGACCGCATCCTTTCATTTGGCTGGCCTTTCGAGACTTGAATTCTCACTCTCCATTGAGATTATGTGAGTGAGCCTATCGTAAACCTGTCATGAAGAATTGCAACAAAGTTCATACATTAAAACTTTAATTTAAGATAAAATCTTCAGAAAGAATTTGCCTACCCGACCAAAAGCATAGCTATGTGGACATGAACAACGAAGAAACACACCTTAGAAAGTTGCTCCTTGTCACCCTGTTTGTTACCGCCTTCATCCACTTCCGTACCAAATGATGGATCATACCTAAAGATATATAGAATAATCAAATCTGTTACGCTAAGTTGAAATGTCACTTAGTGCGTTGATATAGAGAAAGGCATTTGGAGGAACCACTTTTTCAAAGAATCTGAATAAAGTGTATATTTCAAGTAGTGTCTTGGTAGGATGAGTTTCCTTACCAGTCTCGTGGAATGCCAGCTACCTCCCGAGCTGAGTGGTTAAAAGGGCCCCTTAACTCAACACCATACTCTTTGATCAGATCTGCACAATTTTATGCGGTTGAAATGATATTCATCACGTTTGTATGGAAACGAGAAGAGATAAAAGCATGGAAGAGAAGACTAGGTCTATGCCTTTAAATGTAGGGCAAGGAGCACGGTTCATCTTTCGACACACGGAGACAAACCAGTCTACGCCAACAGCTACATGTGCAACTTCCTCCTCAGCAATCTTAGCCACGATTTTTGAAGTCCTATGATCTCCGAATCCCATCAGCCTTTTGACCAACCTTGGACCAGCATCAAGTCCTCTAGCCTCCTGTAAAGCTAAATTGGTATGAATTAAGGTTAAACTAAACTATTCAGCTAAAACATTTTTGGTGTCTCCAGTAAAAAAAACAAATTGCCGTGAAGCTTCTATAATCTTCTATGAATCAGAAAATTTTGAGTGAGAATCCATGGGAAGTAAGTAGATATCTGAAATTACCTGTACAAGAGGGATAACAGCCAAGCGAGCAGCGACATTGTTGGATGATTTCTCGCATTCCTTCATCAGCAAATTATTAGCTGGGATATCGCCATACCTTCAAGAAGAAGAAGAAGAAGAAGAAGATGACAATAACGGGTTTGAACTGAAACAGTAGCAATCAAAGTTTGAAACTTTAATCAGAACAGACTTGAAACCAAGCTCCGCGAGTCTCTGGGAACACCACAAGAAATGGCGACTCTCATCATCAGCAACATGAGCAAAGTCATCGAAGAAGTTGTGACCCAAAAGGTCAGAGAAAGGGGAGAAACGAGCAACAGTGTCCCAAGCTAAATCAATTGCATTCAGCTCGACATGAGCGAGGTTATGGAGCATATGAGCGTTGAGAGGAAGCTTCGAGTCTTTCGGATTTGGAACTTCGTTGGTGGGAACCTGCATACAAACAAATTGGCTGATAAACTCAATAAATTGTCAAAACAGAAATAAAGGAGGGAAATTTGAGGACCATACGAGGAGGGGTTTAGGAGGGCGAGCGGGAGAAGAAGGGAGATGAGAGACAGAGCCAACAGGGAGATTCTCACGGCGCCAGCGGGAGAAAGCTAAATGGGAGATATGTGATTTGGAGAGAGGGTCGGAGGTTGAGAGCACGAGAGCTCCGAGATCGGCGAGAGAAGACGCCGCCGATACCAGACCGTGGGCGCCGGAGGAGAGGGAATCAGAAGTAGAAGAAGTAGAAAGGAGAGGACCCGTAGGCCCCCATAGACGGTGGTCATTGACAGGACTCTTTCTCCAATCGTCGAGACCTGACCAAAGCTTGTGTTGCGTCGTTGAAGAAGAAGAAGAAGAAGAAGAAGAGAGAGCAGAGGAGATGGTGAGAGAAGGAGGTAACAGAGGAGAAATGGTTGGAAAGGGACGGAGATGAATCAACGTTCTAACCATTCTTCCTCGATCCTTCTTCACTGCTCCCAAACCCACTCACCACCCAAAAAAAGCTTTTTTTTTTTTTTAACCAAAACAAACACCGCCTTTTAGTTTAGAGTTTTATATAATCCGAACATATTGGATGATGTAGATAAATCTTTCAAAAGCTAACGACTTCAGATCATTAACAGAAATTTCATAATACATTAGAATCGTCATCCAAAATTTGGGTGTGAATTCTGAATAAAATTAATATATAGTAGTAGTATATCAGAGTTAGATGGAATCGAGAATCAGAGAGATAGAAGAACGAGGAAAGGGTACTTTGGAAGCAAGGAGGAGATAACAAAGCTACAAGGTCACAAACTCACAAGCTTATACAATACACAAGTCATCAAGAATCTGTTGTGATGATTTTTGCTGATTCAAAAGCCCTAACTAAAGCATCGAAGAGTCAACCAACTAAACCGCTAAAGACCAGAGGAACAGAGAGAGGCAGAGATATACAAAACAGAGCAAACCAACCCTACGGTTACATCTAAAAGTAGACAGACACAGAATCCTACCGAGTCAAAAGAAACAAAAATTAAGAATAGATTTTTCCCTTTTTACTCTAACAAGTGATATGAATATAATACAATCTTTCCTTCCATTCCCATAACACCGCCCACTCTCTCTAATATTTCTGCCTCAAGCCTGTACGTCACATCATGCTTAACCTCCCAGATGCTCTTCTACCTCTCTACCTTCATCTTTCCAAAGCCCTGTTTCACCACAAAGCATCAGACTTTGGTTATATATAATCTGAAACCCTAAGGCATAAACGTTAGCCCATCCATAAGGAAGCAATAATTATTATAACAAACTACTCCGAATATGGACCAGATGTGAACAAGACCAACCACACACAAAATGTTAGAAGACATGGAAGATGACGTCGAAAAGAATTCCATTAACACATGTGCTATTTAGCAAACAGTCAACAAAAGCTTCTTATTAACAGATTAATAATGGATGATAGAGATGGATCTTTGGATGACCTTACATATTTCTCAACACCAATCCTCTAGGTCTGATCTGATCCGGATGACGAAGAGCTATCACTGTCCGAATCTGCAGACCAAACACATACGGGTTTAGAAACAAAAATCACAACAGCACCAAGGCAATATATTAGATAATTCAAAGAGAAGCATGTACCACTAGATGAGCTGGAACTGGAAGAGCTACTTGAACTACTTGATCTGCTTGTCTCGTTGTTTTGTTTCTCCACTTGAGAAGGTAATGGTGTAGGGAGTGTCTTTTTAGCTGATAAGAAAGAGCAAAAAATATTAAAATCCCTACTTAGTTCACACCAAACAGGGGGAAGTGGTATTCAGAAAATGGCCCTGCAAAATTACCTGTGTTGCCACCCTCCCTAGAAAATTCACGTGGCACTGGTGCTGGAGGCTGCAACAAAGAAAAAATGAATGAAGATGAGCATACAAATTGAAGTAAAAAGAAAAAGAAAATAGGACTGGAATTCTCAGGAGGGTTGCAAGTACCATCTGTTGTTGGTTATTCCTCTCGGCTTCTGCTCTGGCTTGAATAGCTAGCTCAGCTTTTCTCTTTTTCTTGCTCAAGCCTTTTTTGTAGTTGGTTACAAATCTGTCCAACTCCCAAAGGGTCTCTGGATCAACACTATCAATATCGACTTCAATTTCTTCGTCCCGTAGCTTCACAGCAGTGTTCCTCTTGTTAACAATTTGTACAATTGCATCTAGTTTATCTGGAGGCAAATTCTGCAAGTGGGCACTAAGCTTCTGCTTCTCCTCGTACGTCATATCTCTTTTATTTGGTTCATTGGCCTTCGGCTTCTTCAAAGCAGGTGTCCTTCCAGAAGGTGTTGTACTGGTCGGTGTTCTGCCAGGCGTTGTAGTTGGTTTTGGATGCTGCAAGTCAGCATGGCGACTACTCCAGTCTGCTCTATCCATTGTATTCCTCACATTAATAGGCGGTGGCGGCATCGTAGGACCCAGCCTAGACCTCATTGTAGTTGGGAGATTCATCTCATAACCAGTGACAAATCTCATTTCACGATTATAATCTGCCTCTATGACAGCCCATCTCTCCTCAAACATCTGTAAGAGCACTTCCGCCATGACATGGACATCTTGTCCTGCTGGGTTGTAAGTCATGGCATTGTGGAAAGTAAGCCTAACATCCTCTGCAAATTCTCTTGGTGACTTGTACAAATTCTTTGTTAACGCAGACTTGACAGTTCCCAAATCCATAGGGTGCTCGATGATGGTAAAGTAATCATGCAAACCTAGACCCTTCACATCTACAGGAGCATTGAACACCCAACCATGCTTATGCTTCATCAGCCTTTCAAGTAGAGCACTGCAATTCTTGTAAACTTTAGAGCCTGCACCAAATCCATGCCCGACCTCCCCTCCTTGCTTCTTTGTAGATTTTGATTTCTTGTTACTCTCTGCGGGTGGCAACTTGTCACCAAGTAAAAACTCTGAATTTCTATAAAACTGATTTGCCTTGGGTGTTCTTTTCTCTTTCTCCACATGCTCATTGACTCCCTGAGTATTCTCCAACACCGATATGCTAAGTTGATTTAAAGGCCTTGGTGCTCTGATAACCTCACGAGGATGTCCAGCTGAGGCAAATCCTGAGAGAATCCTTCCTCCTCCGTTATTAATACCAGTGTTAACCAAAACACGAGAGTCGTTATATGCACCAATCTCGCCCTCTTTGTCCTCTATCTTCTTTACCAGACCTCTGACCACGTTAAGCTGGTCTTCAAGCTTCTTCCTGATCTCCTCTTTCTGTTGCTTCGATTTGGAGGCCACATGTATCCTTATACGTCCATCTACGTCCTCCTCCATTGGCATGCTTTCGGCAGCAGTAGCATGTAGGTTCTGAGCAGAATCAGAGGTAAGCCGAGCTGGCTGTTGGGCATCGACGGCATCTCTTTCCACAATATTTTCAGTATGAGCTTCTTTAATTATGTTATCTGCATCTACCGTGTGGGGATACTCCTCAGAAGACACTTCAATGGGATTCTTGTCAACAACAACAGTATTGACATCTTCCACGGATAGGGTTTGAGAAGGTGCTTCAATAGCGTTCTTGTCAACAATCACGGTAGTAACATCTTCTTGGGCAAGGCTTTTAGGAGGTTCCTTAATAGAGTTCTCATCAACAACCACTGTATTGACATCATCTTGAGTTTTGTGCCTTTCAGAAGGTACTTCCACAGACTTTTCGCTAACGATAGTGTTCAAGCCATCCTGACCCAAAGTACTTGGGACGGGTTGAATAACGTTCTTATCAGTAGCGGCCAAACTGACATCATCCTGAGACTCGGCTTGAGAAAATGATTCCACAAGAGGCTTGTCAATCACCTTGTCAGAATCATCAACAGGCAGGTTATCAGAAGGCGCTTCGGTCGAGTTGTTGGCTACTGTGGCCCCAACGTCATCCTGGGAAATGGCCTCAGGGGCAGCCTCTTCGACAGAATTCTTAGGATCCACAGACTCTGGAGCTAGAGTTTCAGGAGGACTTACAAGGTTGTTTTCTTTCTCGTTTTCTAGTTTCCCCTCCGGTTCCTCGCGGTTATCGGTGGCACCACTACCCACAATGGCAAAGAATGATGTCTGTTTTCTCTGACCTTTTCCTTTCCTCGTGTAAACTTTAATGCTTTGCTTCTCTCTAGCTCCATCGGTTCCTTCTCCGTTAACAGGCTCCGAAGCCATACATGTACTTCAAAAACCCTAATTTCACACCTTGCTTGTTCCCGATTGATGCCTTTCTTCACTTCTCCCTCTTAAAACAGACAGATATCCCTCAAATCAGACGGAAAAGATACCCTCCACCATGAAAGCCGTAGAAACCCTAATTCCCGGACGGAACCTTCGTTCGATTCTGAGAGTGTGCAAACTTTGAGACTGCTCAAGGCCCACAAATTAGGGTTCCTAGGTCACGGAGATCAATTCGACGCAACAAGTAGATGTCGACTGAATTAAATCCCAGAGTAATCTGGTTTAGGTTTTTGACGAGAACGGAGACAATTAGGTCATTCAAATCTCTGTGCTTCGAGATCGACACAAACCTTGTGAAAAAGAAGAAAGCTTACGTCAGGGAACGAAACGAGATGAAGGTATGCGAAAGCAAGATTTGATCTAAAGAGGAAAATTGGAGGAAACTTACCTGCGAATTTGAGAGAGAACGCGCCGCAGAGAGAGAGAGAGCAACCAGCGTTTGATTTTTTCTCTATTACCCGACCCGAAGCTTATTAGGGTTGGGCCTGAAACAAATCAATTTTGCAAAAATCATTAAAAAAAAAGTTATTATCTTAATATACGTATATATGAAAATTAAAAAAGCTGCACTAGTTTTATAAGTACTGAAGGCACAGACGTCAGATGGAGCTAAATTATTAATTTACTTTTCTCTACATAGAACCTTTGGTATTGGTATATATTTATAAATTATGATTCTCTAAGCTTCTTGACAATCCCTAAAAAAAAAAAAATCAAGAAATTTTTTTAAAAAATTGCTATTCAAAAGCAAACGGCTTAAGGTTCTATAGGATCTTCGGGCACATCTTATGTTACCGAAAATTTAATGAAATGAAAACATGCTTACTGATTCTATATCGAGAAAAATATCATATAACGAAATCAATAATACATTCAGTGTTTTAGTCATAACTCATAATAATAGATTGTTTCGTAGTCTAGTTCACTCTTCCATCATCCAAATTGTTATGCGATGATTGTCGCGATTTGAACGAAGGCGTATGTATTGTTTGGTGTTTCGAGATCCACCTTTCATTACTTATTAGTCCGAGGTTCATTTTCAAAATCTCTACAAGTTCTCATTCTAATAAAGTACTGGTCAAACATCTAATTATTTGCTGAGAGCCTAAGACGAAGTGTGTGAGCATTTTGAATCCATTAAAACCTCTCAACTTTAAACGTAAAATTTGACAATAATAGTCACATTTAGAGTCGAAGACACATTACTAGTCATGCAAATAAGCTCACGGGTCTAGATGAGAAGAGAGACTATCACATCATTTGCAAATGCAGATCACCCGTCTGCTGCGCAAGCTCCACCATCATCGCTTCATCGAAGAACTTGTTCCCGCTTACATCCTCACTCATTCCCTACAAAACCAATCGTGAGAGATTGAAACTGATGAAGCAGATACGTGGCGGGTCTACTGTAACTAGTCTAAGACGAATTATCAGAATGTTTTGTGTGCTATGCGAGAAAAAATTAAGGAAAATACCTTTCTACGGCGGGTCTTGACCATAAATTCACGAGCTAGATGCTGAATAGGGGCGGGCTCAAGTGGGCGCAATAGGATGGCTTTGTCGAGAGGGTCTCCTGGCACTATGGCCCAGTGATCAAACACAGATACGCAAAAGGCTTGTCCCTGTGTGTGGTATCTCAGATCTGTCTCAAACCCAAATGATTCTATCACTGGTAGAAAAGCCTGAATCATCACAACCAGAGAATCAATCAATGAATCACTCAGTTAGATAATGGAAAACATATTAAAAACAAACCAACCTTCACGATATAAGCTGGGGTTCCAGGCTGAGGAACATCCGATGTGACATGCCCACGTCTACGTGACAGAACTGTGTAGATGGCAGTTACACAGTCGATTGGTGTTTGTATCTGAGACACAACCACAAACTCTATTGTTATACGAGGAAATAGTTAAATAGCAAAAAAGTAAGGCAAAGAGTCTAGAAAGAATAATGTACCTCTACATAGTAGACAGGTTCCATTAGCCTTGGAGTTGCCATAAGAAAGGCTGAATATGCGACACGTCGCGCCGTTGGAATCATCTGACCAGATCCTCGATGCAACGGCTCTGGTGCTATCCGGGCATCAACAATCTTGAACTTTACATTTCTGATGGGCTCATCACACAGGGGTCCTTCTCGCGCACCCCACTGGAACCTGTATGAACATTAAAAAAACGAAGCCATTCAACTACAGCCAACATAACGTAGCCAAAGGGAAGTGTAACAGAAGAAAGATTATCACCCTTGAACAATGGAGTCTTTCACTGCCATCATCAAGCTCTTGTCAACCTCAGTTGGGAGGGTGTCATCCAGTAAAATATTTGGCCCCTGATCCGTTAGAAATCAACAAACAAAAGATGAAACAGTCAAAACATTACGCCTGCTACAGCCATATCTCAAAGCAACCATAACGATAAAAAGAGCGCTCAGATTGCGAGCTTTTAAGAAAACAAACAATGCATTTTCACCTGTTTGTCAGGGCCAAAAGCCCAAATGGAACGCGCCGCAAGTAAATCCCAGTCATATTTCGTCTTGAAGAAGTCACCGAGTTGTTTTCTGTTCCAGTCAATGCTTACGACACCATTCTCAATGTCCTCCGCAAGTCCTCTATCCAATGGCTCTGCGATCTTTGGCATGAAGCAAATATTAGATTAGTCACAAAGTTATTGTGGTTGAGCACTATACCAAACATTTCAACCATAATTGTAAGGGGTAATAGAGAAAAAGGACGATCTCTTACCATAGTTATTTTGTTCTTTTTGTTCGGTGTCTCAGCAAAACACTTCATTGACGAAGATTCAACCACTGTCTCACAGAAGGAGACCACCGGATCTGCCACCTGCAAGTTTAAGAAAGGGAAAGGATTTTAAAGATCAAAATAAACAAATCAGCAATTGCTTGCAGAACTGATCACAGTCAAAGATCCAAATTAGATAAAAAATTTGATACCTTTACTTCGACCTCTGAATAGAGCTCCCTAAGGTCCTTCATGATAGAATCCAAGTACAACTCACCTGTGCCTAGAATAGTATGTTCTCCAGACTCCTCAACTTTGGTAATAGCAAGGGGATAACTTTTACTAATTTTCCTAAGCCCCTCTACCATTTTTGGTAACTCACTAGGGTTTAACGGCTCCGTAGCTGTCTTGACAACCGGGAGCGTGTTGAACTGGAGCGCTCGGAATATGTAGACATCTTCGTCATAGTTTGCATTGCACAGTGTTGCAGTTTTCATGATGGACGCATCAACACCTTCAATTAGAACCCACGAACCAGGAGGGGCACTGCTTACAGGTATTCTATACCTAGCTTGATATATCCATAGTTTCGTCACTTCTTTTATAGTCATGTCCTCCTCATCCTCAGGTGAATACCCTTCTCCTAGAACACGTACGCTTTGCCCTGTTTGTAGCCTACCGCTGTAAACTCTTCCGAACACATCAAACACACTAGTATCTGATTTGGGGTACAGCTTTGTCACATTGACCATGAGGGGTCCAGACGGATCACATTCTACCATTGATTCATAAATGGTAGAATCCTTGGGTCCAGTGTATGCGTGGTCCACTTTCCTAGCTGCAGCCTCTTTGGGAGAAGGAATGTGCTTTACCAACATATCAGTAAACCCTGATGACGAACCAAAAACTGAGCTACAGGCTAACCTAAGTAAGGGTCTGACGTTCAGCTTATATGCACTATTACTCATAGTCACTCCTAATTCTGCAAGGGTGGTCTCTACACTCTTCTTATGTTCACCTATCACTTGACTGTATATCTTGTATAGAGGCTCCAGGATAAACTGAACAAATGCTCTTTCTCCACCCCCTACTGGAGGATTTCTCTTGAATACCCTAGTATCAGGGTGATAATACACATCTCCCCAAAGTCGAGATGCAAATTTATCGACGTCCATGTCCACCCCATGTAGCTTGGAATAGAGCTTAGCAAAAGATTGCAGTGTGAAGGACCATCCGGCAGTACCACTGGCAAAGCAAACATTTCCCGCTGCAGGGTCTATTAGGGGTAAGTTTCCAGCAGTTGTTGAAGCAGCAGATATGTGGTTATTAATGACTTCAATTGTATGCCTCAGCTTGTAGTAAGCATCCCTTGGAGGTAGTTTGAGCTCTGTTATGAGCCTGTCAACCTGGTGGAGAAACAAAATTGAATATGTAAAAATATAAATCTCACACAATATTTCTCAATCCACATATTGAAGCCCGGAAATGTACCTTATTGATCACAACAACAATGGGGAGATGGTCCTGGATTGCATGCCGTATAGCCCTCTCTGTGTTTACCTGAATAAGATTAATATCGTTAATACAAAGAGCAAACTTCAAATAAAAACTTCAGACTTTAAAAGAATCAAACACCTACCATCACTCCTTCAGCAGCGTCAACAATCAGAACAGCACCATCAGCAAGTCTTAGAGAAGCAGTCATTTCGTCAGAGAAGTTCACATGTCCTGGGGTATCTATGACATTGCACAGATATGATTTGGACCTGCTGTCCTCAAGGACAAGCGACATCGGAACCGCCTTGATTGAAATGTTTCTCTCCTGCTCATCAACTCTTGTGTCTGTATATTTCATGTGCTTCTCGTTTTTAACGTTAAAAGTAGACATATGGTGCGTCTGCTCTACCAACATATCCATGAAGACAGTTTTCCCATGCTGTAGATGCCCCACAAGAGCAACATTCCTCACCAGGGTGGGATTAGACATGAGGCCAATAAGAAACTGTGTTGACACGTATGTTGAAGAATCCTTCACCCCCACCTCAAATCTAACATCTCTAACGGGTTTGATTATGGGCTGCTCAAGAGGCTGTTCATCTTCATCCATAACCAAGGTCTCAACATCCTCACCATAAACTTCCTCTGCAGTAGGATAGTACTTCTTATCCTCAGGAAGAACAATTTGGTTCTCCATCTCAACATCGTTGATCGTGGTAATCCAGCCGTTTGAACCCCCATGCCCATGTTCGCCATCCGATCCATCCTCTTCAGGCTGATTATCTTGGAGCTCCTCGTCTTGTATTTCATCATCACTCTCTCTGTCAGACTCAATCTCAGGTCCAATATAGTTACCAAACTCATCATACAAGCTATCATCCATTTTTTATGTAAACCTGCAAAAGAGTCCCATAAGCAATCAGAATTCTGTAGTGAAAATAACAATACCAGAAACATAACCTAAAATTCAAATGAGCATCACCACAAAATCATACATAGAAACTAAATCTATCTAGGTTTACCATAGCAAAGCTGCAACATAACAACATTCCCCCAAATACTATAACAACATTCAACACTTGATAAGAAAATAAAAACCACTCTAGGATCTAGAGAAAATGCTAAGGACTAAATGCAGCCTAAGACATGAAATACAGGAAGTATCTTCAGAACTTTAAGATATAAAGGCGAACCAAATATCAGAATGGAAGCGAAAAGCTTGACCACTTGAAACCTAAAGAGATCAGCGACAAAACAGTCTGAAGATGAAATCTCGAAGGTGAAATCATGCAAAAAATCTGAGATACATTAGCAATGGTAAAGACAAACATAATAAACCGAAGGCAAAACCCTAGGCTAGAATCAACTAGAAACTTGAGCTAACTTGGATTAGAGCAAAACCTTATCAACTCGAAACTTAAGGAAACTCGGACTAGACCAAAAGCCTAGGCTAGAATCAACCAGAAACTTGAAGCTAAGTTGGACTAGAGCTGATAACGCCAACAAAGTTCAAGGAGTGAGAGGACGAACTAGTTGGGAGAGAGCGAAAGGTGATGCGCGAGGAATATGAGAGAGAGATGCGGTGCGCGAGCGAGGGGCGGCTTAAACCAGTGTGTGGAGTGAGAGAGAATATGAAGACTGGCTCGGCGACTCGGCGATTGGGTTCGCCCGAGACTCTGAGATGACTGTTGTGTTGAACGGAGCAGTCGACGAAAGAATGAGAGAGATTTTAAGCGTTAGGTTTCAATAATGAAGCCTCTATCTCAGAAAGAGTTTTGGCAGAGATTTAAAGATTTTTGTTTCTTCTTTTAAGTTTTCTGATTAACACTACTGTAAAAAGTAACTAGATTTTAATACCGTACGTCCATTTTATTTTTTTATTTCTAATATAATATAAGTTGCATTTATCTATTTTGTTTATATATAATTTATTTTTGTTATTTATTTTTTTAAATCCAAAAATTGTTATCATATTTTAATTTTAAACAGTAAAATTTGTATATTAGTAGAATAAGAGTATACGTTAATTAAATATATATTGATCTAATGTTAATTATAAATTTTGTTATTATGTGAATTTAGATTTACACATAAACAATCTTTATATCTATGAATTTGTTCCATCCGTTTAGTTGTCTTAAATTATTTTTAATATCTTACATGTTTTAACAAACTAACCCGTATAAGACTATAATTATAATTGTATAACCCTATAAATATTTACTTTGGACCAATTAATTATGAAAAATATAATAAGATATTTATTTATTATTTGTGCTATTAAAAAAAAATATATATATATATACGGATTTAGGGTTTAGGGTTTAGGGTTCATCTTAATATCTTACATGTTTTAATAAATTAACTCATGGACTTTAAATATATATATATATATAACTCTAATCAGCTCGATCATATTATTGTATAATATAAATATTTATTACTCTCAAATATTTGATATTTTAGACCGATTGTTTATGATAAAATACGATAAAATATTTATTACTATGCATTTTATAAAAATATTATTTAAATTTAAAATTTAAAATTAAATCTTTCCTGTATTTAAAAAATTCTAAAATATTAAAATTATTATCTAAATTTTTGTAATAAAATTTAATTATAATTTTTTTATTTTTTAAATTTAAATTAAATTGAATGCAAATTTTTGTAACTAAATTTATTTAAATTTCTAATAATTTGAAATTTAAATTAAAGATGACCTAGATTTTAGGAAATCTAAAAATATCTAAATTAATACCTAATTTTCGGAAATTAAATATAAAAATAAAATATTATAAAAAAAATTTGGGAATGTTTGGATACAAGCATTAAATGTGTTTCTGTTTTAATATAATAGATTAAATTAACATAAACATCTGTTTTACTACCATCCAACAAAAAAATATACGTTTTTTTACCTCCAGTAAATAATTTATTTTTGGGAGACTTGCAAAATAAGAACAACCCTTGGTGTGAACCCTCATTATTCACCCCTTCTATTATAACCAATCAAAATATGTCATATAAGATTTAAAGTGAATTAAAAAATAAAAACAAAAACAAAATAGAAAAACGAATTAATAATAAAAAAATCAAAATTTAATTTTTAAATTTTAAACCATGATCCTTATACCCTAAATCATAATATATAAATTAAAAAAAAAAACCAAACCCTAACTCCTAAACCCAAATATTTATATTTAAAAAAATTAGAAATAAAAACTAAACCCTAAACCCTAAACCAAATATTAAATTTTTTAAAAAATTAAAAAATAAAAACTAAATCCTAAATCCTAATCCCTAAACCCAAATATTAATTTAACAATATATATTTGGATTTAGGGTTTAAGATTTAATGTTTATTTTTTATTATTAAATTTAATGTTTGGGATTAGAGATTAGGGTTTAGGATTTAATTTTTATTTTTTAATTTTTTAAAAATTTAATATTATGCTTGGGTTCACTATTTTAATTTAGGGTTTAGTTTTTTCATATTAGAAAAGAAAATTTAAAATGTGCTATTTTGATAAAATACTTTAATTAATTTTATTATTTAGCTGATTTTTATTGGTTAAAATAAGAAAGAGTAAATAAAAGAATAATTTTAATATCTAAATCAAATTATTTCATTTGAATAATATTAAATTTTTAATTTTCTGTGATAAAAAAATCAACTTACCTTAATTGTTTTATGAAAATAATATTCATTTATTTTAAATCTTAAATGACATGTTTTGATTGGTTAAAAAATAAGGGGGTGAATGAAGAGGTTCAGTCCTAGGTAGAGGTGAACCCAAGAATTGTTGGCAAAATAAATCCCACGGATAGCTTAATAAAAACCTTCTCTAATGTCCTATTCCTCATTACGATTATTAGTACACAAAACGCTTAAACGCATATAAAAGCAAAATGCTAACCAAAACAACTCGTACATAAATACGGTCATACGGTGTCGGGTGATTCACCTACGGTTTATTAAATGACTAACAAAAAACAACATGAGAGACGAAGCTAAAAAAGAGGTTCCACAAATACATACATAGTCGGTGTGCATTGCAGAAGAAAACATCAAAAGAACATATCTTCCCCACATACTGATATCCAAGTCGTAAGAAGACAAACATAGACTTTATCATTTCTCATCTTCATCACTCGATAACCCGAGTTCTATTTTCGCCTGCTTATCTTCTTTGACGATTTTGTTGGACGATCCTGATGATTCTGAATGCTTTGTGTCATCATCAACTTCCTTCTTCTTCACAGGTTCTTCTTCTTCTTCTGGTTTTGGACCAGCATCTTTGCTTCCTGATGATTCTTGATGTTCCACTATGGACGCATTCTTCACGGTTTCACCAGGCTTCTTGTAAATAGATAGAACTCGTTGGAGCTCGTCGTTCACATGCAGAGCCTCAAAGAGAACTCCCTCATCGTCTGTTGTGCTCTCTATGATCATTTGAATCAACGGCTGTGATTGCTTGCATTTCTCCATCAGGCTTACCGTTAGATCATCCTGTAAACCATAACACATATATAACCCATTACTTAAATTTTTCCCTTCAATTTCAATCCTTACACACGAAGCTGCGACAAGTAATGTTTCTTGGAAACCTTAATGAGCAAATAATGACGCCGAGATTATTACCTCTGTGTGATCCGGCTTCCCTTCAGTGTTCAACATGCTAGAGAGCAACTCGAGGCTGTTCCGTGTAATCTCAATCTGTTCTTTCTTCTCCTTGATAGATAAGTTTCCAAAGTTATAGTCAAGACCATCATCGTCTCCACGAGCCTGTTCTTGATTAGGAACCGGATAGCTACCAGGTGGAGGAACTGGAACAGGCCGTTGCAAAAGAGACTCCAGAGAACTTTGTCCCGACATTGGATTCTCCTCGCCACGAGCGTTTAGACCGTTTTCTCCTTGTAAGCTCTAGGGAAAAAGAAAACACAAACAAACAAACAGTAAAGCCGAGGATTACGTATTCTAACAACAACAACAAAAAAAAAAGCGTCTTTGCATAAGCAATTCAGATTCAGAGAGATCTACCATGTAAGTCTGCTGGAAAACAGGAAGGTAAGCAAGATCTTGAGATTGTCCCCAAGCTCTAATAAGCTGAAAAGCTCGCCTTCTGTTCTCGGAATCAGCTTCTCCGTTCTTGATCAACCAAACCATCTCGTCAAGAACTTTCTCAGAAGCAACTTCAGAGAAAATCTTCTCGCAGTTCATAGCACAAGCCTCAAGAAGCTCAAGGCTCAGCCTTTGGCTCACAGGGCTCTTACCTGAAATCTTCCTCTTGATGGCTCTAACAATCTCGGTGCCGTTAAACTCCTCGTTGTTGATCTGAGCGCATATTCTCATGTTCATTCCCCAGTTGGGCTCCTCTAACGTCTCTAAAGTCGCTTCATCAACCATTTTCGATTCCAAGGTCGGAGCTTGAAGCATCTCTTTCACTTTCCCGCTCACCATTCGGCTCATTTGAGCTCCTCCAGTCTTCAGCTTCTCTCCCCATTCAGCTATCTTCAATTTGTCCATTTTGCTAGTGATCCACCTGCTTATAAAAACCCAAAATCTATATTAATTTCCGAACCCCTTAGAAAACCCTAAAACCGATCCCAATTCAGTTTTCGAGTAACCACCGGTCTATAATATTAAAACACTACACTATCGTCAAAATTCGAATGAAAAATCAATCAACCAAATCTTTCAAACTCTAATAAACAGAGATCAGGGAAGATTACAACAAATTGGATCTATCCAGTGTGCTATTCCATGAAATTAGAGGACAAAACGAAAACGAAAATGAAATGAAAATGAAAAGGAAGAGAGAACCTGAGAAGCAGTCCCTTTCAAACGATCAAATCTTGTCGAAAATTTTTGTCTTTGGTTATTTGTAGTTTGAATCTGCAAATCTATCGGACCGAAATGTTTCAGCAGAGCAAAGTAGACAAGAGAAGAAGGATTGTTGAACACGTGGCATGTTGAGAAAGTCCAATACTTTGAACTCAGCAAAGCCTGTTTTGGTCGGAAACTCATCGTGTGGGCTAATGTGTCCCAATTTGTAATAGAGGGTGACTATCGAATCCTGAGAATAATTCCGAGGGCTAGTCTGGCAATTTAAAAATCACGAGATTTTTATGAACAAACCCATTAAAAACCATAATTGGACATCGGCGGCGACGAGGCTGAGAAAACCGACGCGGCCAAGAGCCCCTTTCCCGATTACAGTAGCTAGCTTTTCTCGAAATCGAACCTCTCTTTAGGGATTCTTCAACGATGGCTTCCATATCGAATTGGGTCCGATACATGGCTCACAAGCTGGAGTACTCCCTCACTCTCAGCCTCAAGGTTCCTCTAATCCTCTCTATCTCTCTCTCTGACCTGCCTTATCTCTAGCTTCAGCGCCTTGCCTTTGGCTTAAAAAAATTACTGATTTTAATCTTCTGGTTTCTCTCTTTATGATTTATGAAATTGGTTTTAGAAATGATCAAATTGGCTAGGGTTCCTGTTTTTTTTTTTGACTATCCAGTTATGATTTGCTTCTATGCATAGCTTAAGGAAAGTGCCTCTACATTGTTAAAGACATTATGCGTCCGGATAAACTGAACTCAATATGTTCTTAGTCGGTGATTGTAACTATCCCTTATAATAAAAGGACACACTTTGATGTTAAAAACAGGAATTAAGATAAGTACTTTATGCTAAGAGATCAGTAGTTTGGTTGTAATGGACTCTAATGGCTACTGATTCTTGAGTAATCTAAAACAAGCTCATATAGTCAAATCGTAGCTATTGAATTTGTGATAGTATGAGTTTCATATGTAATTTGTGAATATGATTTCAAAATCGTTCTTTTTAGACGATTAGTTTAATCCAATCGCCCGAGAAAGCGGTCATGCTGGTCCTTTTCATTTATTTTTCTGCAGATACTGTTTTCTAAATCTATTCTTCTTTTCAGCTCGTTGAGCTTTTTAAAAGTGTGCCTGTACAATCTGATTTTATTTACCATCCTTGAGTTTCTCCATTCTTCAGAAGCATACTAGAGAGAAACTCAGTGACCGGGAACTCATTGGTATAGTCGTGAAGAATCTGTTCTATGGAAGGATAACCTACTTACACTCGGGTAAAGGACCAGAGATGGCCCCAACCATGGGAACAAATGAGAACACGTTACTTGTCCGTAAGCTACCAGTTGTTGATACGAGGTATGTTTCTTGGCATTAACCGTCATTCCTCTTAGTTCCAATCATGCAAACCTTGAACTTACCGATAGTTGTTAAATGGGATGTGGTTCTATGATCGCACTGCCAGTTATCTGGTTGGGAATAGAGGTCACGTTTACTTAAAGTCATGAACTTTGGGATATTTATGTTTCCTTTTTTGTTTCGTAAATTCCAGTGGCTAAATTCATGTGGTTTTTCGATTACATTTAATTATTTTGCATCTGAGAGTTGTAAGTAGGCATAAGAAAAAGTGTAGATTTTTGTTGTTTTACTTACCAAAAAATATGTATAGTGGTGCTGGGTGTATGTATGTCTATTGTCTCTACTTACTTTGATGCAGATTGAATAGGAATTGATTTGGTTGGCATAAGTAACTATTTAAACTCCCATGTGCTCATTGAAAATGTTAATACTTATGTATCTAAACATCTTTTAAATTTTCTTATTTCTCAGCCTTGACCAATTTCTGTGAAAGATTACTAGTGAGGCCCTATTTGGATGTTGTGGTTTTTGTCTAGGTATGTTTTCATTGGAGATGCCGTTGTCTTGAAGGACCCAAATGAAACAAATAAGTATCTAGTCAGAAGATTAGCAGCTATAGAAGGATCCGAAATGGTATCAAGTGATGAGAAAGACGAGCCTTTTGTTCTCGAAAAGGATCAGTGCTGGGTTGTAGCTGAGAACCAAGAGATAAAATCGAAGGTACATTGTTTTACTTTTATCCCTTGCGCCACAGACTAGTATTACATAAGAAAAACTGAATCTCTATATAATTTGGTATGTTTTTTGTTGACTTCACTTTGCCTGATGGGTTATAACAGGAAGCATATGATAGTCGAACATTTGGTCCGATTTCAATGGCGGACATAGTAGGAAGAGCTATATATTGTCTGAGGACAGCAGTGGATCATGGTCCAGTAAGTAACAGGTAAGAAGAGGCTATCGTCTCCTATCAGCTTTAACGTTTTTTCCTTACTAAAGAACTAATAAACAATCCTGGAAACATTGCTCTTAATCAGTGAATTTGCCATGGAAGAGGATTCTCCAATCCTGGCGGTAGAACTTGACGTGGATGAAATGGCCAAAGACCACAAGGCGTAATAACAAGGAACCTTCACCGTCTCTTTTGTAACCCTTTGCTTCCGTTCTAAACTCCAATTTAGAGATGCCACTGGAGATGTTTGTGCCAAATGTTAGCCGTTGGTTCTGAGCACTGTTGAGTGTTGAGGAAAAAGTTCATTAGCTTCTTCCCTCTTTGAACAACCATTTATTTTAGAGAATCCAAACCATGGTTTTAAACCGAACCGAACAAGACTGTACCGTAAAACATAATCTGAAATTGAATCTGATTTTAATTTGGTTAACTAAATTCATTTGTTTTGTCACTTTTTTGTATATTTCACGGAATTGTATCTGAAACCTGACCACGCTTGGCATTCAGTCCAAGTGTTTCAGTTAAGGTCGAGAGTTTGGAAACTCGGTTTGGAAATATTGTGACCGACATTAAACCGATTTCATTTCGGCTCGATTGGCCTCGGCACTTCTCAAAACGTTTTTTTCACAAGACTAACAAAGCCCATTTATGAAGCCCAATTGTATAAAGCGAACTTAGGAAGCCCATTTAGGAATGTAAAATAATCTAATTGAATAAGCTCAATCTCAAGATTATTTCGTGTTACCAAGACGAGCCAGAGACTACGAGAGTCGAAGAAGAGGCAATGCAAGAAGAAGCTTAATCTCTCTCCATCTCTCTCCTTTCTCCGAAGCAGTTCTTGGCGATGTCGGGAACTTTCCATTTGACTTCTGACTACGTCCCTGGTACTTTATTGTCCACTCTCCCTCTGCATCTCTCTGTCCCTACTTACATGTTTATGATAATTGTTAAGGTATATATGTTTAGGTCTCAATTTTTTTGCGGGGAAGATTGTTGGTTTCTTCTCGTGCTCACTGTATTTTTTCTCTGTTACTCTGACGAATAACGATGGGTGAAAAGGGCTTACTTTTTTGTGTTGTCCACCAGTTGTTCGACGAAATGCTTACTTTTGAGTGTTATAGAATTAGATTTATTAAGGGTATATGAATAGCGAATCGTATTCAAAAATTATATTAAGGTTATAGAAAGTAGTAGTATGCGAATGCCAGGTATTGTATTTTAGAGCTTTTAAAACTTCATCACGAAAAAGTTTATGGTCATTCAAAGCCAATATTAAAACCACTTTCTTCATCCTAACAATTGTACTTACAACCCAAAAAAAACAGAGAGTAGAGCAAAACAAGTTGGAGAATTTTTGTTTTCTGTGTTATGCAAGTGACTACGTGTGATTTATGGTTTTGTGCGCCAAATGTGAAGTCGGAATTTTGCATTGGTGTGGTGGCAATGAATTATATGATCTGCTTACCCCATATGGTATTTGCTTGGTAACACAGGTTATACACTTTCAGACAGAAGGTGCTTCTCTAACTCTACCGTTTTGAGAACAACACTTGCTATATTACCTTGCTCTTCCAGTCTGGATCAGACACTACGCGTCGAGAATGGACGTCTGAAATGTGGCCCCAATAGTAGTTCCTTTGTGTGCCGAGCGAGTTCTGGTGGCTATAGGAGAAATCCTGATTTCTCAAGACTTAATAAGCATGGTTTCCGGGGAAGAAACAGGCAAAGCGAAGAGAAAGACGATTTTGATGCCGAAAACTCTGACATGTTGTCTTCAAGCAATGGGCCTTTACTCTCTCTATCTAACTCCCCCAAATTCCAAGCTACTTCATCCCCTGGGCCTAGAGAGAAAGAGATAGTGGAGCTTTTCCGAAAGGTCCAAGCTCAGCTCCGAGCTCGAGCAATGGCTAAGAGAGAAGACAAAAAGATAGAAGAGGCTTCTAAAGGACAGGGAAAAGAAAGTGAAACTGTTGACTCCCTTCTTAAATTACTGAGGAAGCACTCGGGAGAGCAAAGCAAAAAAGTTAACAGTTTTAGCAGCCAGGGAGACAATTCATACCAGCGACAAGGAGATCCTATGGACAGGCAAGATCGCAGCGGCAATATTGTCAATTCACGAAACAAAGATCATAATGCATCATCCTTTATCAGGCCAACATCAAGCTTCCGAAGAAAGTCGCCAGTACCAAGATCTAAATCGCCTCCAACCTACTCTAGTGAGGCAACTTTTGATCAGGCATCGAGTTACAGCGTGACCTGGACCCATAAGAAGGATACAGTGGAGTCGCATGATGAACCAGCTGAGCCTGAGTACGAAGATGAACCTGAATATGAGTCAGAACCTGGGCATGTGACAGCTATACTTGAACCAGAGTTAGAGCTGAAGCCAGAGCCATCATCATTTTACCAAGATGAGGATGATGATGTTACTTTAGATGCGCTATCAGATGATGATGAGTCTCTGGATGATACTGATGAAGAGGCTGTTGATGAAGCTGAGGAAGAAGTTGTGAAAGAGAAAGACTTGAGTATATTGAAGCTGATGGAACTGAGAGGCATAGCTAAATCAAGGGGACTAAAAGGGTTTTCAAAGATGAAGAAAGCCGAACTCGTGGAGTTGCTTGGTCGTAATTCCAGCTGATCTGACGGTGAAATATATATCCAATAAATGACAATGCTGAAATAAGTTATTTTCTGTGTGTGTGTTTTGTCTGAGAAATACTGGCTGTGAAGTTTTATTTGTTAGGACTTTTTTCCAGTGCTTTGAAATTTTTTGAAGGTGTTAACACAACAAAATTTGTTAGCACAAAGATTCAAAATTTAACTTGGAAGCAGTGAAGCTCGGACGAACATTCTTTTAAGCTACTCTTAATACTTGGCATCTATCCATACATTACATAGATAGCCACAGTCATAATAATTCTAATTCGTTTGATTCATGATGATCGGTCTCTCAAATCAAAAGATATTAAATTCAAAGAGTCATTAGAACAGCCTAATTCGTTGAAATCACCCTTTGTACCTAATTATCGTTGCGTTGGGAGGTCTTTCTTGAGTAGTAGAGTATTTTAGCCAGTTCTGCCATATCAAAAAATGCTATTCGAGTCGGCTCATATATACATCATCACCATTTTTCTGGTTAGCCACCGTTTGGCTTGTTACTTTTCATTTCAACATACGTTTTAATCATTTTATGCTTCTCCTTGGTTTTAAATGTTTTTTTTTTGTAATATACGGATTTGAATGTGACAACACGACACGTTATAACACGAACTATTATACTACATATGATATGGCTCATTAGTTTTATGTTTTAAAGAAACCATTATTGGCTTAATTCAGTTGATAGTGATATAGTTGTTATGATGGAGTCATCGCTGGATCATCTATAATGGTGCCTCTTGGGCAATGATGATTTTTTAAGTTATCACGTTTTAAACTCATGCAAAATCTTTTGTTGGCTTTTTATATCACTTTTTTTAACCCATCCATATATAAAAATTGAAAAAAAAAAAAAAAAAAAAAAAAATTTAAATATCGGGTTCGAATTCAGTGAATCAGTGTTATGCGTTCTAAAAGTGTGATCGTACGTTTTGTGGTATTGTGATAGATATCATGTTTTGTTAACGGAATCTGATTAAGTTAGCAGATGTATATCTTTTTTTTAAAAAAAGCAAAGCCTGATAGACCTTTTGTTTAATATATGTTTTTTGTTTGGTAGCGAATAGACTTTCTTACCCATTTTGTGTAAAATTTATATTTGTATTTGATAGATGGGAGCAATTGAGCATCACATAACCCTTTTCTCAACTTTAAAAAGAAAAAATGTGAGCATCACATGATATAAGTATAACACAGATATGTACGTACATAACGTCTTGATAACTCCAAATATAGTAAGGAAATATGTAGCATAATAAAATGCCTGATTAAAATACGTTGACAATAAAGCTATACTTTTGTTGGTTAGCCATTACTTTTAGTAAACTACAAGACTTTGAAATGTGATTATATACTTCATTGAGCTCGAAAAAGGGAATATGCTTTCAAAAGTATATCGACCACTAGAACAACAATATAGACTGTCTTTGTTTCACAGAAGGGAAAAACAAAAAAATATTTCTTTAATCTAGTCTCATACACCTTAGGACATGTTTATTATTAGCTAGGTAGAGTACAAAAACATCACCAGGACACCAGATATAAAATATTGTAAATTTTAACTACAAAAAAACTTTTAAACAAAAATTAATTATCACAAAACGCCAAAAGAAAAGACAAACAATAATAATATGTTTGGCTTGGAAAAAAAAAGGTTTGGCTTGATATGAACTCCTCAGAATATATCATACATGTAGTAATAAAAATATCGTTATTGGGAGATTTGCTTATATGTATAACCTTAACCCAAAAAGAATAATATGTACCTTCAGAATTTTTTTTTTAATCGTCAAACTACATGGACCACTTGTCATCTCTATATAGAGGTTTGAATCAGACTTAGCCGATGGTAACTTTTTTGAGGATTTACCACTAATTAGGCAATCAACTCTACTGATCAATATATATACCTTAAAATTAATATCTCCACGTACTCAAATTGAACAAGAAAACAAATAAAGATACATAAATAGAGTTAATTAATAGGAATCGTAAACGACTTTTATTCATGTGGGTCACAAACGAAGGTTTAAGTCTTAACTAGCTTAAAAGAACAATTCTAAAACTCAGAAATGTCGGAAATTTCTCCAACTATACGACTACTAGTGAGAAGATCAAACCAAAGCTCCGTGTCATGGTTACATAATCTCGAATAATTGTATCCCTTATCATTTCTATCTAATGAGCCTTCCCAATTCTGTATCTTTTGGTCTTTATTGTCATCTACTGAAATGTTGCAATCCATCGATACGACTTCTGACCAAAAGCTCTCGTCTATTAATGCAAGAACATTTTCTGATGACGTCGCAGAATCTTTATTGCTATTGGAGGTGTCGTTATTGTTTCCCGATGTTGTAACCGCTGAAATGTTGGTGCTACTCGTGGATTGTTGTTGTGGAGAGGTTGGCCTCTTTGCATCCATATGATCAGAGATTTTTTCGTCACTGTTGCAAATCGTATTGCTGTTATTCTGATCTTGATTTTGCTGGAGTCTTTTCTTTAAATGAGTGTGCCAAACATTTTTTATTTCGTTGTCTGTTCTTCCCGGCAATTTTGCAGCTATAGCGGACCATCTTACAAAAAAATATAATAATAAGCAAAATGTCACATAAATGAATAATGAAAGGAAAAATAAATGAGAGCGAGTAAAACAAAATAAAAGCTATTGAACTGCATATGTATGTATGGTTTAAAATTTTTGCACATGTCTTACACTGATCAAAGTGCCTATTTTGTCTAGTAGTGAAATATTGTTTATAAGAAACATGATATATATTATAATTAGGGAAGTGAATGCTGAAATTATTTAATGTTTAGGTGTGTGGACAAAGGCAATCACGGGTTGGAATCTTCTCAGTCCTTAGCCCCACACAGTTGTTTATAATATTAGGCATATTAATAAAAGCAAAATGTAAGGGGAAAATCATTCATAAAGACTGTGATTTGTGAAGTAATCTAGCCTAGTAACATTTCCAAAGTATTGTTACTTTTTCATGTTAAGATTTCCCAAAATCTCCGTCTACAAAACAAAATCTATTTATATAAAATTTCTTACTATAATAGAAATAAAAACTAAACACAGATAGCTCAAATGATCAACTGTTTTTTTGGTCAATTCTGAATTCAAGTAAATATTTCTCACATGTTCTTTTAGTTTATGGTCAATCAAAATAAAAGGAAGAACCTGTTGCCTAAGACTTGATGCAAGTTGATGATAGTTTCTTCTTCTTGAGGAGTGAAATTGCCACGTTTGATGTCTGGTCTCAAATAATTAATCCAACGAAGCCTGCAACTTTTGCCGCACCGAAGTAGCCCTGATCATTTCACAAACACCACTAAAAACTTTAGACACACACACACAAGAATCCTCATCAAATTAAGTGCAAGATAATTTTCTCTCTTTTGTGAAGATATAGGTCAAAAGATGGAATAATTACCGGCTAGTTTAGGAAGAGCTCTCCAATTGGGATGGCCGTGGAGACGAATATAATCGATCAATATTCGATCTTCTTCAGCACTCCATGGCCCTTTCTTCATTCCCATCTTCTCACAGCATGGTCTTCTCCCCATCTCTCTCTTTCTAAAAAGAAAAAAACTTCAAAAGAACCATAGACAAAATTAAAGAGAAAAAATGGACGAAGAAGGCTCTGTGTTTATTTTAACACAAAGAAAAGAAAAAAGGTTCATGAAAGTATAGGAAGCCAGATGTTTGAAGCAAGTATGCGAGGGCTAAGTGTGTGTCAATATATGGGATATATAATGCGACCGTAGGAAAATGACAAGGTGGAAAATATTTTTCCACTTTTGGTACACAAAGTCCAAAGTTTCCAACTTCTTTTCCTCTACTTTCTTTTCAAAGAATAGTTGTGTTTTTCTAATTATTTTGCTTTTACGCCAAGAACCAAAAAAAAAAAAAAAAAAAAGCCAAAATCTTTTCAACTATTGTTGATGACTTGTTTTAAAAATAAAATTAAATCTGAATTTGGTCAACTAATAACGGTAGAGAAGTGTCATGTAGTTTTGTAAGCTAATTGGTGTTATACTCAAGATCTTAACTTTTTTAAACGTTTTCTAGCTTAATTAGAGTCATCTATATGATGCTCAATAATCAGTAGGCCCACAATTGGATATTTCAGTTTCAATCGGACTCGTGGGGTACATTCAACTAATAACCATACTCGGATACTTGAGGCATATGCCTGGGACTCGGGTTCAGCGCCCGGTTATGTCTGGCTCTGGAGGAAGGAACGTGTTACACGCTTCTCCACTTCTCCGGTTCTCCCTATCAAAGCATCATTTTGGTTATTTGGTTCATTTTGATTGTTTAGCTCAATTAGGCCCATTATAAACCGATTTTGTTGGGTCCAAAAAGGCCCACAGAAAGCGATCATATTTTTTACCGGACACGGCAGGGGCAACAATAATCGTTAATATTAATACATTACTATTCCTTGACTACCAGTAGTTTGGATTATTTGAGTTAAACTTTCCACCCAATACAAACAAACAACAACATGATGTCGATGTTATGCGTCTAAATTTGCATATGACCTCTCAAAGCGATCGTGGATTCTAAGATAGTTAACAAACTAAAATTGATGTAATAGTTAACAAACTAAAATTTATATGGTATGCATTATTTTGGCACTGTTTTAGTTTCTTAATAAAAATTTGTATTTTTCTGAAAACATAAGAAAATTTCAGTTTGATTCGGTTCTGGTTCGATTTCGGTTGTTGGGATTTAAACATAAATGATACTCCCATTTAAATAAATTAGGTTTTTCTGGCAAGGTTTCTTGGGTTCGTTTCAAATCAGGTTTGCTAGGATTCACTAAACCGGACAAACTGGTTAGCAGAATTAAAGCTTAATAAGGAAAATAGATTTTGTTTCTATTTCCACATATGGGGGTGGGACCCAGTTTTTATTCTTCTAAAACAATCCGCTACCTTTGCCTTGAAAGCAGAAATCGCATGACCCAACGAACAAGGAAATTAAATCATTATTTTTTTATTTATGTTATATCTTACAATTTTAGAGAATTAATAATATAATTGAATTGATAAAAAAGTTGAGATGATTTTCAAGGATTATATTAAGAATAAGGAAATAAGTAATTTATTTTTGAGTGTTTATCGTATTTATAATATACCATCGCTTACTGTATAATAGAAAATTCTAGACTAAGCAAATGTACAAAGTTAGATTATTGTTTGAGAATGACTCATATACAAAAGCAGCCGCTGAAAACTATAACCAGTTTTTTTTGGGGTTAAAACTCGATATTTTATTCTTATTTCTTAATTGTTAGGTTTTTTTTTCTTAATTGTTAGGTTATATATTAAGTATCAAAAAATCAGCAATACTTCTATTACTTATATATTAAGTATCAAAATTCACGTAATTTTTTCTGTTATAATTTTTTTTCCTCGACGAACTAACACTATTGCTTTCGACCTTTAACCAAAAATATAATTTAATTAAAAAAAATATTTTTTTCTTAGAAAAAACAGAACAGTTTTTTTTTTTAATAAGAGAAATCGCATGAGCTGGCCCCATATTACTCAGAAATAGAGATTATAGACGAAATTACCCCCGAATATCGTCTCCGAAACGAGCAACCCCTTGAGAGAATCGTTGTGGGACCCGCCGTGAACAGAGACACGTCATGGAACTGATAGACTGTAACTAACCACTGGCCTGTCTTCCCCAAAAGAGAAATTACATGATCCAACCAAAACACAGCAAGTCTGTATGAACTCTGTATAGTATACTACAAGTATGTGCGAATATGTATATATATATGTGTGTGACTATATATATCTCTCAAAAGTAACTGAGGTATGGTTAGTTGCATCAACATAACTGAAACCAAAACAAAATCAACCAATTTTTTTTACCCATTGGAACATTTTCTCTTAAACCGAACAAATCAAACCAAAAACCCGAAAAAAACGATACTAGGTTAAGGCCATCCAAACCTAACATAACCAAATCGATCCAAATGCGTTATTAAAGAATAATTAATTGAAAATGTGTATAAAAAATATATATCGAATTCTATTTTTCAATATATGTATATTGTCCTATCTTTTAAATATAAATAAAAGTTAAATCAAACAAAAAAAAAATCTAATTCAATATACATTTCAAACCAATTGGTCGGCAAAACTGAACTTTCAGAGCCGGAGTCCCGTATTTTCTTCCATGTTTTTTTGTTTTAATTTAGTATCAAATAAATTTTGAGGGTAAAAAAAGACATGATTTAGCAAGTTGGTTGGAAACTTTAACCCAAAAACAAAAAGAGTTGTTTCGAACATAACATTTTTGTCCCCCGATAGACCACAAATAAGTAGCAGAAGTATTTATTTTATTAAAAAATATTAAAATTAGTTTGTCATCTTCCTCTCTTTTTATTGTTACTATCAAATTGCAAACGTATATGCTTTTCAAGAGAGAGAGAGAGAGAGAGAGAGAGAGAGAGAGAGTTGTTTATATATGTATGTCTCTCTTACGCGTGAATTCGGATGCTTTAATCGGAGAATATTCAGCCGTCGACGGTAACAATATGCCTTCTCTTAGTATTCATTTCCAGTTACTGCTTATCTCTCCCTAAGAATAAAACTAGCTAAACAAGTCGATTTCTAAGATGGTTAGAGAAAATTTGTTCGAGATTAGGTTCTAATTGTCAATACATAATCTAGGTTTCTGGTGAACCGGAAATTTCCTAAACGTGATATTTTTTATTTTTTTCTTGCAGATTCTGAAACCATTTTAATTTAGCCTCTTAAACCGGTTTCATGGAAGGCAGAAACATGTTTGAAGAAATCGGGTGTTTTGACCCAAATGCTCCGGCGCGCTTTAACTTTCACTCCGCAGAGCCACCACCGTCGTCACGTCGCCGGTAGC